CACTGATGGGTCTGTAATCTGAACCTGTAGCAAATTTCCACAGAGCAATAGCCACAATCTTCCTCAGAGGCACACACTCACGGAAGAAAGTGTCCTTTCGCTGCAATGCTGGACGCAGTTTGTTGCACAGGAACATGAACGTCTCCTCAGACATTCTGAAGTGCTGCAACCACTGCGCTTCCGTGTAACGAGGCACGTAATTATCCCACCAGTCAGACGATCGGTTGAGTGACCAGATCGCGCATCTGCGGCTGGGGCCTTCCAAAATAGCCATCTAAAGAAATTGAACGTATTTTATTAACTTGAAATGTATTAAACACGCATGTCAGAATTAGAATTTTAGCAATTACCAGGATGCGTCGTCTGCGCTGTCGTAATCCCAGCAATGTGTTGTACTGCTTCAGCATGGCTTCCTGCATGACTCGGCGACGCTTTGCAGATTTCATCCTCCTCTCATCCCTTTTCATCCTCCTCTCATCCCTCCTCAGCTGGTGAAGCCGACACCTTTCGGCCTGTCTGGCGCGGAGTCTGGCCCCCAAAACGAGCCACAAGCGCAGAACCAAGAAAACTATCACTACGAGGTTCTCCATTGTTTACAATAGTGTCAACAACACAGGGCGGCTTGAATAGTCGCTGATATATGACATCACTGACATCTTAGCGCCACTTTCTCCCGCCGATTTCTGGGGACCGCCCCCATGTCCGCATTCTGGAGCAGGGCCGTGAGGAGGGTGTGGAAGCACTCGGGCCGGGCTGGGGCCGGCCCGGGCGGCCCGGCCCGGGCCGACCCGGTACAGGTGGGAATGGGGCTTTATTGGCAAGCAAATTTGCATATTAGCTAAATATTTAAGTACCAGCTAAATATTTATTTTCCACGATGTTATTTAGCTCCACACTATATTTTATATTTTTGGGTCAGACTTAAATATTTATTTCCCAAATACTGATTTTGCAAACTAAATGTTTAGCTCCAAAATAAATATTTAGCTGGGATCTAAACATTTATTTTGGAAAATAAATATTTAATTTACAAATTAAATATTTAGTTCCAAAATAAATATTTAATTAGTAAATTAAATATTTAGTTAGTGAATTAAATATTTATTTTACAAACTAAATATTTAGATCAGACCTAAATATTTAGTTTACAAAAGAAATATTTAACTACAAATTAAATATTTAGCTTGCTAACTAAATATTTATTTGGAAACTTTAACATTTATAAACGTATGAATAACATGATGAAAATATGACTTTGAAAAAGTGAACTCCCTGTTTTTTTTTCTTATGATATGCTAAATAACCAAAAATATTGCTGTTAGATTATGACTGTTTGACTTTACAAATGGCACCCCATACATGTGGGGCATACAGAGCAAAACTGGTCAATATCAGATCTCATACTTGGCCAATAGCACATACTTAAAGCTTTACTAAGTGTGCGGTCAGCGCTGTAGTGACCAGAAGATGGATTTCCATGCAGCATATGTAAAGTCTCTGTAACAAGCTTTTGGGGTATCAAAACTTGAAGGACAGATGGCTTTCCTGGTGCAGTGTTAGCCTGCCTACAAAGTAGCCCATCTGAAATCATAAGTTTTGTAAACTGCCACCATAGCTTTCTTTGTAGCTTTCCTTTAACTTTTCTGAGATAAGGTCTTTTGTTCCCCTGTACCCATGTATACACTTCAGCAAGAACTGGATCTGCCGACTGTTCAGCCAAAATGTAACCTCTCTAGCTAGAAAATGTATGCGTCAGAATATCTCCATCTGCATCGTCAGGTTGAGGCGCAGAACTGTCTGTTTGTGATGTACAAACTTGAGCTGACGTGTTTATGTCCAATGGAAGCTGTGGTTCCAGGTTGACAGGAGCAGGAGGATCTTCTTCAGGGGGTTGTGAATTTTCCTCCGTATCTTCTGGGTTAGGGTCGGGATATGTGACATAGCATCTGCATTTCCGTGCTTCTGTCCCTACTTATGCATGATTGTCCACACATATGGATCCAGCTCCAATGTCCAACGAGCTCTCCATCCTGTCGGGTCATGTGTGCCATCCATTTTCCCGATGCTGAGTAGTAGACGATGATCAGTGATAATTGTGAAGGGGTTTGAACTTAAGTAATGCCGGAAATGTCTGACTGACCAGACAATAGCCCAGAACTCTTTATCATATGTGGACCATTTTCTTTCTGCATGGGTCAGAACATGGCTGGCATATATGCAATGACTCGTTCCTCCCCCTTTTGGATCTGTGACAGTACCAAACCCACAGCACAATTGGAAGCATCAGTACTGAGGATGAATGGCTGATGAAAGTTGGGAAAAGCCATAATAGGAGCACTGGTTAGTGCAGCTTTCAATGTTTGGAACGCAGCCGAACATTCATCAGTCCAGTCGAATGCCACATCTTTTTGTGTGAGTCTGTGCAAAGGATGAGCAACGAAGGCATATTTGTGTACAAATCGCCTGTAGTATGAACAGAGACCCAGAAAAGCTCTGACTTGAGAAGAAGAAGTGGGAACAGGTAACCCGGCAAGCAGCGGGGGAGGAGAAAATGCAACTCCAACCAATTTTTCAAGTCCCCGAGCATATTTAATCTGCTCTAAATATGAAAATAAAATATGCACTTTTCCAAACTGGACAAGAGTATTCTACACTAATGTAATCTGTAAAACATAGTTTGTGAATCTTGAATTAGATTTTTTTTAAAGTTCAAAATGGTAGATTTGATTTTTTTAAAGTTCAAAATGGTAGATTTGAGCACAATCAGAACTGAGCTTTATAAACATTGTCATTAATCAATTCATAATGTTAATTGTTTATCTATTTATGGAAACCAATAATGACGATTGAAGCTCAGGGATGTGCATGCAACCTAACTTTCGAGAAATCACTATCCAACAAAAGAAATGAATTCATACATAGAAGAACGCTTTATTGAATACATAGATGTGTTAGACAATAGAAATGTGTTAATGAATTAGTGATGTGTCGGTAGCTAACGAAACGGCTCTAAGAGCCGGCTCTTTGAAGTGAACGACGGGAGCCGGCTCGTCATTGGGAGCCGTCCCCTCCCCTCCCCCCTCCCCCCTGCCTTGGTGAAAGCTACAGGCGATTGGTCAACATGTGTAACTGTGTGTCCAGACTGTCCACACACAGAGCAGTAGGGGTGGGGAAGAGGGAGGATCAGACTCAGACAGACACACAGCAGAGCACATGCGAGTGGAGGGAGATGAGAGGGAATGAGGAGGAGGAAAAAGGCGAGCGAGAGAGAGGAGAGTGCGACGAAGACGGTGAGAAAATGAGCGCCAGCAGTAGGGAAGTGGAGATTTCTTAAGTGTTCAGTTATTAAATCCATAGAAATGATAAATATTTGATATACTGCTCTTTTTTTTACATTAGTAAATTATTTTACATATAGTTTAGCATGATTTTGGTCATAAATGTACTCTACGCAACAGAAAATCTGAGGAGCCACTTGGCCGGCTCTCTAAAAAGAGTCGGAATTCCCATCACTAGTGCACTAATTGTCCAGCTGAATCACTGTCATTGTGACCTAGTGATGGGAATTCCGGCTCTTTTTAGAGAGCCGGTTCTTTTGGCTCAGCTCACCAAAAAGAGCCAGTTCTTTCGGCTCCTTTTGATTCGGCCCTCTTTTACGTTGAATTTCTTTCAGTTTTCATTGGTTCACTCTATCCCTTGTTTTACCCATTTGTCTTGTACTAGAATGTTTCACATTTTTTTGTAATTTGAATTGCTTTTATTTTTGATTTATTCACTATATTTGTACTTCTACTGTACCCATGGATGTAATTTTCACTTTAGAAGTGGGGGGGACACGGGGGGGATATATCTTTACAGTATGTTCTAATGGGAAACAGGCTTCAACACAAATGGTTGTTTTCCGCTTGGTCCTAGAGCTCAACCAGTGTCAATTTAATATAGGGTAATATTGTTTTTGGATGGTAAAAAGTGCAGGGGTCAAAACTTGACTTTGGAAAAAGTGGGGGGGACATGCCCCCCCTGTCCCCCCCCCCCCCAAAAAAAAAAATACGTCCATGACTGTACCATGTTCAGCGCCTTGGGCTTGGATTGCGGAAGGCGCTTTATAAATAAAGCTTTGATTGATTGAAGTGGCTCCTCAGATTTTCTGTTGCGTAGAGTACATTTATAACCAAAATAATGCAAAACTATATGTAAAATGATTTACTACTGTAAAAAAATGCAATACATCAAATATTTATCATTTCTATGGATTTAATAACTGAACACTTTAAGAAATCTCCACTTTCCGACTGCTGGCGCTCATTTTCTCACTGTCTTCATCGCACTCTCCTCTCTCTCACCTTTTTCCTCCTCATTCCCTCTCGTCTCAGTCTTTTTACCGCAGTCTCTTAAATGTATTCTGGAGGATTTTTGAAGACAAAGCTAATAAAAAAAAAGGGAACCTAAACAATTTTACTGAGGCTTCAGCACATTTTCTGAGGCTTGTGAACATGTATACTGCCTAAAGCATTAATTTACTAAAACTAATCACATAATTTTACTTTCACTTGGAATTCCCAATGTAGGTGTCCAAAAGTTTAAAAAAAAAAATCAAGCATCCAAAGATTCACAAACACTAAAATGAAATTAGTTATAAGGGCCGTACAAATGATCCTAATTGAAGCCATACCTCAAGGCTTTCCTCAGCAACTTTTTGGTTGACATTACAAGTTCTTCATTGCTTCTGTCTTGCCACTTCAGGTTCTTTGCCCCTAACTATTATAACATTAGAAATTGTTATTGCACGTTCAAGTTAAACCAACTCTGGATAACTCATTACATAAAATGTAAAATATAAAATTACCTTTGGAAGTAATTGTTTTGCTAGTAGTGCAGAATAGACCAAAGTTTTAACAGTGTATGTGTTGTAGATATAGGGCAGATTACAGATAGGGCAGATTACGGAAGATTACGGATAGTCAATTGGGTGAAATTGTACATTTTATTTTAAATTTCAATTTGGCAGTTAACATTATTTTAACAGTAAAACATTGCTGCATGACAATCTGCATATGCATTAGCATTTCAGAGTACGAACCTTAAATAATTAAGACCAGGGAGACGCAAAATGTTACAGCCAGGATAATTTCTCACTAGACAAGAGTGGGTGGCTCTTAAAAGAGCCTTTGGTTTGATCAGAAGCGGAGCGATTTACTTTGAGCTGGTGTACTTGGTGACAGCCTTGGTGCCCTCGGACACCGCGTGCTTAGCCAGCTCACCAGGCAGCAGGAGGCGGACGGCGGTCTGAATCTCCCGGGAGGTGATGGTAGAGCGCTTGTTGTAGTGCGCCAGACGGGAAGCTTCAGAAGCGATGCGCTCAAAGATGTCGTTCACGAACGAGTTCATGATGCTCATGGCTTTGGAGGAGATCCCGGTGTCGGGGTGGACCTGCTTCAGGACCTTGTACACGTAGATGGCATAGCTCTCCTTCCTGGTCCTCTTCCTCTTCTTTCCTCCCTTGCCAGCGGTTTTGGTCACCGCTTTCTTGGAGCCCTTCTTGGGCGCAGACTTGGCAGGTTCAGGCATTTAAGTTCTGATATGACTAGCAGACTACCAGCGGGAGGTAACAGAGGCTGCTTTATACAAGCTTGATGCTAATTTTACTGCGCCGTCTCACACCAGTGATTGGTTGCACACATCAACAGGCGTGTAGAAGGCGGAGTGTATTGAACTGAAACCATAAACGTCTAAATTTGAAAGTAAATAACTAAATTCATTAAAACATTTATTTTCTACAGTGCCACAGTGTAATAATTCAGTTGAATTCCTTGACAAATCTTCATTTTTATGTGGTTTCATTCTGCTTGGAGTGAAATAAAGGCTGAAATAAAATGTAATCTAAAACATTTTTATTTTTTGTTTGATTTTTTAAAGTCTTTGCTTTATGTATCTTATATAAAAGATTCCATTGACACATTTAAACCTATGATTTGGGAAGGACTGAATATATTTTAGTGAAACCAAACAATAAAATGTGGGGTGTAGTCTGCAGAGAAAAGAAAGATATTCAGCACAAAGTTGAAAACACTTTGCTTTAATACGTACAGGTATCACAGTGTGAAATGTAATATTCTGCAGCAGACACAATTTAGTCTATTTTCACATTAATAACATTACTTAATTTGAACGTTACAATAAAGACGTACATGTGTTTATTAAATGTTGTTACTCACTGTTTCATTCTCATTGAATAAATCCACTTATTATGTGTTATAAACAGTGTTGGGGAGTAACTAAATATATGTATTTAGAATACAATATTTCGAATAATAAATATGAGTAACTATTCAATTACAGTTACTATTTTTAAACATGGTATTTAGAATACAGTTACTTTCGTAATACCATTGGAATATTTGTGCGTTTTCCACTTTTCACTCAAAAGATGAATTCATTTCGGGCAACATGCGTCTGTGTTATGTAGGCCATCTATTCCATAATGCCCATAAACAATGTGCCACTGCACACTATGGCTGAAACCATGAGAAGGCTACACCCCCGAGTAGTAACGTAGAGGTGGAGTGGGTGGAGCCACAACCGAAGCCAAATCAACCTACTAGCAGTGAAAGAAAAAATGCATTAACTTCCTGGAAATTCAAGCAATTTTTCACTGTGAAAAAGGAGCTAGGTGCCTGAAATCTGATGGTGCAGTGCAATCTTTGCCTCCCAGCTAACAACCTACTAGCTGAGTCCAACGACTCAACATCTAATCTGAAGAATTTTTTTATTTTCCCAGTCAGTTCATATAGTTTAGCACAAACATGTCCTCTGTTTACCTGAGGGAGTAGCTACCAACGCACATTGTGATATTTAATTGCAGTAAATGCAGATTTTAAGTATTTCAAGTATTTAGAATACAGTGCAAGGATTAAGCAAAGTACGGAAAACGTTACAAAATACATTTTAAAGCAGGTATTCGGTATTCTGTAACTAAATACATTTACAAAACATTCTCCCCAACACTGGTTATAAATTAGGCTTTAAAGTGTCATATAAGGGATATTTATGAATAGATTATTAATCCCACAGTAGGGTATTTCTCATAAGACAGCACATACACAAAAATAAGATTGTAATTCGAGTTAAAGCCATAAACAGGTTATATTTATTTATTTGTTTGTTTATTTATTTGTTTATTTAACTTCTGTTTTTCATGAGGATAGACTACTTGAGCTGTAACATCTCATTTTCGAGCAGGTCCTCCTACAACACAACCAAGATAGAAGAAGTTGACAGAGTTAGTTATAACAGACTTAATTAACAAAAAAAAATATATATATATATATATTTTTTTTTTGTTTGTTTGTTTGTTAATTAAGTCTGTTATTTATATATATATATATATATATATATATATATATATATATATATATATATATAATATACCAACTTTTACGATTTGGCTTTTAGACAGTGACTCGTTTTAGAGTTTTATTGTGTCATTGTTTTAATGTGTTCTTAGTATTCATCATGTTTTATCTGCTTTGACTGGTATTTTTATCCTCTGTTTTAGTTCCTTAGAATGGTCGCGTTTTGTTTTAGCCTGTGCAGCACTTTGGGCAGCTCCCATGCTGCGTTTTAAACGTGCTATATAAATAAACTATGGTATGGTATGGTGTAAGGTTTGATCAGTTCTGATAGATAGGCATGAGCTGGACCATTCAGGGCTTTAAAAACAGAAGTTAAAACCTTAAACTGAATGCGGAATTTAACAGGCAGCCAGTGCAAAGGATGGCAAGGATGGGTATAATGTGACAGCGTCTGGAGGTGTTTGTCAGAAATCTAGCTGCTGCATTTTGTACACGCTAAAGGCGCTCAAATGAGGAGGCACTAACACTAGTAAGGATTGAGTTGGCGTAGTCCAAACGTGAGGTGATAAAAGCATGAAGGACAGTCTCCAGATGAGGTCTTTTGACTATTGTCTTCAAACAAGTGATGGGGCGCAGTTGAAAGAAACAGGACCTGACCGTAGCATTATGTTAAGGCAGGGTCTTTAGCCACTACTCTACAGCTAAGCTGTTACTCTTTCTTTCTGTTTCTATACATGAGCAGTAAGTGTCACATTACGTGAGTCAAGATCACAAAAAATTTGCGTCGATAACAATTTTTGTGGGCCATTTCACTCTAAGCATATATATTTACCTGTAGATTTAAATAAAAATCATATATTTTTAAATGGCCAATGGGGGCCCCAGACCACACGGGGCCCCTAGGCTCAAGCCATATCTTGCCTGTGCAATAGTCCGGGCCACAGCCACACTGCTAAGGGCATAGCCACAGTGGCTATAACCACAGCCACTTTACTACGGGCACAGCTACAGTGGCTTTAACCACAGCCACTGTGTTACGGCACAGCCTATCTCCAGCGGTCAACGGGCAAACAGGCGGAATACACCCTGGACAGAGAGCCAGTCCATCGCAGGGAAACACAGAGACACACAGGACAAACAATCACACACACACACACACACACACACACACACACACACACACACACACACACACACACACACCTAAGGACAATTTAGACAGACCCAGAGAATTATTATTATTATTATTATCATTATTATTTTTATTAAGTCTAGCTTATTTATAAATAAAAAAATGTATTACAAACATATCTGTTTTACTGCTTATTTGGAGAAGAGACATCAGTGATTGAAAGAATTGTGGTCATTTTACTGTTCATTTAAATGCTTCTTATGGGCTAAGAAAGGAAATATTTCACATATAGCACCCAGAATCTTTTTCCACCAGACACAACTGGATATTTCATATAACAACTATGATACAGTAAAAAATAATAATCAGTGTTTAAAATGCCGTTAGTCATCATCACACACTGGTGAAATCACATCTCTGCATTTGACCCATTCCCGTGGGGAGCAATAAGCTGTAGAAGTGGCTGTTTGGGAATTATTTGGTGATTTATCTGGTGTCCTTGCGATTTTGGACTTTGTAGGTTAGTGGTTTTTCTTTGTTAAATGAAAGACAGATAAACATACTGGTTAAGTGTATTAATTGAAATATTAGCCTCACAAATAGAATTGTAAAAATATTTAGGAAATTTAAAGCTGTGGATACTGAACATAACTTTAATAGCTTCAATTTATAAGTGTGAATAAAGTATTATTAGAAGGTTTCTTTCTATTTATTTATTTTTTCAATGAATATTTGATCACAGAGTTGTAGGGCAAACTGGTCAGTTTTGTTTAAAAACAACACTCCCACCCCAGATGGGACTCGAACCCACAATCCCTGGCTTAGGAGGCCAGTGCCTTATCCATTAGGCCACTGGGGCTGTAATGACGTGCAACAGAAAATATTTGAATTGTTTTTTGAATTTTGTGACGTTCATATTGTATGGTTACAGTTTTAAAAAAGCTACGCTTTTTTCTTTCCCATACATTGAAGCAGCGCCATTGCAATTAATACCCTAAACTAGTTGTTAAGCATCAAGGATCATAGCAAGTCAGTAAAGTTGTAAAGAAATGATGTTCCTGTAGCGTGTAAAAAATTAACTGTAAACTAACACTCAAGTGCAAAAACATACGGCAGTCAAACCTGGGGTTATTTTATTTTTCATTTTCGTTATTTATTTGTTGTCTTTGCATATTTTAAAAATGACCAACTCTGTTGCGATGATACTTGTGCTTTTATTTTGAAAGATTTATAGCGGAAACTAAATTTAGCCTTTTAGCTTAACTATTAGCAAGCGAACGGTGTCAGAATATGTTTGACGCTTTTAAGCTTTACTTGATAACCATGGAGATATATAGTTCGGAAAGTGAATTCGGACCTTTTATGAATTTTAATTAGTTTGGGTAATGGTTCATAACTTGTTTAAATATTAGGTGAAACTAGTCATCGACCATTTAGACCATCTGGATTTAGCTGTGTACGGTTACCTAGTAACAGTTTTGCTAGTACTAACATGGTAAGGAAACCTTTTTGACAACTTTGCACTAAGGCACATGTCGTGGTTTGTTTTACATACATATCAATCCGTTTTTAACGCTGCCTTTCTAACCTCCACCGACGTGTACACGACATATATGAGGTAAATGTTGTTAATTGTGATATTAGATCCTCTCACGCGTGAAGCCAGCTGTGGGAGGAGAGACACCGGGGAACAACGGCGATAAGAAGAGGAAAAACAAAAGCAAGGTTCTAAGTTTAGAAGAATATCTCCAACAGAGGGATTATCTCGGAGCCTTGACTCTGCTACAGGTAACTAACGACTTTTAAATGTCTTTGAAAATCGCATCTATGTAAAAGATCGTTTCTTTATGTGTACTTTAGGTCCTCTAAAGTTAAAACCAGTCATTTTTAAACCTTTATTGGTACGTAGAAGGCAGTTATTTATTACACATTAAAGATGCAATAAGTAAGACATGTGCAGTAGCATAATCACAAAAGAGTCTAATATCTCATTCATGTTTAAAGGAATTTTACTTTCAAACAGATACCCTGGTCAGCCTGCTGGGGGGTTGTCAAGTTCTTCTTTTAAAAATGTTGCAAAGAGACACAATCATTGACCCAGTCCCACACTCCAGCCTATGGTCCTCAATGAAGGGCACTTGGTGGAAGTGCATGTAAGGCTTTTGAGTGTGTAGAAAACAAGTGTGCTGTAAACATCGCATCATCAGTTAGCACCACTGCCTCCTACCTCTGCAACTTCCTTAATGGGGATGCCAGCCGCTGTTTGAGCTAATTTGGTGCTTGCAATGTTTTTAAAACCGAAAGATATTAAATCGAGTGAATAAATTACTGCCATGCCATTTCCAAAAATACACACCTGTACCTAGGGTTGTCACGGTATGAAAATTTAACCTCACGGTTATTGTGACCAAAATTATCACGGTTTTCGGTATTATCGCGGTATTTTTTAAACGGTGTTGCATATGCTCAGAAAGCATTGATAGTCCTGTTCTACACAAACTGAAATAGTTTTGAAAAGGTTTAACAGTGTTTATTAAACCTAAAATGACCACAAAGCCTTAGCAAAAGTGCAACTTTTCACAAGGAAAGGAACAAACAGCTTCTTTTTCTGGAACATGTTACAGTAGTCAGTGCAGGTTTAAATTATACAAATCCAAACATTCAAAACATAAACAATATGTAAACAAATCAAAGAAACACCACTTGTTTTCTCATATACTTGTTTTCTTCATTATCAAAATGAAAATCTAAAACTCCAGTCCACACTTGACTTGAGCACTGTACAAGTCAACCTTAAAAAATATGTATTTAAAATAAATAGCCACTTTAAACAAATTACTAAAATAACTACTACACTATGTAATCAAATCCAAATGTTCAAGTATAAATGGCATTGAATAAGTAAAGAAATCAATGACAAGGAACTAATTGTATATTTCTCTTCATCGTCAACAAATAAGATGCTTCATCCAGCAACAGGGTGTCCGTGACACGGTTTAAATGCTGGCAGAGGACGCTGCGGCTGCAGTCTATAGTGACTCGTTGTATTCTCCCTCCACCAAAAGTCCTCACATCATGCATTTAAGCTAAAATGCTGATGTTAACTTACCTTGCACTGGCTGTAGAGACGTGGGTGATGGCCACTCAGATGTGCCATTAGATTCGAAGTGTTGCTGCCTTTTGCAGACACTTGTTTCCTGCACGTTCTGCAAACGGGATAGCCGTCTTCTATTAACTGTCCCTCAGCATTTTTCAGAAATCCAAAATATGCCCATACTTCCGATTTAGTCTTCTTTGAGGGCTGATGGATGTCCTGGGCGCTGCCGTCTCCTCCTTCGGCCATTATTTCAGCTTCAAAGTTTTGGTTGCAAACTAAAAAGTGCGTGTGCGCGGGAACTTCAGCAGAAGCGACGGTGGCTGGTAAGGGTCACTGCGCCTAAACCGCGGCCACGGTAAACCCACCGAGATAATTTAGTTTTTTAAAAACTGGACGGTTATTTTTATTGTCAACTTTTTTACCGGGGTTTACCGCTATACCGGTTACCGTGACAACCCTACCTGTACCGTTATCAGGTAACAGTGTTTCTCAACAGACACGTAATGCATCTTTCCAACAGAGAAACGTTTGATAGTAATCATTTATGTACACTATAAAACATATTAAATATTTTGATATTCACACTTGACACTACATATTTCTGGAAAGGGCACTAGAGCCATTTCTCTGCCTTCTTCTCAAAATTCCAAAACAACAGTGGATTGTGTGTACTTCCCTCCCTGCATCAGTGTGGACCTCGGCGAAGTGCAAATCAAGGGTGCAAAAGAGGCAGGGCTAAGGTCCACTTATGTGAATCAGAACACCCTACGCACTTGCACCACTGGATACGAATACACACTGGAGGGGCACAAGGGAGTGTGAGTATTGGGACTGGGCCTTACTTGCTGGTTCTAGAGCCAATCATAGGTGAGCCTGCAAAGTTGCCAAGTCTCTGAGACTTGGCAACTGAGATCGGGCTGCAATAAACAATATGGTTTACACACAAATGCATAAATATGATTTACAAATGTGTTGACTATTGAGTTGATGATAGTGTGAAAAGGTACTTATTGATTCCTGGATTTGTGAATTACGTGGTCACAGTTTTTGTTTTGATCCAACATAGGGTAAAGAAGGCTAGAGCCTAACACTAAGCTAACAATGCTAACGTCGAAGAAGAAAAAAATAGCCGGCTCTAAAAAATATCTCATTAAAGTCAAATGTATTTATCTACTTATCAACTTACTGTTTTCAACCCCTCTTCACTCGTCATTTAGAATCATAGATCTGTTGCTGGTCCTTAAAGGTGCGGAGAATGTTTCTGAATTTCAGGAGAGAACCGCCCCCCCAAAGTTTTGAAAAAAAAAATGCAAATGAGTGAGAATGCTTGGATATCCTCGCGCACGCTCTGTTTGCAAGGAGCTGCCGGGTTTGCAGCACTTCTTCTAGCAGTAATCTGAAATGAAATTCTCCAAATAGCACGCCGAACTTTAGCTTACCTGTTGAGCAGCAAACCAGCCACAGAGAGACCAACCTTCGCTTTGCGCATGCGCAGGAAGTGAAAACTACCCGACAACGAGCAGGTACGATGACGCCCTTGCATCAGTGTTGTTTTTGGCGGGCATCTTAGTCTTAGTCAGTTTTAGTCGACTAAATCTCAAAAAGGTTTTAGTGAGCAAAGATTTTGTTTTCAGTTTTACAAAAAAATTAAGCAGAAGATTAGTTGCTAACAAATTAATTTATAGATCAGATGAGTACTCTGAGCTACTGGACTGAGTTTCATACAGACATAATTTATTTTAGGGCTATGGGACACAATCTTAGCTGCCCGAGATTTAGTCAAATAAAACAATAATCCCCAGACGTGTATTTTATTTTATTTTTTTTACTTTATTTATAATCACTATATAATTTATTGATGCAGATCTGTGCATCATTCAGTAGATTTTCACAAAAGAAATGAATGATTTTCTTTCCTTAACAGATTGGACTCTTATAGAGCATACAGAGTATTCTACACAATATTTAAATAAAAATAAAGAAATTACTTGGTTTAATTTATTGAGTTATGTTTGAGCCTACAGAATTAATATAAAAAACCCAGTTCTGCTCTTGAGCATCAACAGAGATGCTCGTAAACATTTCGATGGGTTAAACTGTTGTGCTGTTGGTCTAAAAAGCAGGAACCAAGGAGCAGATAAAATAATCCAAACCCACTGACTGTAAAACGTTCGTCTTATACATGTTCAGATAAAACCTGCAAAAAAAAACAACGTAATTTCTTGCATTTTTTTTTTTTTTTTGCCAAAAAGCATGGCTTTTTCTGGAAGCACACAGATAAGAAATGTGTTAATTTTACAGATATATAGGGCTTGTGATCACACATGATTACGCATAGCGTAGCATTCCAGGATGTGCGCAGACATGTTGGCGGCCTTACGAGTGTAAACAAACCGTGAAACAAACAGTATGTCGCAGAGAAGAAGCGGATTTGGGTGAAAGAAAGTGTTAAACAACATGTTAAAATCCCAAAAAGGATGCGGAATATACAGGGAAATGTAAAATAAAATTGTCGGGGACTGGTATGTGGACTAAATCAGCATCATAAACTGTTTGAATACATATTAAAGACCCACGACTGGAGCACTGACAACAACTTGTTGCCGCCGCAGCTCTGTATAACGGATATTTTCAGCTTTCCTGTTTGTGGTGTGAGCAGATATAAATGTACTAAAGAGAGGTAAATGTTTCATTTGCTGGATTTTCTAGTATAAAAATCAAAATTGTTATACCTCAGTAGAAGTTTAGCAGGAGATGTTGTGTGTCAGTGCACCCGCATTAGCCTACCTGTGTGTGTGTGTGTGTGTGTGTGTGTGTGTGTGTGTGTGTGTGTGTGTGTGTGTGTGTGTGTGTGTGTGTGTGTGTGTGTGTGTGACGGTTGTTTGAAAGAAACAATGTATAAACAAACACCATCTGTAACTTACCAAAATGACCATAAGGCTGGACAATAATTCAATAACGATAAATATCGATCAATAGATGTGTGGTTCGATACAAAGAAAATGGATTAATAAAACTTTCAATAAAAGTTTTCTTTTTCCATTGTAGCCTATCAGGTAGCTTCATACTAGAGTCATTATTTACAACCAACCAATCAAAACACAGGCCCAAGCACGAAATTAGCATTTTGAGCATAGTTTCTATCTAGTCTCAGCTCGTTAACGAAAACTCCTGCTCATCTCATCATGTTTTAGTCACCAAAGAGCTATTTTTAGTTTGTCAGAGTCTTGTTTCATGATGAAAAAAAAGAAGCGTCAGCGAAATCAATTCGTCATCATTATTGTTAACGAAAACAACACTGCCTTGCAAGAATGGTTCACAAGAATGATTGACAGTTATGCAGACTAATGGTTCAGATGATCCACCTGGAAGAAAATGATCCTCCGCTATACCTTTAACTGGCAACAGTTGCTCAAAGAGGACTGTTTTGTTTTGAAACATGGTCAGTACCCAGATCTGACCACATGATGTCATTCTTACTTCACGCACCTTTAATTCATGTCCATAGATCAACCTCAGCTAAATGAATCCAATAAAAATAATTTTCATCGTCGAAAAACTCTTGAGGATTGAGATAATTCCAGAATTAGCCTTTCCAAAAAAAGAATGACATTCTTATTGGTGCTACAGATATTAACGTGACGAGAGGCTGCAGCTGCTGCTGATGTGTTGCTGTGTCGTCTTTAGTTTCAGAGAAGTACTGGAGAGAAAGAGGAGCATGCTGACCTCTGGCTGGGCTACTGCGCCTTTCATCTCGGGGATTACAAGAGAGCCATTGAGGTAATTTAGCTTATCTGTAAATGGTCTGGGTTTACAGATTTCCGTATTAGTAAAAAAATATATATATATTCAGAGCCAAAAAGAATAACAGAATTTTTTACTATTTAGTCTGATGACATTTTTATGACACTATCATGTTGCGACAGGAGTATAAATCTCTGACTGTGAAACCTGATTGCCCTGCTGAGGTGTGGGTCTACCTGGGCTGTGCTCTGTTTTTTCTGGGTCTGTATAAAGATGCTGAGGAGGCTGCATCAAAGGGTAGGAGATCCCAGTTATTCTGCGTATTAAACACCTAACATGTGCTCAGGCCTAGTCCACACGTAGCCAAGTTTTTTTTAAACAAATATCCGCCCCTCCAAAAACTTGCATCCACACCACCTCGTTTTAAAACAAAACTCTGTCCACACGTACCCGGATAAATACGTTGTTAAGGACATGCCAGACCTGTAGGCGGCAGTACTTCCCCCGTTCTTAACCTCGTCCTTCTCTGTGGTCTTCCGCAAGGAGCAGTAATTCCGCTTGCAAAAACAAACAAGCAAAAAGCGCTTGGACAATTGATAAAGCGAGCGCAGCTCTGAGGGCATCCATGCTGTCGGCTAGTGTAAACACAGGTCGCACACGTGATGTCAGCATTTTTTTTGTCCCGGAAAGTGACGTTGCGGACCTTAAAACTCCGGTTTTGTCTGTCCGCACGCAGACACCCAAAACGGAGAAAACGCAGATCTTCGCTTTGGCCGGAGTGTTTAAAAAGATCCGTTTTCGTGTGGATGACAGGCCAAAACGTAGAAAAATATCTACGTTTTGGCAGATCCCCGGCTACGTGTGGACAGGGCCTCAGTAGAGCTTAATACCACACATAGGCAAGGCAAGGCAGATTTATTTATAGAGCACATTTCAAACAATTATCAGGACTTGATATGAAAACAACATAAAAAGACAAATTAAAATACACACAAATGGATTTACAGTTTAGAGCTAAAGGAGAAGACAAAGTTACAGCGCAGATTACTACATACATACTGTATTTTGTCTATGTGGCCCTTGTAACAGGACCCTGAGAAATGTTCATATTTAGGTTGGCTGTAGGAAAGGCTAGTTTCTATAAGTGCATGTCATTTCAACAGAATTAAGACAATTTGTTCAGTGTTGGTTGTTTTTGATGTCGTTTTTGAATAAAGTTGTCTTAGCACTGAAATTACAGTGGTGCCTGTGTGATCTTAGTGCTTTAACCAGAACAGATTTATTTATTAAAACTGGAGCATGTGCACATTTTAGTGCCAGAGTTTAACTTTACTAAAACGCTTAGAGTTAATACAGTTTGTTTTACTTTTCAACTAAAGTGAAATAGCTTTATATAGTTTAAGAAATCCAATTTTCTTTGTTTTATCCAATCATTGTTATTTATTCCTCGTGGTTCTTTGTTGTGGAGAAAAGGCTGCTTACATGTTAGTCTTTCAGATGGCTGCTATCTCCAGCTTGACCACTAAATGTCAGTGTTTTTACTGACAGGTCCTCTAATGTGCATGATGTATTTATCCCGGGAAACCAGTTTCAAGTCTGACTAAAACAAAGAAAAAAGTATTTTAGTATTAGAGGTTTTGGTTTCTTTTGAAGAGAGAATGGTTTTTAGTACATCCTAAAATTGCCTTCTTGCTAAATAAATTAGTTAAGGTTGACATTTGCCTTTGTCTTACTCGGTTTGGTGTGTTTTGTTCCCTGCAGCGCCAATGTCAGCCCTCCAGAACCGGCTTCTCTTTCACTTGGCTCACAAGGTTAGAAGATCCTGACTTTTTTAATGTAATTGTATATCTGTCTTGTCTTTCCCTATTAACTCATTCACTGCCATTGACGACTAAAGTCATCATTTTAGATCCAACCGTTCACTGCCAATGACGACTAAAGTCGTCATTTGCATTTCTTTTACTGTTTGAGCATCGGAACGAGCCCCCGCGCTGAGAGAACTAACATCTCAGCCCTGAAGCCGATCTTCAACCGCATACGTCACAGATCACATGATCAGGAAGCAACACATCCATGTGTTAGGAGATCGTTTTGGGCCGTTCCTGTAAAAAAAGTGAGGCGCGAACCGGAAAAGCGTCTGCCGATCACAATTCGACAACGGATTATGAAAGAACGGATAACGCTCGAAACACGCGGCTTCTTCCTGATGTAAGAGGTGAGTCTCCTCTTTGTTTTGGTTGTTTACGCATCGACATCATGCTAGCGCGCAACGTTCTGTGACTCTTAAAAAAAACAGTAAAAACGGTGAGAAACGCTGGCAGCGAAGGCCATTAGTGATCAGGAAACGGCTGGCAGTGAATGAGTTAAAAGTGGCAGTTCACACGAGTTTCTGTGGGAAGGCTGTTAATATCTCACCTGGTGCAGAAAAGTCATTGAACAGCCTCAGTTTTGAAAAACATAGATTAGTCCTGATCAGACAGGCTAACAACTTGTTTCAGTGGGGGTGGTTTCAAAGTGCCTTAAAACAATTAAAATGTCTAAAATTGCATTACAATTTTTAATAAACTTTGTAATGTCTTAAATTTAACATTATTTCTGCAGAATTGTAAGAAATTGCAATCGGACGTACTAAAGTAGCCAGCTCTACAACTAAGCACATAAACTGATGTTTAAAAAAGAACCATCATTTGATGGGAAAATATGGAGATGTGACTATTTCTAAAACAAGGTTTGCATGTACTGCTATGAAACTTGGGGGTTAGTTGTTTTAAAGGGCAGCTTTACACCTTTCAGAGTTTACTATTGACACAGTATATGACCAAATTTTACTGCTGGCACTTGTCATTTATAATGAAATACAAGTTATTTTTGTGAGCTATTACTTTAACCTGGAAATAAGAGGCTTGAATTCAATGAAATCCCACATCCCCCATGTGAATTTCAAAATAGTTCAACCATTTATGCCCATTAAACACTTCTTCAGGAAAACTGGACTGGGATCCTGTTCTTGCAGACAAAAATCCATTTCCGGGTTCTAGGCATTATTTAAAGTGCTGACTAGATAAGAAACAATTAACTTCTTCTTAACTGTGGAGATTAAACTCCCTTCTAGCTACACAGAGAGATTGGGCATTAGTGTTTACAGTCCAGTGGAGGAGGGATTGGGATTTGAGACTACATGGATGGGGAGAAGTGGGCTGTGATGATGAATCAGCAACAACTCCATCCAGCCATCTGCAGTAGCTTAGCATCGTTTACCAGAGCTAAAGGGGAGAAGCAGCCGAGACAGGAAAATCCATACGTGAAGCCAAAAACCACTTTGGGGTGTTTTTCACGAGGAAATAGCAATATAGCATAGTCGAAGGCTCCAAAAAGTAGATTTTATATGATATAGTCTGTTTATAATGGGAGAATTATTTAGTTACTGGCCCCTCTCAGACTGGCTATGAGGTCATCTGTCCAGACGGAAATCATCTGTTTCTATATGTAGGTAAACATTACAGTTCGATTCTAACATTCTCACCCTCAGTCGCTGTAGTCCTGACTTATTTTTCCTTTTGTGTTTCAGTTCAACAATGAAGAAAGACTCATGGGGTTCCACCAGAACCTTCTGGATGTAACCGAGGACCAGCTGAGCCTGGCATCCATGCACTACATGCGCTCTCACTACCAGGAGGCCATAGACATCTATAAACGCCTTCTGCTTCAGAACAGGTTCACACTGTTTCCTCACCTTCACTCTGAGTTTCACTAATTTACTCTGTTATGGAGTAGGGTGGGCCATGGGCAATTCAGTGAATTTTCTGACTTGTTTGCCAAAAGAAAAAGAAAAGATGTAGAGTTATAGAGCTTGGGTCATAAAGAGCAACAATCCCCAAATGATTTAGTAAAAAACAAAGCAAAAAAATAAATTTACAAATTGTTAAATATTACCGGTGCAACTCTGTGACTGGTGTTTTGTTTTTTCCCCGTTCATTCCAGTTAATTCCGTACTCTGAAAGTTCAACTTCCAAGTAGAAATGATGAACTAGAACAACCCCCAAAGTCAGAGAATGTTTTTTAACACAACTTCGAGGTTCAATAAAGCAGCTCCTTGTAATAACAACAGTAGCTGTGGTGGAAACATGTTTATTTTACAGGTTAAACTTTTAAGGGTCTGCCTAAAATCAATGTTGTGTACAGTTATATATTTTCGGAGGTAAAGGGAACGCACCATGATGTCCGTCCTCCACACAGCGGAGAAGAGTAGACGCTGCACCGACCACTACTGGCGCATTTGCGGTTTCTATTTTTATTTTTCTGTTATGGTTAACGGGATGTTTTAGCTAGGCTTTAGCTCCTTGGAGATTTGGAGCTTGAACGTCAAAAGATTAAGTTCACAAACATGTTTGTGCACGCCAGACCGAAATTTAACGTGCATCAGGCAAATTACGAACAAGTTCAGTTCACGTTCACAACAATAAACGAACGAGTTCACGGACAATCGTTCAATGAACGTGCTCGAGCACAACACTGATGCCCACCCTAGGACCTGTTTGCCAGACAGCTTGGCTCCTAGGATCACTGGGACACTCAAACCCCTCCACCATGGTAAGGTGGCAGCCCAGGGAGGGCTATTCATGGCCCATTGAGGCAAAACTACTTTCATGTTTGTTTGAATGCTAATAAGCAATGGATATTTGCCTATCAGCATTAAAATGAACATGAAAGGAGTTTTGCCTCATGATTTCATGTTGTCTCTGCAGAGATTTCCTGGCTCTAAAAGTGTACGTGGCTCTGTGTTACTACAAGCTGGACTACTACGATGTGTCCCAGGAGGTGTTGGCTGTCTACCTGCAGAGAGTCCCTGACTCAACCATCGCTCTCAATCTCAAGGCTTGCAACCACTTCAGGCTGTACAATGGCAAGGCAGCAGAGGTACTAAGGGTTTGTGTTTAGGTTGGGTTTACATGTTTGTTGTTTGCATGAAGTTATTTAGGAGTTTCGGAATGCAGCAATTAAAAATTACAGCCTTACAGCAGCGGCAACACAAAACTGTATCTGTACTATAAATGTATTTATTTATTTTTTAATCTATAACTCAATCAGTCCTCCTAATAAAGGATGATGTGATACCTTAAATGCAATTGAATCGTGTGTGTGTGTGTGTGTGTGTGTGTGTGCGCGCGTGTGTGTGTGTGTGTGTGTGTGTGTGTGTGTGTGTGTGTGTGTGTTTGTGTGTGCATGACTCTTTTCATAGGCAGAGTTAAATAACCTGATGGACATCTCCTCCTGCTCTTTTGAGTTTGCAAAGGAACTTATTCAACATAACCTGGTAGGCGCTGAGTGTGTGTGTGTGTGTGCGCGCACTTGTACAGCTATCCTACTTAGGACCAGAAATGGCATTTTCACTAATCTTCTGAAGACCAATGGTCTGTGTTAGGACCAAAACCCGGTCCTAATACGGTGGACTCCCTGTTTTAGGCTTAGGGGTGAGGTTTACACATAAGATGTGAATGGCGTTTTTGTTACAGTTGAGTTAGGAATACCTTGATTATGGTTAGGTTTAGGGTAAGGGTTTGGGTTAGGCATAAATGCTGTTACTAAAATGAATGGAAGTCAATACAAAGTCCTAATATGGATAGAAATGCAAGATTGTGTGTGTGTCCAGTCAGGTCTTACATTACTCTGATCCGTTTGCTCTGCAGGTAGTGTTTCGTGGTGGGGTGGGGGCATTGCAGGTGCTGCCTCCTCTGATTGATGTGATCCCTGAAGCTAGACTCAACCTGGTCATCTACTATCTGAGGCAGGGTGTGTACATGTCCTACACACAAGTATCATAACTCTAAGTTTTAGTGATGATAAATTGTGGTGTTTTGACAAAAACTGCTCACAGGAAGCAAGCAACACTTGTCCAAGTACAATATTTACCTGGTTGATAGGCAGAGCCAACTAAACTAAATACTGATGAAAAAAAACAGAAATTTTATATATTAAATGATGATAGAATAATAGTTTTACTTTATTTTAGAAGGGCATCTGGCCCTCACGGTGTCTGTTGGAAAAAACCCTGGCCTTTGAACAAATTTAGTTCAGGACCTCTGCCATAAGCCATCTGCCGCTGCGCAGCACTGCTAGCGCTTCCCTGGCCCTGGTCCTGTTGGCTAGCTTCAGTTAGCATTCACCTGTCTTTATTCACCCACCACTCTGATTTATGCATTTAGGTTTGCTGCAGCATTTCCCTCAGGTCACATGATTACTTCTCAGGATCTTTCTGGAGATCTGAGGAGACATTTCAGTAGTTCGATTATGACAGGCGAACAGCGAGGAGCAAGGTGCGTAGGGTTCCCGCGGGGTCATGAAATGTCCTATAAGCATTAAATTTAGGAATTTAAAAATAATACCTTAAAAAGGCTTTAAAAATTCTTGAATTTTGGCAACTGGGTTTTTAAATTTGTGCTGTATGTAAATTCTTCGTAATATATTTGTCCTCTAAAGGTTCATTTGTCAACCATAATCATTTTTTATTAAATAATGTAGCATAAATAAAGAGTGGAGAAACCAATAATTGAGAATGCAGCGCAGCCTTGGGACAAAATACTCCAAACACGCAACGTATTCAGTTCCCGCGCTACAGCAGTGATACAAAACATTCTATTCAATTCAATTGAATTCAAAGATACTTTATTAATCCCAGAGGGAAATTAGAGTTTCAGTGCACACAATTCTGAGATTAGACATGCATTCATAAGCATAGACACATGAGAAGAATTGGTGACTATGGTCATTCGCAACCCGAGTCGCGCTACCTTAATAGAAATCCGAGGGTTTATATGAGGATTGAGTCAGGTGGAGGAAAAAAAGGCACTTCAGAGTTACCCTCCACAGGGAGGGCAGCTTTGCTCTGCAAGAAACACCTCAGACAGAAATGCAACAGACTTCAGACATTAAACAACATAAATGTCCACTAGGTGGGGAGGTAGGGTTGTGGACTCTCCACACGTCAGTGCATGCAGCCACGATAAGCAGCGCTCGTCACCTCCGTTTGGACAGGGGAGGGAGGTAGTTGGGTTTAGAAAGCACAGTGACTCCTGGAAACGATTCAACGGCCTTCACCGGTCGCAGTCCCGCCCAGGCTGGGATAGGGAGACAGAGTTGCCATGACAATGGCAGCCTTCCACATTTCTTCTGAGGGGGGAGTATTCACTTCAGCCTCACAGGCTCAAGGGCACCACATTCAGATAAGAACTTGTTTTGGGGCCGGATAGAGATCATTTCCTCTCTGCCTTAAAGTTCCATTGGTCCTCAACCCCTCTAAATCCAATATTGGCATAATTAATCTATCCCAATCCGTGCTGATCCGTCAACTCTATCCTTGATGGCATCAACCTTCTGTGCCAGAGTCTGAATCTCAGCTAAAGTGCCAAGCTTACGACTCATCTCGACAATTGAGTTTGTGCATTCACAGCGAGGTGTAATCCATCCCTGAGCTCCGGGATTGAGCCAATATTCCTCGACAGCTCATTAATTTTCCGGTAAGCCAGGTAACCACTCAGGCCGAAAAGCAGAAAACCTGACTCCAACACCACGAATATCCAGACGTCTTCAGAATCCTCTACAGACAGTTGAGAGAGGCAGATCAGGTTCCACTGTTTCCAGGAGTCCATGCTATGCCCAGCTGGCTCTGTCCCAGAGGGGCATCCGGGAGCCCCTTCTCCCATTCTCATCGTTGAAAAAATTTTGTCAATCGCGTTGAGACCAGCTGACCAGATACATTTTAATAATTTCCAGTTTCCAGAAAAAATGCAGAAGTGCCATACACCCAAAGACAGACAAAGAGCCTTGGGATAAGATAGGGAGGAGAGGAGGAAAAAAGTGTCTGTACTCTCCAAGAGCCGGAAGAAGAAGATAACAGACCACACAGACCTCCAGCAGAGGAGAAACGCAGAAAATCTCAGCAGACCATGAGAAAGGTTGACTGATATATAGGGCTGGGTGCCGGAGCTCTGGACTTGTTTGGGACTGAGTGAAAACATTCGCTAGGTACAGATATCAGAAAAAAGGTATTAAAATGTCCCAATGTGCCACCATGGATCACATGACTGATCCTGAGTCACGTTATGAGTGCAGAAGACGCGTTTCCTTTCAACAACACTTCTCTGTAGTTTGTGGATGTAAACACAAAAAAAATCATACGTTTGGGTGCTTTTTGCTTAAGTAAGCGGCAGCTAAATGCAACACCAGCAAGATTTGTGCTGCGCAAATCAGGAATAGCAGCAATTTAACAAAGCAGCTCGTCATGCAGGGCCTCATCTTCTGAGCTGGAAACATGGAAAGTCTTTGACTGCTAAAAGTAAACCCGAGTCACTAGAGGAGTCTGAGGATGGCCAATAAAAACAGAAATAGGACATAAAACCAACTTAGCTGCTGTTTACTAGCATTATAAATGCATTTCAGCAGGGTTGTTATTCCCTGACATGAAGGGAAGCATTAATGAAGGCTATTTTTGTACACATATTTCAATTTAGTGCCTTTATTGTTTTCACTGTAGCTTTGCTGAAATTAAGTATAATTTAAATAAATATAATAAAATAATATAAACAATAAGGACAAAACCTTTAAGTAGTTTGTTATCCTCTCTTCAATTTTAAAAATATAGATTTCAACAAAGGTATCGTTAACGTACAGCCATCAAAAACCAGGTACCATTCCTGGTGTGTGTCTGTGTGTGTATGTATGTATATATGTATATATGTATATATATATATATATATATATATATATATATATATATATATATATATATATACATACATACATACATACATACATACATATATATATATATATATATATATATATATATATATATATATATATATATATATATATATATGTATGTATGTATGTATGTATGTATGTATATATATATATATATATATATATATATATATATATATATATATATACAGTGGGGCAAAAAAGTATTTAGTCAGCCACCGATTGTGCAAGTTCTCCCACTTAAAATGATGACAGAGGTCAGTAATTTACATCATAGGTACACTTCAACTGTGAGAGACAGAATGTGAAAAAAATCCATGAATTCACATGGCAGGATTTTTAAAGAATTTATTTGTAAATCAGGGTGGAAAATAAGTATTTGGTCACTTCAAACAAGGAAAATCTCTGGCTCTCACAGACCTGTAATGTCTTCTTTAAGAAGCTTTTCTGTCCTCCACTTGTTACCTGTATTAATGGCACCTGTTTGAACACATTATCTGTATAAAAGACACCTGTCCACAGCCTCAAACAGTCAGACTCCAAACTCCACTATGGCCAAGACCAAAGAGCTTTCGAAGGACACCAGGAAAAGAATTGTAGACCTGCACCAGACTGAGAAGAGTGAATCTACAATAGGCAAGCAGCTTGGTGTGAAAAAATCAACTGTGGGAGCAATTATCAGAAAATGGAAGGCGTACAAGACCACTGATAATCTCCCTCGATCTGGGGCTCCACGCAAGATCTCATCCCGTGGGGTCAAAATGATCATGAGAACGGTGAGCAAGAATCCCAGAACCACATGGGGGGACCTAGTGAATGACCTGCAGAGAGCTGGGACCACAGTAACAAAGGTCACCATCAGTAACACACTACAACGGCAGGGAATCAAATCCTGCAGTGCCAGACGTGTTCCGCTGCTGAAGCCAGTGCATGTCCAGGCCCGTCTGAAGTTTGCCAGAGAGCACATGGATGATACAGCAGAGGATTGGGAGAATGTCATGTGGTCAGATGAAACCAAAGTAGAACTTTTTGGTATAAACTCAACTCGTCGTGTTTGGAGGAAGAAGAATACTGAGTTGCATCCCAAGAACATCATACCTACTGTGAAGCATGGGGGTGGGAACATCATGCTTTGGGGCTGTTTATCTGCTAAGGGGACAGGACGACTGATCCGTGTTAAGGACAGAATGAATGGGGCCATGTATCGTGAGATTCTGAGCCAAAACCTCCTTCCATCAGTGAGAGCTTTGAAGATGAAACGTGGCTGGGTCTTCCAACACGACAATGATCCCAAACACTCCGCCCGGGCAACAAAGGAGTGGCTCCATAAGAAGCATTTGAAAGTCCTGGAGTGGCCTAGCCAGTCTCCAGACCTCAACCCCATAGAAAATCTGTGGAGGGAGTTGAAAGTCCGTGTTGCTCGGCAACAGCCCCAAAACATCACTGCTCTCGAGAAGATCTGCATGGAGGAATGGGCCAAAATACCAGCTACTGTGTGTGCAAACCTGGTAAAGACCTATAGTAATCGTTTGACCTCTGTTATTGCCAACAAAGGTTATGTTACAAAGTATTGAGTTGAATTTTTGTTATTGACCAAATACTTATTTTCCACCCTGATTTACAAATAAATTCTTTAAAAATCCTGCCATGTGAATTCATGGATTTTTTTTCCACATTCTGTCTCTCACAGTTGAAGTTTACCTATGACGTAAATTACTGACCTCTGTCATCATTTTAAGTGGGAGAACTTGCACAATCGGTGGCTGACTAAATACTTTTTTGCCCCACTGTATGTATGTATGTATATATAGATTTATTTATTTATTTCCATATCTGTTCTGAATGACATAATGCTTACACAATCTTTTACTTTATTTATTTGATGTGTGTTTTTTAGGTGACATCCAGGAAGCTTACAACCTGATTCGAGATCTGGTTCCCACCTCAACTCAGGTAACAAGTTTTATTGTGATGAGTCACCTGTTTTCTGTGAGATAATGGCCTTCATGAAAACGCTAATCTGTGTGTTTTTATGTAAATTGACTTGAACAGTCTTTAGTTTGGGAACTTTTAAAGTCAAACCTGTGTCTAAATTAATTACCCACAACTAAAACTAGGGCTGCACAATATATCGAAAAATTATCGTCATCGCGATAACAGGACGTGCGATAGGCCCATCGCAAAGCACGTCAAAAACGGCGATAAATGTTTGGTTCAAACATTTCCATCCGTGTCATACATCAACTTTTTGTAAACCAGCTGTTTTTTACGCAGAAGTATTATTTGGCCAATCAAATGTAGCCCTTCTGATATGCGGCCAATCAGATGGGTGTGGGGCTGCTTTTCACCAAGGGGAACTGGCAGATTTCATGTTATTGAAGGCAGGATGAATGGAGTAATGTACCAGAACATTCTGGATAAAATCTGCTGCCATCTATCAGACAGCTGAAAATAAAAAGAGCGTGGACATTTTAGCAAGACACCGATACCAAATACAAGGCCAAGGATCAATGAATTGGTGACACAGAAAGAAAATCAAGTTGCTTGAATGACCCAGTCAACCTGACCTAAATCACAAAGAAAATCTATGGCGATAACTGAAGATCAAAGTTCAGGCCCAAGAAATCTTTCAAGATTTAACCCTCCCACTGTCCTAATGGGTGTGACCCCGTGAGGAAAGTTGACCATTGAGCAGGGTTGATGGTTTATCCCTTGGGTTCACGTAGCAGGGGTGAGGAGTGAGCACCACCTCACCCCTGCTACGTGAACCCAAGGGATAAACCATCAATCCTGCTCAATGGTCAACTTTCCTTGCGGGGTCACCCACAAAGAACATTTGTGTGGAAGAATTGGCCAGAATCATTCCTGAGCAGTGCAGACGACTGGTCCCTCCATACAAGAGGCGTCTAGAAGCGGTAATCACCAACAAAGGCTTCTCTACAAAGTATTAAATAAAGTGTGTTCATTACTTATTCCTTGTGCCATTTCACTCCATTTATTATGACTCAATTTGTGTGCTTAAATGTTCTGATTTCTTTTTATGAATTTGTGTTTTTCTTGGTGGCAACATCTGGTGGAAATGTTGTGTCAATCGCCCGCTTACAAATACCCTTACTGATAGAAATGCTGATGTGTCAAATACTTATTCTCCCTGAATCTGGATGAACTTTTGGCTTTTGTTATCATTTGAAAACATTTGACGAACCCTTCAAAGAAATGACATGATAACTCTGGTGACTGATTACTTTTACAGGAGTACATTTTGAAAGGAGTGGTAAATGCAGCTCTCGGACAGGAAATTGGCTCGGTGAGTATTTCTACAGAGTTATTGTACATACCAACACACACACCATAGCTTCAGTGTGTGTGTGTACACTTTAATCTTCCAGAGGGATCACTTGAAAATTGCTCAGCAGTTCTTTCAGCTGGTCGGAGGCTCCGCTAGCGAATGCGGTGAGCCAAATAAAATAGTTTAAGTTTGTTTCATGCAACCAGAATATGTGAGAATTTGTTTACTGGATTTGTTTTTAACTTTCAGATACCATTCCTGGCAGACAGTGCATGGCGTCCTGCTTTTTCCTCCTGAGACAATTTGAAGATGTTCTCGTTTATCTCAGCTCTGTTAAGGTTAGTGAGGAATCTGTTATTATTGTAGCGTGGTAATAAAAGAAATGCTGTGGCTGAGAAATGTCATTTCAGATTAAAAGTGGTGCTTAAAGCACATTTATTCAAGTATGTTTTCCTCTTTTTCACGATAAACAATAAAAAGCTGACTTTTTGTAGCATTTTATTCCTGGGTGTGTGGGCAATCGTCGTTTTCTGCTGTGCTTTTCTCTTCCAGGGTTACTTTTGCAACGATGATACATTCAGCTTCAACTACGCTCAGGCTAAAGCAGCACTTGGCAACTACAAAGAAGCAGAGGAGGTATTATAATGGAGCAATTCTCAAGAGCTCGCTCTCTCCGACCTTGATTCATTTCTTACATTTTTGTCGTTCTTTTTGCGTTTTGTAGCTTTTTCTGCTGATCCAAAGTGAAAAGATCATCAATGACTATATTTACCTCAGCTGGCTGACACGATGCTGTACGTATGGTTGATTCTGTCTCTGCTTTTATATTTACTCATGTCAGATTTCAGAATGAGGTCAGTTGTACGGGGGCATCCACGCTCCAAAACCTAATCAGCTGTAGATGTACATCCGGGGTCTCATTTACAAACCATTGTGTAGAATTCTTACTAAAAACCGTACAAAAATATTTATTTACGCCAAGTAGGTTTGTGACTTATAAAGCATGGAGTACGCACAGCTTCACGCAATCTCCGCTTTATAAATCAGAAACTGTCTAGAAATGTTCTCAGGTGCTTGTTCTGTGTGTGCATGAAGCCGTACAAGTGGAAACGCTGCTGGAATTCATGATTTTATCCCTCCCAGCAGCAGCACTGCAGGTGCTCTCCATGTCCAAAATGTGCGTAAGCCAGGTCCTTAGTCAACTTAAAGTTGCGCACATTTTTCCGCTGCGTTTTCTTTCATAAATCCCAAAGTTTGCGTGGAAAGTTGCTTACGCAGTTTTCCGACCCCGTTTTGTGCGTAAGCAAGCTTGATAAACGAGGCCCCTGTTGATTTATTCAAGCCTGTCCAGTGGTTCATGAAATGTTTCACTAACAGAAGTACGAAATGTATTTAAACTCAGTTGGAGGAAATGGTAATAAGAGCAGAGGCTGAATCTCTGGCTTTTGTACCAATAATTAGTCAAATCTTTAAAGCAGTCTTTAGTATGAAAAGCTGCTTGCAGAATATTACCTGTTCATTTCAGTTGGTTGTCAAGATTTATGTTTAGTATTAATATTAGAATGAGGCAAGATGAAAAATGAAAACAAGAGCAAATATAATCCAGTCCCACAACCCAGCTGCTGTTTTTGGCTTCAGCAGCCGGAGGGCCTTTAAAGGCCGACAGGAAACAGGATGCTGTTGTCTCTTAACTGATGACGTAATAGTAATAATCATAATCAATAGTAATAATCATCTCAGACGGAAACAACAGCAGCTCCTCTGATGTCACCACAAACAAACACAGTGACTTTAACTCAACATTGTCATCCTCGGAGACGACACGTTTCACATCTAAAGGGTGTTTATTGATTCTGTCAGGCGTGCTGGTGAGTGAGACGGAGGTGAAGATCCACACGCGGGTGAAGAAGGAGGAAGGCAAGCAGACAGGAACATTAAAACAGGGATTTTAATCAGGAACACGCTGATATAGAAACAATGATCCAACACGAGACACAGAACTGAAGGGGTTTAGGCCCTGTCCACACGTAGCCGGGGATCTGCCAAAACGTAGATATTTTTCTACGTTTTGGCCTGTCATCCACACGAAAACAGAGTTTTTTCACACGAAAACGGATCTTTTTAAAAACTCCGGCCAAAGTGAAGATCTGCGTTTTCTCCGTTTTGGGTGTCTGCGTGTAGACAGACAAAACCGGAGTTTTAAGGTCCGCAACGTCACTTTCCGCGACAAAAAAATGCTGACATCACGTGTGCGACCTGTGTTTACACTAGCCGACAGCATGGATGCCCTCAGAGCTGCGCTCGCTTTATCAATTGTCCAAGCGCTTTTTGCTTGTTTGGTTTTGCAAGAGGAATTACTGCTCCTTGCGGAAGACCACAGACGAAGGACGAGGTTAAGAACGGGGGAAGTACTGCCGCCTACAGGTCTGGCATGTCCTTAACAACGTATTTATCCGGGTACGTGTGGACAGAGTTTGTTTTTAAAACGAGGTGGTGTGGATGCAAGTTTTTGGAGGGGCGCATATTCATTTAAAAAAAACCTGGCTACGTGTGGACTAGGCCTTAAATACAAGAGGGCTGGGAGCTTGGGTGATTGGGAAAGGAGAGGCAGGTGGGAGCAATTAACATGGACACAGGACTGAACCAAAAGGGGAGACAGGACAGGGTGTGACAGATTCTGAGTTATTTATCCGTATCGATAACAGAACAGTAAGATTAACAAAGGGTGGCTCTGCTGATCAAAACACACACGGATGCTTTAGTTGATTTTACATCCAGACTCACCAAGGGCTTAGTTGTGTAAATCACTGAGTTCACATGTTTATATGTAACATGTGATGATGGAAAACACTTTCCAGAACACAACAACAGGCTGTTTGTGGAGCTAGATTAAAGCTTCTCACTGATGTAGAATAAAAGTGCTTTCACCAAAGAAAAAGCAGAAATCTATAATTCAGCCCTTTCAGGTTTGCAGCCCCTCTTTCATCTAGTTGTTGCTTTTTGTTGTGATGAGCTTTATAATTATAACGCCTCACTTTGTAAACTCGAGTTATAAATGAAATGCAAGGCGGTCAGTGCATTTTTTTTACACAGACTATCAAATTAATTATTAAATATTCATTTTAATATGGAATATGTGGTGGGAATCATGTTAAAAAGAAAGATGGCAACCCCTTGTGGTAACACCAGTTATCTTTGAGTGGAGATTCGGGGACCTGTTCATGCCACCGAACGATTCTGGCTCGGTAGAAAACTTTCCTCTGGTTTTAACACAACAGCTGGACGTGGAGTGTGTAGATGAGGCGTTACAGGTGTAGGTACAGTGGGATGCAAAAGTTTGGGCAGCCTTGTTAGTCTTCGTGATTTTCCTGTATAAATCGTTGGTTTTTACGATAAAAATTTTCACATTTCAAATTAAGGAACCAGAAAACCACAAAATGTCTTTCTTACCCTCCTGCACCTCCAACAAAAGCAACATGTGAGGTGTCACCTAGTGCTCAGGTCACATGACTTCACACCCAGAAGAAAGGAGCTGACACTCAGGGGTCAGGGGTCAATGTCACTCAAGAATACATCCACTCAAGACCAGCAGCACCCCTCCAGAGCAGCTACTACAAAACCATCTTTGGCATCTCTCTTGGTGCAGCCGGTCTCTCTCTCTCTCTCTCTCTCTCTCTCTCTCTCTCTCTCTCTCTCTCTCTCTCTCTCTCTCTCTCTCTCTCACTCACTCACTCACTCACTCACTCACTCACTCACACACACACACACACACACACACACACACACACACACACACAGTTTAAGGCAGACTGGCCTGTCAGACTCCTCCTCTGTGCAGAATTAAACGAAGGAGTCTGACAGGCCAGGCTAAGTTTAAGGTGCAAAAAGGTAAAAGTTTAAATGTAAACATGGTAATAGGACAAGTCTAAACTACAAACTGAAATATAAAGTGAATGTAAACAGTCATATGTTGAGGTAGCTTTAGGTGCTGTAGTGCACTAATTGTCCAGATGAATCACTGTTACCCCGGGTTTCCACGGGAGCCGTCAGCAGCACGTTACTGCAGCAGCACGTCTTGCTCGCGTAAGCTGCTGCTTGGCCCTTCCCACGAGACGCGAATCAGCAGGGGAGCAGCTGTCACCGACAGAGCACGAAGTCACACGAGTGACTTCGTCAGTAAACACAACAACAAGCAGGAGAAAACTACAACATGGCTCCAAAATGTTTGTGTTTTTATGTTGTGTCCGTTTTATAATCGCCAATACGGACCTGAAAAACAAAGGAGACCGCTAGCTAGGTGATAACTTCTCACGGGGCCGCACAGTTAGTAACCTTTTTAAAGTAAAGCGACCGGAAGGCAATACGTTCTTTATTCTGAAAATCTCGGGAGCTTCTCTCCATTTCCGCGTCCGATTTCCTGTCTTTCCTTCCCCAAAAATGTCGAACTTGACCCGTTTCAGAGGCGTCGCGCGTAGGAAATAGAACCGGCGCGTAAAGGCCGCGACATGCTGCTCCTGAGACGCGGCCGACTCGCGCTGCTGACGGCTGCCGACGGCTCCAGTGGAAAAGGTTCTGTTGACCACAGCCGTTCCTATCAGCAGCTATGACGTGCTGCTGCAGTAACGTGCTGCTGACGGCTCCCGTGGAAAGCCGGGGTTAGTGTGACCTCCTAGCAGCAACATTCAGTTCAGTGATGCTCCTGAATAGAAGCTGTTTAACAGCCTGGTGGTGTGTGTTTCTATTGCCCTGTATTGTTTACCAGATGGAAGAAGTTTGAAGAGATGGTTAGTAGGGTGGGTTGAGTCCTTTAGGATGATTGTGGATTCTCAAAGGCAGTGAGTGGTGAAGATGCCATCCAGGGCAGGCAGGTGTGTGCAGGGCCGTCCTGTCAGCTACAGAGCTGCTGCTGTACCACACCAGGATGCTGCTGGTCACGGTGTTGTGTGTCTATTTGAGGTCTGATGTGTTTGGGCTTACAGTCATGCATGTACAGGAAGGCACTCAGCATGCAGCCTTGTGGGGCTCCTGTGCTGAGGGACAGAAAGGAGGAATGTTGTTGGCCTAACTTGACAGTTTTGTATCCAGAGGCAGATGTTGTGCTCGAGGCCAAGGTCAGACATCTTATGGAATAGTCTGATGGAGACACTGTTGTTGAATGCAGAACTGTAGTCCACAAATAGCAGCCTTGCATATGTACCTGGTTGTTCTGGGTGTGTCAGAACTGTGGAGGGTGGTAGAGATGGCATCATCTATTGATCTGCTGGTTCTGTAGGCATATTAATTATTAAATATTACATTTATTGTGGATATAATGTGGGGGGAGCAGCCTTGATGTGTTGCAGAGGTGGTAAAAGCTATTGGCTTGTAGTCGTTGTGGCTTGCTATTGCAGACTTTCTGGGTGTCGGTACTAGAGCCCTGCACTGAAGCCCTAGGCCCGCGGGTCGGCCCGGCTCAGATTTTAAGCCCGTGCAGGGCTCTAGTTGGTACTATTGTGGAGGTTTTTAGACGGGTGGGGACAGCAACATGATAAAGATGTCTGTGAAGACCTCAGCCAGCTCCACTGCACAGTCACATAGCACACTCCCTGGAATGCCATCTGGACCAGTTGCTTTCCTCGTGTTAACTAGTGATGGGAACTCCAGCTCTTTTAAGAGAACCGGTTCTTACGACTCAGCTCGCTAAAATGAACCGGCTCTCAAACGGCTCCTCATATTTTTTTTTAAATCAATTTATACCCAGAATTATGTAAAATTTGTATGAAATTGTTGACCAATCTACAAACTTACATTAAATCAACTTTTTATTATTCAAAGAGTTCATGAATGAAACATCACTGGTGTTAACACCTGTGAGTGTATGCTGTACCTGAGTGGTCTGTAGAATGAGCACCTGACTGTTGCTTGTAGGTGTTGCAGCACACTTGGGTACTGTTGTCATTTTATTAATGACAAAACCTTTAAAACTAATTATTGGAACTCAAAATTGGTTTGGTCAGCTCAGTGACCCTTGACCTCCATACACAGGTGAATCCAGTTATGAGAGAGTATGTGAGGGGGACAATTGTTAGTTTCCTAATATTTTCTGAAGAGTAACAACATGGGGTCTCAAAACAAATGGTAAATGGCCTGTATTTGATATAGCGCCTTCTAGAGTCCTGGAACCCCCCAAGGCGCTTTACAACACAATCAGTCATTCACCCATTCACACACACATTCACACCCTGGTGGTGATGAGCTACAATGTAGCCACAGCTGCCCTGGGGCGCACTGACAGAGGCAAGGCTGCCGAGCACTGGCGCCACCGGTCCCTCCGACCACCACCAGCAGGCAACGTGGGTTAAGTGTCTTGCCCAAGGACACAACGACAGCGACAGGCTGAGCGGGACTCGAACCTGCAACCTTCCGATTTCGGGGTGAGCACTTAACTCCTGTGCCACCGTCGCCCCACTCTCAATGACCTGAAAACAAAGATTGTTCACCATCACGGTTTAGCGAAAGGATACGGAAAGCTCTCTTGGAGATTTCAGCTGTCTGTTTCCACTGTTAGGAACATGTTGAGGAAATTAAAGACCACAGGCACAGTTGAAGTTAAGGCTCCAAGTGAAGGACCAAGACACATCTCTGATAAACAGAAGAGAAGAATGGTGGGAACAGTCAGTCAACCCACAGACCAGCATCAAAGACCTACAACATCACTGTGCTGCAGATGGAGTCCCTGCGCATTGTTCAACTATTTGGTGCACTTTACACAAGGAGATGCTGTATGTGAGAGTGATGCAGGGGAAACGTCATCAGCTGAATCTGGAGACCAGTGTCCCAAGCGTCAGTTACAAAGCTGAAACTGTGCTGGGGCTGAATCTTTGAACAAGACAATGACCCAAACACTGCTCAAAATCTACTAAGGCATTCATGCAGTCCCCAGACCTGAATATTATGAACTAGAGATGTTTTGTAAAGACGAATGATCCAAAATACCTTCAGCCAGAATCCAGACTCTTACTGGAAACTCTAGAAAGCGTTTAGAGGCTGTTATTTCTGCAAAAGGAGAATCTACTAAATACTGAGTTAATTTCTCTTGCCTAATTTTGTTTAAAAAATACTGAGTTAATTTCTCTTGCCTAATTTTGTTTAAACAATTATTTCACACTTTCTGTAAATCCTATAAACTTTGTTTTACTTCTCAAATATCACTGTGTGTCTCCTATATGAAATGTTAAACTGAAACCTTTTTATTGTAACTAACAACGATTTATACAAGAAAATCATGGAGATTAACAAGGCTAGCCAAACTTTACCATCCCACTGTATAATGGGTGTATGTTGAGGTGTGTTCTCTCAGAAACCTTTACTATGTGAAACCAGAACTGAAGGTTTCTTCATTCTTGTTCGTCGTGGCTTGGATCTGAATCTAACATCCCGGCCAGATTTCTAGCCTCAGGCTTGCAGAGAATTTAAGGTCACTCTTCCATTCAGCTATGCTCCACTCAGCAGCAGGAATAGAAATGGTCTCTCAAATTGTTTTCTTCCTCTCTTAACTACATTCACGCCACTGAAATCTGCTCAAGGCCTTCGAAATTTTCCACATTTGAACCTTTATGAGTGGAGACCGTCCAAGAGCGATAGGTTGTTGAACCCATTGATCTTGTTCTTGTCAGACATAATGAACCAGAAGAGTCAGCTTGCCTGGGAGCTGTATTTGAAAATGGACACATCCTCAGACTCCTTTAGTCTGCTGCAGCTGATCGCCAATGACTGCTACAAGGTAATGTCGTCTGCCTCTGTGCTTCATGAAGTACGTGATGATCATCCGTCCTCACCTGTTTTTGTTAAACCTACTCTTCTCTTGAATAAGTTTGGGTGGTGCCTGATCGCTCCTGTTTGTATTTCTATGGAGCGGTTTTACATTTGATGTAGAATCTGTCCAGAGCTTCCTTTAAAAATCAGTTTTTTGAATGTGTGTCGAGGGGCGGTGATATGGATGACATGTTTGGGTTGAGTCATGAAGACGAGATTGGATTGGAACTGGGCAGATCTGTGCTGAGAGTTGATGATCGCTGTGTGTTGTTTCAGATGGGCCAGTTCTATTACGCTGCCAAAGCGTTTGATGCACTGGAGAAGCTGGACCCGGGCTCTAATTACTGGGAGGGCAAGAGAGGGGCATGCATTGGCATGTTCCAACTCATTCTGGCTAACAAGGAGCCCAAGTATGTTCTTGTCTTTTCCTCTCATCCTCTGGTTTGATTTTTACAATCTATATTTGCCCGAGTGGGTGTGATGTCATCAAAAATGAATCAGTCAATGGGTGCATTTTGATCTAATCCTGTTTCCTTACATGTCCTGTTTGTGCTCCAGGGAGATGCTTAAAGAAGTTTTGGCTCTCCTGCGAAATTCTGGAAACCCTCAGGGTGAATACTTCATCCGGGTCATGAGAAAGTGGGCCAAAGACAACAGAGTCCTCCTCTCCTGACGGCCTCAAAACAGAGTTCGATTCTAAGTTTTATCTACGACTACAGGAAACTTGGTCATTTATCTGGTGAAGTGTAATGATTTTGTTATTTATGTTGTGTAAAAAAAAAACGATTACATGTCTGTCTTTTTGCTAAAACAATGTTATTTCTAATCTAATACCTTTAATCTAGAATTAAACGTGTTTTACTTTAACAGTCTTATATCAAAGCAAAGATTATTCAAACAGCTCGCTGAGTATTCTATCGTATCTGTGGACAAACTTACCATTTGTCCATCTGCTCTGCTTTTGTATCAAATCAAGTAAAGCACTGACCGCCATCTTTGGTTTGAAATAAACTCTTTAAAACATTATTATTCTATTCCTGCCACATTTGGGAAATGTCTGTTCTACCTGAACGGTAGAATGGATTTATATCAACAGTTATAATGAAATGGAAAGGTAAAGGCATTAGATGTATCGGGTTTATAGTCCCCTCTGTGAAATAAGTCGTACTCCTTTGTGTCCATCATATGATTCTCCCTTTTGTCTGTTACAGCTGATTTCTTTATTGCATTTTCTGCTTCTTGTTTCGCGGCTCTTACAGTGTCTTCGATTTGGTTCTTTCTCACACTCTTTTCTGTGTTCAGTTGTTCGTGTGGTGAGTTGGGGTCCGGTTTCTCATATGTACATTTCATCCCTGTTCACAAAAACAACCCAAAAAACAATTTGACACATTTGTAAACAAAATCAGACAGAACAAAAACTTTACACAAAAGAACAAACCTTACAATATGGCACAACTGGTGGAACTGGTAGCAAACTCCACATACTTCACATATGATGAAGCAATATACAAACAACTGGAAGGCTTCCCCATGGGTAACCTGTTCTCACCCACCCTTTGTGAGTTTTTCGTGGAGGACTTAGAACAAAAAGCCATAGCGACCCCCCCCCCCTCAAGCTGCAAAATAAAACTATGGAAACGCTACGTGGACGACATACTAGAAATCATACCAAGAGGACAAACCGGGACAAACGGACGCACTAACAGAGCACCTGAACAATATCAACAACACAAGATAAAATTTACACTGGAAGAAGAAATAGAAGGCAGCCTAATGTTCATGGACATGAAAATGAGCAGACAAAGAGACGGGACCCTGAATATAAACACATACAGGAAACCAACACAGACCAATACTTATTATGGACACCAGAACACCCTACCATACATAAAATGTCAGTGATCAGAACATTATACGACCGAGCAAGCATAATAAAAGAAGAATGAGAACGTAAACAAGAGGACCAACATATACGAAACGCTTTCCAGGAGCAAAGACATAAAACATTCAAATCAATGCGACAACATACAACAGATTTTATAATCAAATGTAAAATACACAAATAATAGAAGGTCTCCAGACTGTTGGACCTGGATGACATGACCATATATTTTTTTCTCCATCTACAAGCGCATCTGCATGTTTTAGGGTGTGTGTCTTGTGTTCATTAAGCTGATTGAGGAAGATCTGCAAATAAACATCTCAATTGCAAGTTTTCCAGAAGAGCCTGATAATTTGTCGCACAAATAAAAGGGAATTTAAATGGGTGCATATCAGAACTTTTTAGTCAGACTTGTTCTTTGTAACATTTAAATATGTAGTTTTATTCAAGTGAACCTAATCAGAGTTTCTAGTATCACTGTAATGTTAGCTGCATCAACAGGTGAGCATTATCACAAACAGCTGGCATAGTGATGGATAACTGAGGCAGATATCTACTTGATTACCTTTTTCTATTAAGAGTGTACTTTTTCAGTCTGATGTGATACAAAAATGAGCTAGTCACCCCCTACTAGAGTCTTACTCCACTTTGAAAAATGCAACACACACACACACAGGCTCACAACATTGTGACATCATAATGTACCAGCTAACGTCAATAGTGATGGCAGATTTAAATTCAAATGCAGTTCAGAGTTTTTACCTGACGACAGTTTTAGGCAGAAATTTTTAATTTGAACTAAAATGCTCTTAAGTGCAAAATCATTGTCTACACGTGTCTGCAGCACGATTAGACACTCATTTATATAGTTTATCAGCCAAAAAAAGGTTGATTTGGGGAAGACTTGCTTTATCAACATTTTCTTTGTTAGATTGAAAAGCATCAATTAAAAAGATTCAAACAATAACCCAAAACTGTAGCTCAGTGTTCTGAACACACTCGGCAGGTAGGCAGAGTATCCCGCTGCTCGTCCTTCACACAAACACTTTATAAAGGTCAAATTAGTCGTCATACTCTTGTTATTACTGCCTGTTGTGATCGGGGCGGGGCTAGGATCCGACCACGCGCTGATTGGACGTGATGCCCTCCCCTGTGGCACATGCTTCCGTTTGGTGAGTATGCGCATGCGCATCGCGCCCTCTCTTCTGATATTTTATTTACTCCCGAAATCCAAGATGGCTTCTGTGAATGTCTCAGCCCCAAAGCAAAGCGAGGATGAGAGTAGCTGCTGAAAAAACTACTTTCCCCTGACCGTCGCATCCCCTGGAGTTCAATCCGTATGTTGTGGAGGAGGCTCTAGCATCCGCCTAGGCCCCGAGCAGCCATCGGAGCTTCGCGGAACCTTCTTCAGTCCACCAATTTGGAGTAGTTTCGCGAAGTAGCTCTTCTCGGTGTCACTGTCTGTCCGGAGCGAGGTTCAGGCAGACAGTAGCTCATCCTAATGGCCGAACCGAGAAAAGTGCAGTTTGTCACCCTGTCGGCCTTCGCAGCTGGGGCTGCCGCGGAGTCTAGGAAACGCAGGCTGGAAGAGGAGGCCGACTTCAACTTCGATGGAGCCGGGGAAGTCGAGGCAACCAGGGGGGTAGGAGGCACTGCCAGCGACGGTCGACTCGGCAAAACCGGCGACAGGGACAAGGCTGCTGCCGAGAGGAGGGCGACTGTTCGGCTGAACCTGTCCCTGTGTGAGCCCGACGATCGCTCCTCCGCTGAGTTTAATTATGGCGAACTCATCCAGAACCTCCAGGTGGGAACTCGCTTTCTGTAACATTAGAAAACCTGTGGGAAACTATTACAGGAGTTAACGCGGAGCTCTGGAAGTGTTTATACGGACGTGTCATAAGTGAAGGGGGGAAGTGCACCTTGTCCTTCCGCGGAACAGCGAGTCTGACCATTAGTGCGACTCCACACAAAAGACAGCAGCAGCTGTGGACACTCGACCAGCCTGTCTAACTTCAGCAGCGCTCCAACACATTCTGGTGTTCATTTGCGAGGCTCCTTCACTGCTGTTGCACAGATCGCTAGTTTGGTGCTGCTACCTGTGTCCTTGCCCAGCAACAGACCAGCCATTACAGCAGCTGGAAATGCCACATGCAGTTTGGCCCCGTGGCAGCGGGTGATGGATGGATGGGGGTGGCAGAGCTGATGGAGGGGCTAGGATGGTGCAGTGGGGGCTGAATGTCAGGGTCCCCCTCCTTTAATGTGTGCAACATGTGCACATCTGGAAGTTGGGGACTTTTACATTGTTTATGATGGTTGATTTAACTTCTCTTACATGGGTGGTCGCTCCACGCTGATGACTTCATTACATCACTCACTTGCTGCTAACATAGTTTAGGTTATACGACAGTGTTGTAAAAAGGACGTCGAGGGTTTCCAGAGTCAGGTTCAGGTCCACCATGGTGGGTCGCAGGTTGGGATCTTGATAAGATCTCCTAAAAAATCTTAGTTTGTTGACTAAAATTGTTCCAAAACAAATAAAAACAATCATAAGTGGCCAACGCCGTTATCAGATGGCTGGAAGTGGTTCAGGAGCAGATGTTGCCAGTGGTGTGTCCAGATCTTTTAAAATGGGGTGGCCCAGCCCAGGTGAGGCACAACTTTGTGCATGGGTGGCACCAATGGTTATGCTTTTTTTTTGTTTTACCCCCAAGCCTTTTGTGAACAATGAAATGCCTATTTAAAGGTAAATTAGTGTGGTGGCACCTGGGGTGGCCAATTAGATTCCAAGGGTGGCATGTGCTACCCCAGGCCACTCCCTGGACACGCCCCTGGATGTTGCACGTTTAACTGTCGTTTTTATTATGTGATCATTAAAGTTTTTCTTATGTTAACATTGTATTTTTTTTGTTTCAGGCTAAGAAAAACCTTCCAAATGCGACTCGAGCCCAGAATCCCAGTGACCCCTTCAACGATGAGGTGCGTGAGCGGCTCCAGGTCGAAGCTCTGGCTAAAAAGTTTGAAAACAAATATGTGAGTAACCACAACTGAACTCTTAAAACCATCAGACTAATGAAAACAGCTCAAGGTAGACTTTGTGAAATTCAGAAGTAAAGTTTTTCTTTTTGTGTACGTCTAAATTATATCCAGTGTTTTTATTTTCCTTCAGTTGTTGCTTAGCAACAGATACAGGGGGGCGGATAGTAGCTTTACTAGCTGAGAAGTTTGTAGGTTTAACAGTTGCTAGTGTTTCAGATTTTATCTTCTCTATTTACATCTGGGGCCGATCGTCCCGTCTGAATTCATATCAACCTTGATAATAAAAATATAAATAAATTACGCCCTTGAGTGTGTTCACATCCCATTATTTCCAGAATTAAAACAAAACATTTTTTCTGCTTTTACTTTGTTAATTTTGTTGACGGCTCTGTGTTTTATTTTTGTGTTCAACACTTTGATTAAACGTCAGTTACTTATGAAGCTGTTCTGACTTTGCTGAACTGAGGTTATTTTTACAGATCGACAGATTTTAAGGGTTAGTTTTTGTGCTGACTTTGCAGAAAATGGGCGATATTATTATTGAAATCAATAACAAGTCTGACTGTTTTTACGTTTTTAGGGTAGCACAGGGAAGAAGAAGAAGGACAGAATGCAGGATCTGGTTGATATTGGCTTTGGTTATGATGAGACAGACCCGTTTATAGACAACTCAGAAGCTGTGAGTACTTTTCACTTTATTATTAATAAGCAGGTTTACTTTCAATAGGGCCAGCTTTTCAGAACAGTAGTTCTCTTATTTGTTTTATTTAGTCCCGGTGTCTGACGCTGGCGTTTTCATCTTCATCCTATCTGTCATTAAATATGTATTTGCTATCTTGATGTTATAAAACGCTGCGTTCAGTGGCACTTCTAAAGATAGGCTAACGTTCCTTATTACAGCCAACTGGAGACTACAGACTAAATCCATCCTCATGACTCATGTGGATGTATATATATGTATATATAAATATATATATATATATGTATATATATATATATATATATATATGCTGCAGTTTTTTCTTCTGATCGTGTTTGTAGCTCAGTGTTGGGATGATATCAGTCAGTGTCTGACAGTAATAGCTGAAATGATTCTCTTTTATCGAATCTCTGCCTTTAAATAAGGTTAGTTTGGTTTTGACAGCAGTCCTTTGTGAAACTAGCAGCACCTGTTTGATGGTTTCTCCTGGTAGAGCAATGGTTTCGTCTGTACCCTTTAAAGAGGTCGTGCTTTTATATATTTGTGGTGATTTATTGATGGTGGTGCACAACAAGTCATTTCTCTCTGCTGACCAACAGAGACGGGCTTTTGTGAAACGTTCCACAAAAACATGTTATGAGTGCCTGAAATGTTTGAAATCCGTGAGCAGCATTCCCGTTCTGTTGTGTGAGTGGCGTTATTGTTTCCTAACAACACTAACTGACCTCCATTGTTGTTCCTCCCAGTATGATGAGCTGGTGCCTGCGTCTCTGACCACAAAGCTCGGGGGGTTTTACATCAACACGGGCACGCTGCAGTTCAGAGCAGCCTCTGACTCCGAGGGAGAAGACGACAAGGTGAGACGGACCGACCCGTGCTCACAGTTTCAAAACTGCCCTTCAGAAACATTTAATTGTTTTTTTTATTTTCAGTTTAAATATAAACTTTATTTAAAATTATGGGAAATTCCTCTAATTTCATCTTCATACCTGTTGATATGAGGCTGAGGCTAAATAAACATTCTCCATCCATTCATTCCCAAGTTTAAATTGAGATAACCTCATGATGAGACAACCTTTTTTTCTGGAACTGTGCTGTTCTGGGTGGCTGCATGTTGGAGTAGCTCTGTTCATTATATGTAAGTTTAGCCTTTTCTTGGGCATTTTTCTTCTAGTTTCTCGAGAAAAACTGTATTTTTTTGGACATTTTACTTTTCTGTTTCTGGTGCTGTGAAGCTTGGAGGATTTTTACTGCTATTTTTTAGCTTTTCTCACTTTTTGAGCATTTGTTATGATGCATAACCATGGCAAAAAGCTGGTTTACAATCGAGAGCAGCTAATTAACATTGGAAAGGCTGAAATAATACCTCAACTGAAGCCACAAATCCCAAATGCGCTCAAACGCAAGAAGCGTGGGTGCAGAGCGGGAGCAAAACGGAGACAGAGAAAGAGGAAATTCAAACCATCTCTTCCATCAATCATAATGGGCAATGTGAGATCACTGGCCAACAAGATGGAGGAACTCCAAGCCCTTTCAAGGACTCAGCCAGAGTTTCGGCAGTTTCAGAACCGCTGGAGGAGATAATGCAAAGAAGGATTCTCCAGAGAATCAAGAAAATGATGGACAACCCTGAGCGTTCTCTTCACAAGACTGTCCGACAACGGAAGAGTGTCTTCAGTCAGAGGCTTCTTCAGTTTCACTGCAACACTGACCGCTACTGGAGATCCTTCCTGCCAACAGCCATTGAAATATACAATAACTCTTTGATGACTTGATTATTATTATTATTCTGAGTTACTACAGCAACCAATTTCCCTCTGGGATTAATAAAGTATTTTTGAATTTGAATTGACCAACCAACAGGAGCCTAACGCCCACTTTTTCTGCTGCCTTTTTAAAAATGACCCGCTGGGTTTAATGTCCCCATAAGGAGCAAAGGTTACGTGATTCAAAGCAACTCAGACATCAGAGTTGAAGTGATTCTTAACTAAATTGTCTTTAGTCATGAACGTGATAAATTGCATGTTAAATGTGAATACACATGTTGACCAAGCATGGAGAATGTGAACAATCCTGATAGGATACAGATACATATCTGCTCTAACAAAAGTGTAAAAGTCTAAATAAAATCAGACTTTTCCCATTTATTGTTGAGCAACCAGTCACCAACCTTTCATTATACTCAGGGAATTGGACTAAAGTCCAGAGATGAGCTATTTTCTTTGGTCTGATAAAGCTCTACATCCATCTCCTGTTCACTACGTCTCTATTATGTCCCTCAGATGTAGTAGAAGCATTTTAAAGGCCACGATCGCTGAGAAATAGTTGTTTGTCGTCGTCGTCTTCCTCCGCTTATCCGGGTCCGGGTCTGGGTCGCGGGGGCAGCATCCCAACTAGGGAGCTCCAGACCGTCCTCTCCCCGGCATCCTCCACCAGCTCCTCTGGCACGACCCCAAGGCGTTCCCGGACCAGATTGGAGATGTAACCTCTCCAACGTGTCCTGGGTCGACCCGGGGGCCTCCTGCCGGCAGGACATGCCCAAAACACCTCCCCAGGGAGGCGTCCAGGAGGCATCCTGACCAGATGCCCAAACCACTTCAACTGACTCCTTTCGACCCAGAGGAGCAGCGGTTCTACTCCGAGTCCCTCCCGAATGTCCGAGCTCCTCACCCTATCTCTAAGGCTGAGCCCGGCCGCCCTACAGAGGAAACTAATTTCGGCCGCTTGTATCCGCGGTATGTTTACTTGTTCTTTTTGAAATATGATCAGTCACTCTGAGTTTCACACGCAGGCTGAAGGTGAAAATAGCCCCTATTTCCTGCATTAGCCACCGACGCTCAGATCTACGTCACACTGATAATCAGCATTCGTGGACTTGCCCATCTTGGCTCTTGACGGGGCGTTCAGGAGAGAACAGAGCACATCTCTGCTAGTAGAAGCTAACCGTTAGCATTAGATCTCTTCTGCCTCACTTCTAGTTCCTGAAAGAGCAGCACCCGAGCTGTTTTCAACTCGCATAGCATTCATTTATACTAGAGGCCGTTGCAGATGTGTTTAGAAACATGAATAAACTCGGTCTTTAATGTAATTTTCTTTTGTTTTAGAAGCTGAACAATGATAAGGAGCAGGCGATAACGAAGAGAAAAAAGGAGATGAACAATCTTGAAGAAAAGAGTCAGAAGAAAAGCAGAGTGTCTAAACAAGGGTAAGAGTGTTCACACATCCAGACCTGCTGTTGCTGCTGCCCCCCCCCCCCACACACACACACACACCAGCGTCTTTATGGGACCACAAAAGGGGACTAGTTCTTTGTCCAGACATTAGTCGGATCCTAATCCATCCATCTCTCTGAAGGTTGGTCGCGAGCCTCTCGCTGGTCTGTCACCGTGCCGGGATGTCGATCGAGACTTTCACTCAGCTGCTGTGACAAGCCAGCCACCTTCTAGAGAAAGCTCCATTATACACGTTCAAATATGCTGAGTCCTCCAAGACATCGGCACTCTGAAAACAACTTCTATAAATAGCCGAGGCTATTGTGAATCTGCCGTTATGAGACCGCTGATATTATGTAACGTGGAGGAGTGGGACGGATGTTTGAAGGCAGCAGCCGGTTAATCCACAGCAGTTCCGTACAGCCCTCGTGTTTCTGAGCTGCTTTTATCACAACGTCTTCCATAAAGGGCGTGCAGCGGGCCTGGAGTTAGACCTCACGATAACCGCCCACGCTGAAGGATTGGAGTGGCTTTAGCGGAGCTCGTTTCTGGTGGTTAGCAGCCGTTCGACAGATTCAAACTTAGGATGGAGCAAGATTAAGAAGCTGCGTGTCATCTTTGTAACAACACTATATAGTTGTAACAACACTATATAGTTATGTGGTCTTCACAGGTTTACGGCGAGATAACGCAACCAAACATAACACCGACCTTTTGTTGTTTATCAAACCTAAAGGAGGGATAAAGGAGTCGTTGAACCACCTTCAGCTGAGTTTTTGTGTCATTATTATTACGAAATCCTACATATTTTACACTACTCAAAGGGTTTTTACTTTTTTATTCGTTCATGTTCCTTTCCTAATTAATAGAAAGCAATGGTTGCTGACTACAAGTCCTGAAAAACAAGCAAATCAAACCAAAATGACCTAGTCAGGGTTAGACGGAATAAAGGAAAACTCCCGAGTTACAAGTTGTTGTTGTTGTGCTCCGACAGAGTGACGGCTCTCAACCTTCATCGGCCAGAGAAGAAGAAGAGAAAGAAACTGATGAAGGACTCGCTGTACCTGGCAGCGATGCTTCGTCGCTTCAGCCGGGAGAAAGAGGAGATGAGGAAAAGAAACCCAAACGTAAATCAGCTCGCTGCGTCTGGAGGTTCAGCCAGCAAGCCCCACTCCGGCAGCTCCACAAACCTCCCAGTGTCTAACTCCAACCAACCACAGGCCCGCGCAGCTGTCGGCGATCTCTCCACGGCAGAGCTCACCTCCGACCCCGCCGTGATGTCACTGCTGAGCTCGGCATCTGAGAAGGAGCTGCAGGACCTCCTGGGTGACCTGGACTTCAGCTTGTTGGACAGCGACCAGCAGAACGCTGTGGTGACAGCCAGGGAGAACGGCATTCTGGGTATCGGTGGTCCCTCTCATAAAGCAGGTGGTGTTGGGGGCCAAGGGCGAGGTCTGGGGTCTTCCAGTGGACTGTTCTCTCCACCACCGCTCCCCGATGGACTTCCTGCTCCTCTTATGAAACGCATCGAGGACCTGCGGGCGGTGAGTCAGCTGTGGTCTTTTAGTGGGTGGCTGCAATTACCCATGAAGCTTCTCCACTGAAGTTAAACACCAGTCATCCAGCCTCTTAAATGGCTCGGCATGTTTAGCGTTCCCGTTTGTCCCAGTGAGAGGAATTTCATGTGAAGTGTAGGACAACAAGGGTTTTATGTAACTAAACCAGGAAGAGCTCTCCTCTCAGTCACCAACATTTACTTTCTCTCACAGCTGTTTGAATTCAGAGCCTCAAATCGTTTCAGATGTCGGTGCAAAATCGATTAGACCATTTCTAGACGATCGTTTTAGTTTTCTGTAAATGGTGTGCAGAATAGATGCAGACCTGGGGATTCTTCACAGGTTGTTTCTGGTGCGTTTGTTTAAAAGCTACTTGACTTTAAAATGCTGAAACTTTCAAACTGGTGTTTTTACTGGTTCATTTGGGTTTTTTCAAAAATGAATTAACTGTCCTTTTTCCTACCGCATGGCCTCTGGTGCATGTAGACTAGAGATGTACGGAAATATCAGTACACCCAAATATATGTGGGTATGTTGATATTTCATGGTATGATACTAAATCAATATTTAAAGGCAGTGTCTAGATTTTATATTGAATTTACGTCCCTTAACAGCAGTAATAATATCGGAGATCGATAGTGGCCCACGTTTTTGTATCGTAGAGTCCGTTTAACCCTCGTGTTCTGACCACCTCCACCTGCAGAGGGTCCTGTTGGCTGGAGCTAGGGCTGGAAGATGAATAGAAAATGCATCGCTATCAAAATTTCTGACTCTAACCGATGCCATTTGTCCCATGTAAATAAATTTGGTAATGTAACATTCATGTCTCTTTAAAAAGTCCATGTCTCTTTAAAAAGTTCATATCTCTTTAAAAAGTTCATGTCTCTTTAAAACGTTCATGTCTCTTTAAAAAGTTCATGTCTCTTTAAAACGTTCATGTCTCTTTAAAACGTTCATGTCTCTTTAAAACGTTCATGTCTCTTTAAAAAGTTCATGTCTCTTTAAAACGTTCATGTCTCTTTAAAAACGTTCATGTCTCTTTAAAAACGTTCATGTCTCTTTAAAACGTTCATGTCTCTTTAAAAAGTTCATGTCTCTTTAAAAACGTTCATGTCTCTTTAAAAAGTTCATGTCTCTTTAAAAACGTTCATGTCTCTTTAAAAACGTTCATGTCTCTTTAAAACGTTCATGTCTCTTTAAAACGTTCATGTCTCTTTAAAAACGTTCATGTCTCTTTAAAAAGTTCATGTCTCTTTAAAACGTTCATGTCTCTTTAAAAAGTTCATGTCTCTTTAAAACGTTCATGTCTCTTTAAAGTTCATGTCTCTTTAAAACGTTCATGTCTCTTTAAAGTTCATGTCTCTTTAAAACGTTCATGTCTCTTTAAAGTTCATGTCTCTTTAAAAAGTTCATGTCTCTTTAAAACGTTCATGTCTCTTTAAAACGTTCATGTCTCTTTAAAAAGTTCACGTCTCTTTAAAAAGTTCACGTCTCTTTAAAAAGTTCACGTCTCTTTAAAACGTTCACGTCTCTTTAAAACGTTCACGTCTCTTTAAAAAGTTCACGTCTCTTTAAAAAGTTCACGTCTCTTTAAAACGTTCATGTCTCTTTAAAAAGTTCATGTCTCTTTAAAAAGCTGTACCACCTAGAGTCACATGACAGTGTGAATCATCCTAATACACGTGACAGCCCCATCTAGTGGACAACTATAGTTTTACCGTATATATGTAGTTAACGTCCATTTGTTGTTATTGAGGTGAACTCTATATTGATTTTAGGCTCTATTCCCTAGCTGGAGCTATGCTGGGTTATGAAGACGCGATCGTCTCGCTGGGTTCGATCTCTTGGCAGCAGATTTTGAATAATCTGAGGCAGTTTCCAAACCATCTTGGAATGTTTTCATGGCTTCGCTGTTTCCCTGTGTGAGCCACAGGGCCTCGTTCTCGTGCTGCTGAAATTTTAACTGTCTCACAGAGTTTACGCGAGCGATGGTAGCTAAGAGGTTAGGAGTTCCCCCAGTAATCAGTGGGTTGATGGTTCAAATCCAGGCATTTGTGTCCATGGGGCAGACCCTTCACCTGGCTTTGCATTGTGGTGGAGGTCGGAGGAACCAGTGGTTTGCCCCATTGAAGCCACCACCCAGGGGTAAATGTCTGATTATAGGATATTTATTACTGCACTACAAATTTTCTCTCGGTGTCGTAATTTGGAAACCTTCTTGTTTTAATCTCAGTTAGTCAGAAACTGCAAGAGAAGTGAGACGTCTTACTGGTGGCTAGGGCTGGGCGATATGGCCTGGAATCAATATCACGATATATTGAGGGTTTCACCTTGATAACGATAAATGGACGATAACTACAGGTATGCACAGAAACATAAGTTGTCCACTGTGGGGCTGTCACACATGTATTACATTGACTCAAGTATGTACAGCTTCTTAACTCATTCGCTGCCAGCGTTTTCACAGTTTTTTTAAGAGTCACAGAACGTTGCTCGCTAGGATGATGTGTTTATTCGTGTGTTTATTCGCTTAGCAGACGCTTTTTATCCAAAGCGACTTACAATTTTATAACCTATAGGGCATGTTGTGATGTCGACGCCAAAACTACTAAAACAAAGAGTAGACTCACCTCTTACATCAGGAAGAATCTGTGCGTCTTAAGCGTTATCCGTTCTTTTATAATTCGTTGTCGAATTGTGACTGGCAGAAGCTTTTCTGGTTTGTGTCTCACCTTTTTTTACAGCAGTGGCCCAAAACGATCTCCTAACACATGGATTTTCTGCTTCCTGATCATGTGACGTACGCAGACGAAGATCAGCTTTAGAGCTGGGATGTTTGTTCTCACGGTGCGGAGACTCGTTCCGACGCCCACACCGTAAAAAAAAACGCAAATGACGACTAAAGTTGTCAATGGCAGTTAATGAGTTAGAAGGACATGAATGTTGCCACTCTACACAGTTTTTCATATTTTTTTAATTATCACATTTATTGTCATGGGAAAAACGATCTCGATAAGAGTCAGACATTTTGATAACAATGCGTTTTCGATTTATAGCCCAGCCCTACTGGTGACCAATAAAACTAAGCTGCGACTAGTTGGTGACAAAATAGAGAATCTTGACATTGATTCCCTTTGTGTGTTCGAGTCACGTGATGCTGGTTTTAGATGTGTTTAGACGACAGAATCAGACTTTCCTTTCTGCAGAGTGAAGGCTTGAGGGTGTACACCAAACCACCAAAAATCTAACAAATGGGTAGCCTAGTGAACCAGACCAAATTTCTTGCTTTGCAAAGTTTGGTCTAGGCACGCTCCATTAGAACCTCCGCTGCTCCTACCAGGACTCTGGCTAGCCAATCACAGCTCTCTAGAGGGGTTTCAAACACATAAAGAGCTGTGATTGGTCCGTAATGGTGGGCCAATCATAGTGCTCTATCTGCTTATTGAACAAATCACAGAGCTTTATCCGCTTTGTGGGCCAATCAGGGCACTCTATATGCCTGGTGGGTGGGATGATGCAACAGAGTGAAACAAGAGTATGTCACATTGAGTACGTTTACATGCAGCCAATATCCGGGTTATGATCGGGTTAAGGTCGGTATTCGGGTTTCTGAGTTGATCAGAATAACCCGTTTACAAGCATAAACAGAAAGAGTTACCCCTAACTTGCATAACCCGATTTAACTGTGGACGTTGGGGTAGCGTCAGGACGTATGGACTACGTCCAGACGCAATATGCGTCATTTCCGGTTCTTCTTGTTCCGGTATCCGTGAAAACAACAACATGTTTCCCAGTTCGGAAGAGATAGCGACCGCATTTGTTTGCGCTTTAGTTTCCTCGTCACTCCAAAAGTGTGGTGCTGTGCCGCGACTCGCCATGTTGCTCCCAACTTGTTGTTTACTTCCGGTGTTCTGGTGCATACAAGATGTCTCGCTACTCAAAAGACCAAGATTCCTTGCGAACAGAGCATGCGCAGAACACACGCTTTGATGGGGACATCCCGATATGTGTTTACACGACCAAACATTCGGGTTAGAAAAGGGTTACCCCAGGTGTAGTAACCGGGTTTTTAAAAACCCGGTTATGAGCATATCCGGGTTTCTGGCGGTGTTTACACGGACCTGCGGAACCGGGTTATTGTGATTATTCGGGTTTTAAAAGGGTTACTGGCTGCATGGAAACACACTGATTCATTGTCCAGTGGAATGCGGAGATCATTTGAAAGACAACGGTAGAACCCGCCCCACAACCGAGAGCCGTCAATGGAGCGTGGCCAGACTAAATAATACATTTATTTAGTCTGGCTTGCCAGGCTAACAAATGGGTGTTACTGGAGATAAAGTAACGCAACTGGCCAAAAGTTGGTGTGAGCTGAGACAAGCGGACAACTAACAAGATTAATAAAAAGTGATTGTAATTGAAATGCAAAGACACTTATAGGCCAAGTTCACAGAGAATCAGTTTTTACTTGTTATTTTTAAATAACAAGAATTAAATACGACGGGCTAGAGGTGAACGTGGTGTTGTACAACTGTCTCCTGCGTGAGCCGCTGATGGACAATAGACGGGGAAACTCGGATTAGAAAAGCCAGTCAGATCTATGTCACGTTGAAAATTAACATTCACATCTTGGCTCACGATGGGGAAGGCTGTTGGTTTAGCGTCAAGGAAACATCCGAGCTCGTCCCGGCTAGTAGAAGCTACTGGCATTAGCAAGTCCACCACGCAGCGGAACTCCTCCAGGCTTGTGTTATTTGTGGAGATGAAACATTTAACATTGCAAAGCAGAGTCAGTAGCAGAATCGCGTTGCTGTAATCAGAGGAGAGGTGTCCAAATGTCATGAAACGAGACTCCAGATCTCCTCTGGCTGACATCTAGTCCCTGAAACAGGAGCACCAAAGCTTTTTCCCGCTGAGATAGATTCACAAGGTGTTCGTTTATACTTGAGACCACTGCAGATGTGTTGGAAAAACAGGTGGACTTGGTCTTTAAGTAAAACATTGATGTTACCGTTTTTAACTACAAAGTAGAAACATTAGAGCAGAGCTAAAGGTCACACACACACACACACACACACACACACGCACACACACACACACACACACACACACACACACACACACACACACACACACACACACACACACACACACACACACACACACACACACATTCTCTCCCTCCCTCCCCCGGACCTGTAGGAGAGGGACAGGGGGAGGAGGTGAAATACGGATTCAGAAGGTGGCGCAGTAGCGATGTACTGCAGGAGAGCAGCTTTTGAACCTAAGTCAGTCAAACGTGTCTTTGGAAGTCATGAGGACCCTTTTTTTCCACTGACACAGGGACTTGTTACCATGACTCGTCCTTTCTGAGTTATGTTTGACAGTTTTCAACCTGGAACAGTGAAAATTTAAACAGATTCTGTGTGAAAGCATCATTTAATCCTTAGCGCTTGTTAGCTTGTGATTAAAACGGGTCAGATCTTCCTCACACGCGTGCCACGGCAGTGCTAACTCAACCTTCTCTCCCCAGGCCTCACGGCAGTTTGATCAGGAGGGCAGGAAGAAGTTTTTCACCCTGGACATGAATAACATCCTCCTGGAGTGAGTTGGACAGCTTTAAATCACTGTTAGGCAAACTGCGCACCCCTCCCCCCCATCTTAAAGTGTTTTGTTGTCTCTGTTAATGACACCCACCCCGCTCTCCTCCCTCCATCCGCCTCTTCAAACCTCACATCTCCATCTTTTCTTCCGCTCCTTCTCGTCTTTTTTTTTCTAACCGCCTCGACTCTTTGTCAGTATTGAGCTGCAGGTCCAGGAGCAGCCTCCTGAGGTGCGTGCAGGCATCTATTCCCACATGGAAGCATTTGTGCCATGCAACAAAGAGGCCCTCCTCAAGCGCCTCAAAAAGCTTAGCCTCAACATCCAGGTGAGCACAGCTTCCCCGTGGTGGGAGTGGTAAATCCCCTGACATTAACAGATCCAGAATATGATTGGAAACCAAGCTTTCATGCTGCAGCCCGTCACTGTAGCTCCTGCAGGAGCATTTAGATGTACAGGCGTGGTTACATCAACGTAAGCATTACACGGAAATCTTCATCCTCCTCCTTTACTCATGATTTCTTTTCTCTTGTCCCGCTTTGCGCTGTTTTGTTTTGTTTTGCTGTTTCAGGATGACCGGCTGCGGGCGCCTCTGTTGAAGCTGAAGTTGGCGGTGTGCAGCGTGATGCCGGAGCAGATAAACAGATACAGCATGGACTGCATGGCCAAGGCTGCAAAGTGAGCCGACCCCCTTCCCTCTGAATGTCTTAGATTAGCCTTGTTTAAAAAATAGTTTTAAACTAATAAGACCGTAGCGATTTATATGAATGATGCTACACTGTAGATAATTGTGAGTTTACACTGCAGGCTTCTATAGATTAGATCAGGGCTGTCGTTCTTGTTTTAGGCAGATTTAAGCTATATTTTAGATAAATATGAGGTCATTTTAGGGTTTGATGCTGCTTCTTCAACATTAAATATTATAAACAGGGTATTTTTATGTAAAATGTCCAACATTAGCTTTATTGGATTGTCTACAGTGATCCCTCGCTACTTCGCGGTTCGTTTATCGCGGATTCACGACTTCGCGGATTTTTTCTTTGGAGCCTTATTCAAGGGAAATTCACCGATTTGCGGTATTTTTCACCGATTCGCTGTATTTTTCACCGATTCGCGGTATTTTTCTATGCGAAATATCAAGAAATTCCTGGGGTTTTTTTTTTCATCATAAAATGCACCTTTTGAAATAAAACTATAAAAAAACAAGTAAAATTTTGTTTTTTTTTTCTTGAGTTTTACCCACAAAAAGAGAATGTGATCAATATAGTACTGTACTGTAAATATGGTGTCCCTACTTTGCGGATTTTTACCTATCGCGGCCAGGTCTGGAACGTATCTACCCCGATAAACGAGGGATCACCTGTATATTGAATTTTGTTTATAACCGTTTTTGCTGAGAATTGCTGCAGTGGGTCCTTTTGTCTGCTTTCCAGGCAGCAGTCAGAAGAGGGCGATAAGAACGGCTCAGAGGAGGAGGATGAGGAGAAACCAGGGAAGAGGGTGATGGGCCCTCGGAAGAAGTTTGTCTGGGATGACAAGCTCAGGTAGTGGTCCCACGCTGCTCCACAACGCCATCTGAGCACTTCAGTGGTCCCGTTTCACTTCCTTCATCTGTCGTCATCCTACACCTTCAGAGAAATTAGTGTTTGATCAACACAGTTTCAATCAAATTAGCTTTATTTTATTTTTTTTGCACAAAACAAACAAACACTTCTTGATTCCAAGAAGAAGAAGATTCATAGATGACTAAAACCTTTAAAGGTTCCAGATCATGCTATTTTAAACCTTTGAGAGCAAAGGTAGGCACAGTGAACTATAAAATATTACCGTTGGCACTAATGTGATTATCTTTTATCGTTTATATCGTTTATCTTAAATATGAGTTATTTCCTTCAGCCTGAATTTATACCCAGAAATAAAACGGTTAGTCTCAGCAGGGTGTCACAAAACACCTACATCAGCGTCTTAGACAAGCCTGCTGTTGTATTGGTATTTAAGCACCTGGCTTTTGTCTTGTTTTGCCATGAGCTGTCGCGGGTTCGACTCCCGGTGATCTCGGCAGTAATTAATTTAGCCAGCAGAAGCAGATTTCATTTATTTATATGTAAGTATTTTTTTATTTATTTCTACAAAGTATTCAGTGTCTCTAAAGATCTTAGAATTTGGTCATCTCCAAGCAGCATTTTAGCTGATTTACTCTGCTCACCTCACATGGACTCGCACTGGCTAAATAAGCAAAGGAAGTAAAAAAAAAACAGACAGATTAGTTCTTCTATTTGAAACTGTTTATTAATAAAGGGTTGAAAACATCATACTGGCAAGTTTAGCTATAAAAGAAGAAAAACGTTACTGTTGTGACTAGGGATGTCCCGATCAGGTTTTTTTGCCCTCGAGTCCGAGTCCCGAGTCATTTGATTTTTGAGAATCTGCCGATACCGAGTCCCGATCACATACTTTCGATACGTTAAAAAAATAAATAAAGGAAGGAAGAAACTGTTACAGAACATTCCTTATTTTTTTATTTAATTACCTTTTTTATTTTAATTTTTAACAACAGATCGCTTCTGTGAGGTAGCGTGAACAATCAAGTAATAAATAACATAAATTCTAGCACTTTTGGACTTTACTGCAAATATAAAAAGTCTAATATAAAAACAGATATCACTTCAACTTAAAATACCTGGCAGGGGTCAATTTAGCCTCGGTCCCCAAAATGCTTAGATACGCCCCTGGGCATGGGACGGAGTTTTGAAGATGATCTGAGTTGTATCAACTATATAAATACTACATTGCTTTATACAGGTACAAACGTGTAGTGGGATCAGTCTACCTACATTTTATTTTTTAAAGAACTTTGTTTTGTTTTCTTGGTTTTTATTTTCCTGTCTTCCTGTCCTGTCTGTCTCTGATCTTCCTGCATCTCCCAGTCCTCCAGAAAAACTCCTGCCTGCTTCCTTCTTTTTCACCTCACAAGTAACTTTTTAGCTAGCAGATCAAATTGATCTATTGACCACAAAAAAGGCGGAGTGTGCGCCGCCCTGCCCGGCTGAGCCAGTGACGAGCGCTGCGGCACGAGCGCGTCCACACGTTATGCTCAAATACAGACAGAACTTACCAGAGAGAAAATGATCGGACACAAACGACTGTGTGTTAACTATATTTTTTGGTGACGCCACTTAGAAACTTAGAAAATGTTACTGTGGCCGTGTGCAGAACGCAGCTGGAGTTCATGAATGATCAGCGGTCTGCCTGCTGCTCTCTGCATATCTGCTCAAAAGAGTCCCCGCTATGCCGAGTCCATGTAAATAATATACAGGTGCTGGCCAGTAAATTAGAATATCATCAAAAGGTTGAAAATATTTCAGTAATTCCATTCAAAACGTGAAACTTGTACATTATATTCATGCAATGCACACAGACCAATGTATTTCCGATGTTTATTACGTTTAATTTTGATATTTATAGGTGACAACCAATGAAAACATCAAATCTGGTATCTCAGAAAATTAGAATATTCTAAAGGCCAATGAAAAAATGTTTGTTTCTCTAATGTTGGCCAACTGAAAAGAATGAACATGAAAAGAATGTGCATGTATAGCACTCAATACTTAGTCGGGGCTCCTTTTGCCTCAATAACTGCAGTAATGCGGCGTGGCATGGACTCGATCAGTCTGTGGCACTGCTCAGGTGTTATGAGAGCCCAGGTTGCTCTGATAGTCGTCTTCAGCTCCTCTGCATTGTTGGGTCTAGCGTATTGCATCCTCCGCTTCACAATACCCCATAGATTTTCTATGGGGTTAAGGTCAGGCGAGTTTGCTGGCCAATCAAGGACAGGGATACCATGGTCCTTGAACCAGGTGCTGGTGGTTTTGACACTGTGTGCAGGTGCCAAGTCCTGTTGAAAGGTGAAGTCTGCATCCCCATAAAGTTGGTCAGCAGCAGGAAGCATGAAGTGCTCTAAAACTTCCTGGTAGACGGCTGCATTGACCCTGGACCTCAGGAAACAGAGTGGGCCAACACCGGCAGATGACATGGCACCCCACACCATCACTGACGGTGGAAACTTTACACTGGACCTCATGCAACGTGGATTCTGTGCTTCTCCGCTCTTCCTCCAGACTCTGGGTCCTTGATTTCCAAAGGAAATGCAGAACTTGCTTTCATCAGAAAACATAACTTTGGACCACTCAGCATCAGTCCAGTCCTTTTTGTCCTTGGCCCAGGCGAGACGCTTCTTGCGCTGTTTCTTGTTCAAGAGTGGCTTGACACACGGAATGCGACACCTGAATCCCATGTCTTTCATGAGTCTCCTCGTGGTGGTTCTTGAAGCGCTGACTCCAGCTGCAGTCCACTCTTTGTGGATCTCCCCCACATTTTTGAATGGGTTTGTCGTCACAATTCTCTGCAGGGTGCGGTTATCCCTAGAGCTTGTACACTTTTTTCTACCACATTTTTTCCGTCCCTTCGCCTGTCTGTTAATGTGCTTGGACACAGAGCTCTGCGAACAGCCAGCTTCTTTAGCAATCACCTTTTGTGTCTTGCCCTCCTTGTGCAAGGTGTCAATGATTGTCTTTTGGACAGCTGTTAAGTCAGAAGTCTTCCCCATGATTGTGGTGCCTTCAAAACAAGACTGAGGGACCTTTTAAAGGCCTTTGCAGGTGTTTTGAGTAAATCAGCTGATTAGAGTGGCAGCAGGTGTCTTCTATATTCAGCCTTTTCAGAATATTCTAATTTTTTGAGATACCAAATTTGGAGTTTTCATTAGTTGTCACTTATGAATATCAAATTTAAATGTAATGAACATTGGAAATACATTGGTCTGTGTGCATTGCATGAATATAATGTACAAGTTTCACGTTTTGAATGGAATTACTGAAATATTTTCAACCTTTTGATGATATTCTAATTTACTGGCCAGCACCTGTAGTACAGGTAGAAACTGGATCTCTTTTGGGCTCCTTCTGGGTGTGTAAGTTAAGGGCATCAGGGGAGCCTGGCAACCTTTAACCTGTAATTTGAACCCAGTATCCGAGTCCGGATCGGGGCTTGGATCGGGAAGTAAAGCCCGAGTCCCGATCGAGTCTGAAACCAAGTGATCGGGGCCGATTTCCGATCATGTGATCGGATCGGGACGTCCCTAGTTGTGACGGTAGTTCAACCGGCTCCACTCTTAACCACTAGGCTACCAAGTCAATAGCCTAACCTGTGCTGGCCATTATGTGCACCTTTGTAGTCAGGATGCGTGGTTTCCATGGCTGTGTTTTGTCCCCAACGCAGCAGTAATTTGTCTGAGCATACACAGAATATCCCGGTTTCAGACCCAAGACCAGACCAGCTTCAGTAGGGGGTGAAATGCCTGATGGGATACTTTCTCCTGTCTCTACATGGAGCAAATAGAGGCAGGGAAATGTATGCATTCAGCCAAAGAGTACTTTGGCTGAAAATTGGAGTATTTATCATGAAGAAATGATGCTATGACTTGGTAAAAAGCTAGCATTAGCGACTCCACCACACAGCAGAACTCCTTCAGGCTTGTGGTGATTAAACATCAGCATTGCAGAGCAAATAGAATCAGGCTCAATCTCAATCACTGCGCCCTGCCTTCTTCAGCAAAGTGCACTCGGGGAAAGTGTGCAGTAGGGTTCGAGTGCGTAGTACGAGACCGGGAGCATTGTGTCATCGATCATGATGCTGGTCGCTGTGAAACGTCTTTTCAAAAACCTTTATTAACACCTTTCAAACAAACAGCAAAGCACTTATTTGAAATAAGTTTTACTTCATTGCTGCTTTGTCGAAAACATTCAGAGCATCAAATAATCGTCCTAAAATCAACCAATTTTATTAGAAAATACAGCAACTTGAGCCTTTTCTCCTGCAGCAATGACTTGTGGGTAATACCCTTGCCCGAGGTCCGCATCGCTGCGGACTTGGGTGAAGTGCAGGGTGCAATGGGGGCGTGGTCAACTTCCGCACTTGAGAATCGGGACGCCCTACGGCACTCGCCCCCCCTGGCCGGGAACGCGCAAATGAAGGGTGCAAGTGCGAGTATTGGGATTGGGCCTGTTAGCCAATCAGAGGAGAGATGTCCAAATATCAGGAAATAAGACTCCCAAGTCCTGCCATGTTCTGCTCCCCTCTCTCCCGGCTAACTTCCTGAAACAGGAGCGCCAGAACTTTTTTTCCAACAGAGATCCAACCCTCACATTTATACTCGAGACCTCTGCAGACGTTTTGATGAAATGGTCGACCTCGATCTTTAGACTTGTACGGATCCGTCTCATCCACCTCAGACGACTTGACCCGCGGTGTCTCGTGTTTCCCACATGCAGCCTAGCTCAGCGGAAACCAGATGATCTGAGTTGAACGGGACCTGTGTGTGTTTGTGCAGGAACCTGCTGTGTAACCTGGTGAGAGTGAAGCTGAGCTGCTATGAGATGGAGAAGCAGTGCTCTCTGTCTGTGGAGGACTACCTCAAGGCCTTCTTGGAGAACGAGGTCAAACCACTGTGGCCCAAAGGCTGGATGCAGACCAGGTCTGTGTGTCCTCATCTTTGTGTATTTGCTTCTGTTGTGAAGTCAGCCTTGATGTCTTCAACAATGTTGTGATGCTCCTCTAGAAACTTCAGGAAAGCTCATTTTCTTCATGCTAATAATAAAATCGGAGCGTTTATTCCATGTCCACCACATCTACTGTTTGTTTCTACCGTTTAAATCTGTGATTTATTATTTATTTTCAAACCACGTTGAACCGTAGAAGCTCGAGCAGCTGGTGGGAGCAGATTGTCAGACTTATCTGGAGCTACTGGTGGGTTCCAGGATTACAGCCTGTTAAGAAAACACCAAACACCTACTTAGCAGACGGCAGCCAGGCGTGCTGGAGGATGGAGAGATGTTAGTTTGCGGCGCATGAGTCCACCTACAGTCCTGTAGCTGTTGCCCAGTGAAGCAGCAGAGTAGAAAATGCGGAGATGTGCTCGTAAGCGGACCCCGCTCCTCCGGCTCTCGTGTTTTTGTCGGGAAAGTGTTCTTTTGCATCGGTCCAAGTGAGGCTCTTTCTTCCAGTTCTTCCATTTTAGTGGAGCAGGGCTCTCGTGTGCGTTCGCCGTACATTCTACACGATTCCCTGTTGCTGTTTTTTTTTTTTTTGTACTTCCTGGTTAATCCTGAGAATGTTCCTTTGGGTTGCTCAGGATTCTGTTCAAGGAGAGTTTTGCTGTTCACGGCCATCTTACTGGAAATCTGTAAGTGTCGCCAGCTTCTCTCGGGTGTCTCTAAACGGAAACGGTTGTTTAACTTTGTTTTTGCGTTTGTTCCGTTCAGAGTAAAGAGGAGGATCCTGCCTGGACCCAAGGCCAAAGCCAAGGTGAGTGATGCCTCCGCTGGTTTCTGGAAACCAGAAAATAACAAATTATTATGACTTGAAGCTTGACATCCTGATCATTGACTGGTTAGCTGACTAAAAATCCATCTTCTGTCCTCAGGAGGGTCTTTGGATCAACAAACCTCCTCTGACCATGACCTCCACACCTGCCCTGACCTGCAGCCGCCTGCCCCCCTCCTCCTCCTCGCCCCCGGAGCCCATCTGTCTGTCGGACTCTCTGGATGAGGATTTGACCGCTCCCTCTCTGGACTCCATCTCTCATGCTCTGGCTCTCCTCAGTAACGTGTCCAAGGGCCTGGGCCCAGCGGACAGCCCTCTGTCACCCCCACCTCTTCAGATGCCCACCTCCTCCCCTCCCCCCGTCGCCCCTCACTACCCCTCCATCTCTCAGGTGTCTGCCCCGACTGTGTCCGCGGCGCAGCAACATTCCCTGTCTAAGGTTGCGACCTCTTCTCCAGCTGCTGTGTCAGCTGGGAGCTTGCCTGTGATGACACTCGCCTCCCTCTCCTCTACCTCCTCCTCCTCCTCTCCCGCCGTCTCCTCCACGGCCCGTGTGGCCCCGTCGGGCCTGCCGCTGACCTCCAGGACGGCAGAGGGTCACTACAGCCAGATGAAGGGCACCATGGTCCAGTCTCAGAGACATGTAACCATGACGACGCCCTGCCACAGGCCTACCTCCGTAATGGGTAAGGTGCATCCTCACCCCTCACCGTCTCCTACAAAGCAGCGGCCTCCCCCCACAGCATCCCCCCTGCTGCCCCCCCACCAGAAAGGCTTTGCCAGCCCAGCAGGGTTACTGGGAACTCTGGGAGCCAGTCAAGGACCGTCCAAGAGCAGCACCAAGTCCAGTAGCAACGGCGGTGCTGCCAACAGCGGCGTCGCACCTTCCTCCTCCTCTTCATCACAGACCCGGCCCAGCTCTGCCTCCCAACTGCAGTCCTTCTGTCCCCCCTCCCCTGGAGCCTCCTCACACTCCTCCCAAGGGAAAGCCCACACACACCTTCACCACCAGTCAAACTTCATCACCCCCATGCAGGCCACCCTCACCAAATCCTCCCACAGCAGCAACTCCTCCCCCATCATCAAACTCACCCCTCGGCCTCCCGCGCCCACGCCGCCTCCCTCCTCCACCCCGTCCCCATCGTCCTCACCCTCACATCAGCTCCCCCATCAGATGATCTCCAACCAACAGCAGCAGCACCAGTACGCTCCCAAAACCACCAAGCCCTTCCGACCCCCCTTCAGCGGCTCGAGCAGCGTGCAGGCGAAGCCGACGGCGGGCAGCTGCAGCTTCGCTGGAGTCCAGAAACCTCAGAGCGTCATTAATTCCAGCAACAAGGGAGTCATGTCACCCGACAAAACTCCCCCGTCCTCTACAGCGCTGGCCTCAGCCAGTCAGAGGCAAAGGGGCGGGGCCAATCAGGGCTCAAAGGCGGGAAATGGTTGGGGGTCTTCAGGTACTCTGGCCGCACCCGCCACAACATCGCACCTGTCCCAGGTGAGTGTTGGTTAGAAGTAAAAGACACATTTGTGTGTTTGGTTTGATAAAACATGGCTGTGGTTTCCCTCAACCCCCCCCAGGCGTCGGGCTCCCCCCTCCTGAGCAGCCACTCGGCTCTGCCGCTGGGCTTTGGGATGTTGGGCGGTCTGGTTCCCGTCTCACTGCCCTTTCGGTTCCCCTCGTTGCTGAATTTCAGCGCTCCAGGGGCTGCTGGGATGGGCTCGGCCCCCAGCTCCAACTCAGGATACTCGCTAGCACAGAGCGACCTAATGGGTGAGTCCTCACATTTAAATGAACATCTTACTCCTCCTCAGGGTATCTGCGGGTCCTTAAAAAGTCTTAAATTTACTTTTCCAAATTTAAGGCCTTGAAAATCCTTAAAAATTACAAATAATCCTTAAATACAGTTTCCAAAGGTCTTAAATTACCAAAGACCCAATAAACTGGATTATTTTATTTCTATGACATTTTCATGAATTTCAGCCGTTGTTGTGTACGATGTTGGCGTAAGCGGAACCGTACACATTCAGTTGGTTGTGAAAGGGGACTATTTTTAGATGAGCACATTAGCTGGTTAAGCTAGTGGGAGCTTGCGCCATGGAGAAGTGCAAGTTTAATGGTAACTGGATGGCTAATCCCATGTTTGCGACGTGGTTAGCACCGGTTCCAGGCAATAGCTGGAAATTATAGCTTAAAATTAATTTAAAAAAATAGCTTAAATTTGGATCTGGATCAAAAGGAGTCAGTTGAGGTGGTTTGGGCATCTGGTCAGGATGCCTCCTGGACGCCTCCCCGGGGAGGTGTTTCGGGCATGTTATGCCGGCAGGAGGCCCCCGGGTCGACCCAGGACACATTGGAGAGGTTACATCTCCAATCTGGTCCGGGAACGCCTTGGGGTCCTGCCGGAGGAGCTGGTGGAGGTGGCTGGGGAGAGCACGGTCTGGTGCTCCCTAGTTGGTATGCTGCCCCTGTGACCCGGACCCGGATAAGTGGAGGAAGACGACAACAAGCTTAAATTTGGTCAAAGTGGCCTTAAAAAAGGTCTTAAATTTGGCTACCTGCAGATACCCTGCCTCCTCCCTCCCTCTGTTTTACCCATCTGTCATCTCAACCGTTTGAAGCTGCTCAGCTCTCTGAGGTGGTTTTAACACGAGTCCATCTTTGTCCCCTCGTCCTGATCGCGGTGCCCGTTTCCTCCCTCCCTCTCCTCAGATCTGTACAAGAGCCTCCAGTCAGGGTCGCAGGCTGCCCTACCTCCTCACTTGCAGCTTGCTTTTTCAGGTAAGCTCCTTTACGTCCCCATCTGTCCACGAGGAGGTCGGTTCTGATGGTTCCTCGGGTGTTAGCAGCAGATACGCGAGGCTGTGTGTGTGTGCGACAACCGCTTCTGAATTTTTCCCCGTCTCCTCTCAGATGCGAACCAAAGCCAGAGTGGAGACATGAAGAGGAAATTCCACTGACCAATCAAAGCTCAGGAGGGGATGTCAGGTGACATCACACCCTCCTGGATGAGATCACCAATTAGCAATCAAGGCTCTGATTGGCTGGCGGGGACGCGGATCCACCGGCTGACCCGAAACGGACCTAAAGGAGTTCCTCCTCGCTTCAAGTGGCAATGAATTAATTTACCCGTGTTTCCTCTGAAGGAGCGGGTATGAGAACAAGACCGAGTGAATGACGAGAACACTTCCTTTTGTTCGGCTTCTTTTGTTCTGTCAACATGTTTACATACGACTGACCTGGATCACTGTGGAATGAGTGTGAGCGAGGTGGTGGCACACGAGAGCAGTAGCACGCTACCTTATATCGTTTGTATTTAAGATTATGTGGAGTTCTAGGACTCTCGTTCTTTCAGTGACAATAAGAGGAAAAAAAAGAAAAACAGAATATAATTATGAGGTTTTTGTTTTTTCTCTGTCTGCGGTGTGGGAGTCGTCGTGTCTGTAGAAGTTTATTTTTGGTCACCTTTGCTCCCACAAATGACTGTTAGGTAGTAGCTTAAATTAACATTGCTAAATTATTTTTAATTTACACAGGGATACAAATGCGAGTGTGTGTGTGTGTGTGTGTGTTTGTACATAAAAGAAACTATAAATTTCTTTCCAGATGTTTTTTATATGACCGAGTAGACATGTCCCCCCCCCCCCCCCCCCCCCTCACAATAATGAGCAGATGTTAGTCTGATGCCCCGCTCTCAGTGGGCTTTTGGTGCTGTTTGATCACACTGGACCTTTTGTGAAGGAAGAAAATTCATATTTATATATGAGAGTTGGTAAAAGTTCTGGGTGGGAGTGGGGTAGAGGACTGGATTGTAGCTTACTTGAATTTTCATTTGTTTTATTTGTGTTTTTTATATATAATTTTCACTGCTTACAGACTCAAATCTTCTTAATATAAGAAAACGCCTTAGTTTGTATCGATAAAAGTATGAAAAAAGATCTATGCAGGACTGTGAAAGCTCAGTGCAAAAGTACAAGTGGTCGTTTGGCTTTCAAACCTCTCCTCAGCGTGTCGGCGCATTTCCGGAGTCGTGCTGTTAACGCCACGCTCCCGGGTTTTCTGGTGGGAGTTCACACAATAAGACGAGAGAGCGAAGTCAAGTTTAGCTGCAGGTCTAACCACTACAAGTGTTCTCGTGTAAATAAAACTGTTGTCAACGCAACTCTAGTTTATCTAGGAGAAAACGCGCGATGGCTGGCGACTAAATCCGTGAACTTATCGAAACGAGGAGGAAAAACATTAGATCGACTGAAAATTCAGCTAAAGTAATTATAGCTCGTTTTCACGCTGTTATTAATGCTTTCAGTACACTAATGCAGTTGTAGGGAAGATCAGGAGGAGGAAACTGGGAACATCTCCATTAGTCCATGCTACAAATGAAAACCCTTCTTTAGAAAGGCCATTCTAACATAAAACTGTTTTTTTAACCCTTTCACAGAACTGATCGGGCCTCGGTTTGGAAACAAAACCACAATAAACTGAACGAAACTGAAGTTTGATCCACTTTTCTCTGCAGCTCACATGAAAATAATTCCAGTTCTCTTTGTGTTTTACTCCGAGTTGATCGTGTCAGTGTTATTATTTAAATTTAGCGTAACTTGGCGAGTCCCATCGGCTACGCTCAACATGTCTCCGTTTGATTTAGCAGAGCGGCAACATTAAATCAAATAAATCCGACGTTTAAACAAACGGCTGGTTTGGCGAGTCTGATGAAAGACGAACTTCTGTTTGTAATCATTTCTGAGGTGGGACTTGAGTCGTTGATGAGGCGACACAGCAGAAGCAGTGACTCCTAAAAGACCTGAACTAACTTTTTTTTAATGGAAACAATATTTAACATTTTTATCTTTCCCACTGAAGCCAGCAGAGGTTGTTGGCTGGTTTTCTCACGCTTTAAACTTGACTTCGTTCTTTCTGAACACTGGTAGCAAAACCTTCCGTCAGCTGAATACCTCCGTTTATAAAACTGTTCTTCCTGTGTGTGTGTGTGTGTGTGTGTGTGTGTGTGTGTGAGAGAGAGAGAGAGAGAGAGAGAGAGAGAGAGAGAGAGAGACCGGCTGCACCAAGAGAGATGCCAAAGATGGTTTTGTAGTAGCTGCTCTGGAGGGGTGCTGCTGGTCTTGAGTGCATGTATTCTTGAGTGACGTTGACCCCTGACCCCTGAGTGTCAGCTCCTTTCTTCTGGGTGTGAAGTCATGTGACCTGAGCAGCAGGTGACACCTCACATGTTGTGCTTTTGCTGGAGGTGCAGGAGGGTAAGAAAGACATTTTGTGGTTTTCTGGTTCCTTAATTTGATCTTTTGTAGATTATTTTTCTGTGTCTTAAGAAATAAAACAGGTGGTTTTCTTAATGACTGAGGATTTTCTTTAAAGTAGCGCGACACCCTAAAGCTCTGACCTGATGAGTTGTGCTTGTGTGCTAAACGTGATCGTGAATAGCACTAAATAAAACAATGTACCAAAGTAAAATGAGCTTTCAGTTAAAAAGAATAAAAGTGGATGGACACACGAGGTTGGAACCAGACATTTTACTTTGTAACAATTTTATATTCCAATGAGACCGTAAGAAATAGTCAATAATTAAAATTGTGGTATTTAATCGTATAAACCCCAATAGAAGACAAACTGGTATGTACTTCCAGCTCCTGAATAAAACTCTGTAGAAATTGGAAATGATCAGAATGTTGGATAAAAGGTTCTCTGCAGCATCTTGAAGATAGTTTAAGAATCTGTTAAAAAACTGGAACCGCCGGTGGATTCAATTCAATTCAAGTTTATTTATATAGCGCCAAATCATGACAAGCGTCGTCTCAAGGCACTTCACATAATAAACATTCCAATTCAGGTCAGTTCATTAAGCCAATCAGAAATAATGTTTCCTATATAAGGAACCCAGCAAATTGCATCAAGTCACTGACTAGTGTCAGTGACTATACAGCAATCCTCATACTAAGCAAGCATAAAGCGACAGTGGAGAGGAAAACTCCCTTTTAACAGGAAGAAACATCCAGAGAATCCTGGCTCAGTGTAAGCAGCCATCTTCCACGACTCACTGGGGATCGAGAAGACAGAGCAGACACACACACGCACACACACAAAGACAATGTGTCTATAGTTATATTGTGATGTCTTAGTAAATATTCTACATATACATTTCATATTTAACCACTTTAATGTGTTTTTCTACCTGATTATTAGATCTGCACAAAACCAGCAGCATTCCTCTTCAAACCCATTTATTTAATCTGAACTTGTTTAAAGTGGGACTTTTTTCTGAGAATATGAGGGTGAAACTAAAACGTCTTCAAAAGTCTGAACTTGCAGTTGTGCCGTCTGACCTGGATGCCTGGAGTTGACAATGACATTGTAGGACTTTGGATTTAATAAGCGTGGATGCTGAGGGTGGTACCTGCGGCGTCCCCCGGATTCAGGAGTAACATGGTTTTGGTCGTGGAACCATGGGTCAGCTATTTACTCCTGCTAGGAGCTGGAGGGGACATGGGAGATTGGTCAACCAGCCCAGGTTCTGTGGAGCTGGAGGCTTATGCCCAAGTCCCCAGGGAGGAGGCAGATGGCCTACTGTTGAGTCCCTGTTAAGAGTCTGGTCCGCAGTGCCGGCAGCAAGGCTCTTCTTCGTCACCGGTTCTGTTCATCGCCTTTATGAACAAAATTTCAAGGCACAACTGGCGGGTGGACGGGATGGTTCTTTTGGCTCCATCAATGACCTTCAGCTCTAGCTAGGATGGTTCACAGCACCTCCAAATACGTGGTCATGGTTCTCAACTGGAAGAGGGTGGATTACAAACCCCAGGTCAGAGGAGAGGTCCTACCTCAAGTAGTGAAGGTCTTGTTCATGAGCGAGGGAAGAGGTGGATAGGGGCGACAGCGATGCAGAACCTGGTCTGGAATCTTGAGGCAAAGCTCTCAATTACTGGTTGATCTTCATCCCAACCCTCACTTTTGGTCACGAGCTGGGGTTCATAACCAAAGAACAAGATCGTGAATACAAGCAGCCAAACTGAGTTCCCTCTGCCTGGAGGCTGGGGTCATCAGTCTCAGAGAAAAGGTCAAGAGCTCGGACATTCAAGAGAGACTTGTAGTCCAGATCCAGAAGAGCCAGCTCAGGTGGTTCGGGCATTTGGTCAGAATGCTCCCCGAGGTGTTTCAGGTATGTTCTGCCAGCAGGAGCCCGATAGACCCAGGACACGGAGGCATTTTAACTCCATGTTAGCCAGGGAACAACTGGGAATCCCACCAGTGGAGCACTGCTACCCCCGAGCTGGATCAGTGGAAGAAAATGAAGAAACCATTAAACAACAGGACTCGCGTGGCTCCAAATCCACAACGCCATCAAGGTTAAAATTAATTAGCTTTATTTTTCTTTTACAAAAACAAACAGAAAAACGAGGAAATGACTATCTAGGAATACAGGAAGTATCATGATGGAATATCTGCAGTCAGACGCCTGGTTGTCAACAGCCAGCTGAATAATAATAATAACAGTAATAATAATAACAGTAACAAATTCAATCAAAAGGTATTTTACTACTGGATGTTAAAGCTCCCAACCAAATGAAATCCTGTGCAGCACATCTTTCAGCCCAGAAGCAGTGAAGTTCTGAACCTCAGGAGGAAACATCTTAAAGGTGGAGATCCCTCCCATGTTGGTTAATACTGATCCAGCCAGGAGGTTCTGAACACATCAGATATGACGCCAAACCCAGCAACGGTACAACCAAAGAGCTGGAAGTGCGGAACATGTGTTTAATCCACATCTGTAATGGAGTCTGTTGATGTTCTTTAGTGTCGAAGGCACTTTTAAAGAAACATACTGTTGGGAGTTGGAATCTGCGGGGGTAACGGCGTCTGAGTAAAGAGACGTAGAGGTCAAAAGTTGACGTGAGCACCCTGGCATGCAGTTTTCATCATGTAGTGGTTCAGCTGCAAAATGACAGGACTTCAGGAGGAAAACTAAAACTCACGTCGTGTCGAGACAACAGGTCACCTGCAGGGAGCTCCATTAGGCCTGAACTCACTAAATAATGGCACAAAGTACATTCGAGTCACAAAGCTACACGTTCATATCGGACCTGGAAAACCCAGACGAGTTGTGAGGGTCCGACCCAAACCTGTAAAATCTTTTAACGTCTGAGTAAAGGCTAAAGGAAAACTCAGGATTTAACACAAAAGAATGCGCAGTAGAAGAATCAAAACAGGCTCCTACATTACCCATAATTCAATTCAACAATGACCAAAAAGACCAGAGGGGCAGTCTTCTGACTCACAGCGCCCTCTGCTGATGGAAAGGCCCAGTGAGACCTGAATCTCTCTAAAAGTGGGACAGTCCGAACGCCTGACCCAAGTGCTTAATGGTTTTTGTAGAACCTTCCAGAACAGCAGCTGGGCCGAGCTGACTCCCCATCACCTGCTGGGTCTCCAAACATTAGTAAAACCTGATTTTAGATTTACACAAAGTGAGCTAAGCACAGTCTGCGGTCCAGTTAGAGCTTGTATCGGGTCAGGTCACGGTTTCTGTGCAGCTTCGTTACATCTTTTCCTTGGATGAGCTCATTCTGGTCCTTCACAGGAAGCTTCCAGGTGGTGGACGATCCAGAAGGCTCCGGAGCGCCAGAGTCGGAGCACAAGCTGAGCCGAGCCGGACATTCCTTCAGTTAAAAGGTTGAGATGAAGCAACGGAGAAAATAAAACACCTTTTTATTTCACAGTAACACTTCCTTCCACTTCAGCTTGTGTTTTTTCTATTAAATGTCTCGAGATGTTTCTGTGAGGAGGTCTGACACGAAGCAGAGAGAGCAGCTGTTTGATATGAGAAGAAACCGCTCCACGGATCAGAGCAGGAACCTTAAGTCTGACCGGGTGGGGGTGGGGTTACATTATGACACAGAGCTTGCGGACGCGCCGGGCTCAGAGGAGGTGACGAGGTTTAAAACGGCTCTCTGCTCCAACCTTCTCATCAGTGGTTGAACATCGGGACAGGATTGTGGGGATGAAGAGCATCAGAGGAAACAAGCAGCTGGGGGGGAGGAGGGGGTTTACTCCACGTTGGAGGCTTGGGTGTCGTTAAAGTCGCTGGCGCGGCTGTCGGCGTCGTCGTCCGACATGTCGACGGAGGCTCCGTCCAGGTTCAGGTTGCGGCGGCCCGAGCGGCTGGAGGAGAAGCTGCTGACTGGACCTCCACGTCTGCTCCACACAAACACAACAAATGAAGATCTGTAGTTCGTTCCTCTAAACCAACATTTAGCTGAGATGTTTGGATTTCACTTCACCTGAGGCGGTTCTTCAGGGAGTTGACCTCTCTGGTCAGACCCTCGATGGCCTCGGTGGCGTCGTCCAGCTCCCTCTGCAGCTTCCTGCGAGAGGCGTTGGCTCTAGTAGCCTCCTCCTCCGCCTCCTCCAGCTGACGCTTCAGCTGCTTCATACGAGAGTTGGCTTTCTCCACCTGACAGGACAAACATGCAGATCATGACCTTCTCATGTTTCCTCACGTGAGAAAGATCATCTGAAGTCCTCCCGCATGGTGTTACCTGCTCTTTGTACTGGTCGGCATGGCGACGCTCATCCTCCACCTGCATCATCACCTCCTTCAGCTTCTTCTCGGTGCGTCTGACGATCTTGTTGGCTGCTGCTCTCTCCCTGGAGGAGTCACAGAGATAGACAAACCTGCCTATCTGCACAAAGCTGTTGCATTGTGGGTAACCAGAGGAACTGGAAACTTACTTGGCTTCTTGCTCCAGCTGTTCCTCCAGCTGCAAGATCTTGGCCTCCAGTGCCGTGATGGACGCCTTAAACTTGGACTTGACAGCTCCTTCCAGCTCTGCTAGCTTAGCTTTCAGCTCCTGTGTTTATAATTAGATCATTTTTCATTATTGTTGTGGAATTTCTGATGTTGGAGATCGCGTTCAAATGATCCTCCCAGCTTCTGAAAGATCCCTTTGATGCCAGAATTGTTGCTGGCTAAAGCCTGAGTCATGCTTCTGCGTCTGCGTCAGTGAGGAGACGCCATTAGGACGGACGGAGTCGAGCTCTCTTTTCTAAACATCCGTCCGTTGAGACGGAGAATGCAAGCTTGTGATTGGTCAGGACGCCGCTGTCGTCTACACCGCCACCATTGCGCCCTCAGAAACATAGAGAGGCGAGGATAACTAGCGGCAGACACGGAGCAGCTTGAAGAATACTTCGCGAAAAAACTCTAAAAACATGAACGTTTAATTCCCCCGTGACTGGAGGAGTGAAAAGATGCACAGCAAGCGTTTTATTCGTGGACGGAAATGACAGGAAATGTGGGTTTAAAGGTGGCGAGCGCATGAAGAGGTGGAGGAGGATGAGAGACAAATTTGTCTGTGTTAAAATGTCCCTTATATACACAAAAAACACAATATAAACACATTATCTTGGACCGATACATGACAGGATACCACAGAACAGCGCTACGCCCTCTGCTGTCCTGGTGGGGAATTGCTTTGCAACACTCCGTGCGTGCGTGTCTCTCCCTTTTGGAGCTGACGGAGAAGCATGACTCAGGCTTAACCCAGCAGCTGTTTTCAGACCACCGAGTCAGCTGTAGCTCAGAGGAGACGGGTCAGTAACGAGTCGTGGCTCATGCATCATTGTGTGAGTGTGTGTGTGTGTGTGTGAGTGTGTGTGTGTGTGCGTTCGTGCGCGCATGCATCACTGAGTAGCAAAGCACATCTGGTTGTTCAGACATTTCAATCAGGTAATTAAATTTAAAATGCTGCGTTGTCATTGGTCGGACCGACCCAGAAAGGTTTAGGGTTGGTCGATGTGATGTGCGCATGTGCAGATCATGCAGAGGTTTTGCAAACCTGCGGGGAACATGGATGACGAAGTTCTACAGAAAGTAGCTAAGGGTTTCAGAAATGTTGCTACGTTTGTTGCTAGGTGTTTGGAAACAAAGTTGCTAAGTTGGCAGCACTGGCGCTGCATGCCGTCTTCATGACTGCGGTTGGTCAGATGACGATGTGTGAAGCACTACATCTCAGATAGTTTAAACAAGTTGGATTCTCCCCTCTCTGAAGGTTGATTCTTACACAGACCGACTGAACCGAACCCAACTAAACCTCGTCAGATCTATACACCATACAGGGATTCCAAAACAGCAATTTTCTCTTTTCATACTGATGATTAGATAACGTGTCTGATGCGTGAAACTATTCCCTCTCTATCCTGACGACGTGCCCTTGAGCAGACAGACATCTACGGTTGCTTCTGGACCATCACAGACCTTGTTCTGTCGCTCCATGTGCTGCCGAGCGTTCTCACTCTTCTGTGCAGAGCTGCGTTCTGCTGCCAGCTCAGCGTTCAGGCCGTCCACCTGAGAGAGGAGGAGGAGGAGGAGACGTTATTTTTTTTTACAGACGATGCAAATGAGCTTCTGCCTCCTGAGAGTCCTGACAAAAACATCTCCAGTGTCAGACACAGATATCCTGACAGTGGCATTATTTAAAGCATACTGCACATCTGTGGTCATTCGATAAAAAGTCTAGCTTGCACAGGTTACAAGTGATGCAATGAGAATCCTCAGAACTCCCAGGGGACGCAGTGCCAGTCAAACGTCTGTTTCTGTGAGCGTGTGTACATTTACGACACTTCTAAGAAATGTAATGTTCAAGTTTATGAGACGGCTGGAAGAATCTTCCAATAGTGTTATAGTTGCACTCTCAAATCCCACTGTGAGCTGCTCTCGTTTAGGGCTGCAGCTATTGAATATTTTTGTAATCGAGTACTCTATCGAATCTTTTATCGATTAAACGAGTACTCTAATAAATTACTCTTTTGCGTTTTTAAACCATTATATCAAACAGCATGTTATAAAATATGAAAGACCTCTTAAAATGAGCAATTGCCAGTTATTCTTCAAGTTTTATTCAAAATTAGTTTTCAAAACTTCAGCACTTCAACTTTACTTCACAGTAAACAAATGCGAGCGGCTGCGGCCCAAACAGCACCAGAACCGCTCACGGCGCATGTGCAAACATGGCTCGCCAGCTATTTCCCTATTAACACACGTCCTTTTTGATTTCTACACTTTTTTGTCTCACACTAACAAGGGTTGTCGAGAAAGCATGTTTGCCGTGGTTATGTCTAATTATACAGATCACAAAACATTTATTTACTTTCTTTCGTTTTCCTCCGCCACTCATAAATACCTGTCCTCCTGCAGCAATCCCGAGGGACAACAGACATCAATAACAACACAGTAAAAAGTCCGACGCGTTGTAAAAACTGCTATTTTTAGCACATTTTAAGACCGACGTGTTTCTACCAGACGTACGGTGTGAGCTGAAACTGAGTGCTACAAATGAAAAAGTTGCACAGTGTCTGCAGAATATATAGAAATACAGGCTAAAAAGCATGATCTTGTAGAGGCTCCGAGTCCGCTTGCAGAAGTGACATTTACATGTGCTGCAGCATGGAGGATGTGGTGTTGTGGTAGGCTAAATCCATTTTACAGTATTTACACTGGACTACGGTTTCCACCTTACGATGTGAAAAATGGTCCCACAACTTTGACATTTTGTGTCTTTTTCACACTCCACCGGCGTCCACATTGTCCGCCATGGCTTAAAAGAAACTTAAGTTGCGTTCGCTACTCGCGTGTGCATTCAGTGCAGTGTGTATGTGCGTCACTTATTTCGGTCCGGGTGAAACATGACCACGGGCGATTGCAAAGCCATGAATAATTAAACATGAATTAAACGAAGCTTCAAGGCAGAGAATTTGACTCGAGGATTTTTTGTACTCGAATTATTCGAGGTACTCGAGGAATCGTTTCAGCCCAACTCTCGTTATATGTCTAGGCTGAGAATGCACTGGTTAAAATGTTTGGGTGGATTTATCTCAACTGGTTAGTTTTGTTGTTCCTTACCTCCACTGCAGTTATATCCAGTGATTTTATAAAGGCTTTTATTGGTATTAATGTTAATTGGTATCCTTTCTTTTCTTGTGTTTATCTGTATGTTTCTTTTAAAATGGACTTTAAGTCTGGCAATGAAATAAAATAAAATAAAATGTGTTTTAGTTTACTTCATGTTGTCAGACAGGTTCTGTTGGGAGTGGTTTCTTATTTCTACAGGTGTGGTGGTAATCAGGTGTGGGTGTACAAATAATCTGGTTAATCCCAGTTAATTCTTGATATCTGATCAGAATCAGAATCAGGTTTATTGCCATTGTCAGTGAACAAACAATTCAAACTAGGAACTTGCTTCGGTACTAATGTGCTACGTATAACATGAATAATAAGATTAAAAATAGAATAAAATTGAATAAAATTGAATAAAAAAATAAAAAAACTAGAATAAAACTTTCAGCTATAAAAAATGGCAGGTAATGGTAACATGGCCGATAACGTGACGTTGTGTCGAGTACAGAAGACGAGCATGGTTGTGTGTTTATAAGCTGTTCACAAGTCTAACGGCAGATGGAAAGAAGCTGTTCTTATGGCGGGGGGTTCTGGTCCGGATGTACCGTAACTGATGATGATGACTAGGACAAGGGCGCACCTGCAAGCTGGTCTTTTTGAAGCGGTCATTGAGCAGTTCTGTGTTACCCTGCTCCTCCTCTAGCTCCTCCTCCAGCTGGGCAATACGAGCTTCAAGCCTCCTCTTCTCCTCCAGCAGAGATGACCTGGCACGCACACGCACACACACACACACGCACACACACCTGTTCAGTTCCTAACTATCTTTGTTTTTGCTGCCTGTGACAGAAACCATCCACTGACTTTCCCGCTGCACTGTTGGAGATCTCGTCAGCCAGCTCGTCCCTCTCCTGTTCAGCATGTCGTCTGGCTCTCTCAGATGCTGCGTGGTCCTACACACACATGCACACAGAGAAGGTCAGTTTTCACCTTTATTCCTCTCTCTTGCTCTCTCCCGCTCGCTCACACACTCACACACACACACACACACACACACACACACACACACACACACACACACACACACACACACACACACACACACACACACACACACACACACACACACACACACACACACACACACACACACACACACACACACACACACACACACACACACACACACACACACACACACACACACACCTCCTGAAGTTGTAGGATTTCAGCTTCCAGGTTCTTGAACTTCTTCTCGTTCTCCTTGGACTGGGTAAAGATCTCATCTCTGGCGGCTCTGGCCTCCTCCAGCTCCCTCTGGTAATCCTTCATCTGAGCCTGCAGGAGAGCACGGCCACACAGACCGAGTTAAAACCAACCAGTAGGAAGCAAAAGGCTCTGTACATGAGGGTGTAGTTGTGTAGTGTGAGGTCATCTGGGGCTCTGACGACCAGCTGCAGCCGCACCTACCTGGAGTTTTCGGAGCTGTTTAATGGCTTCGTCCCTTCCTTTGTTGGCTGCTTCTATCTGACCCTCCACCTCGTTCAGATCCATCTCCAGCTTCTTCTTGGCGGCCACAGCCAGAGTTCTCTGCTTCCTCTCGTCCTCCAGCTCAGCCTCCATCTCACGAACCTGGACAAGAAAGGCCTTCAGCACATCTCCCGGTTCAAACTCCGGCCTCCTGAACTTCTAAAGGAGCTAAGAGTTCCTTTGAACCTGTTTGACCAGCGCCCTCTTCTTCTCCTCTCCCTGCTCGTCTCTGGCCTGCAGGTCTCGGTCAAACTGGGCCTTCATCGCCTGCATGTTGACCTCCAGACGCAGTTTAGCATCTTCCGTGGCCTGAAGCTCATCCTCCAGCTCCTCCAGCTGCACTCTCATCTCAGCCACTTGTTGCTCCAGGGTGCGCTTGGACTTCTCCAGTTCGTGGACCTGCAGGCAGAGAAACAAACAGAAATCTGATTTCAGGATGATTCGCCCCGTTTTGAAGCTGGTTTCTGTGCTTGGTAATAAATATGTTCTACTGTGTCGGCTGTAGAGGTCAGCCTGGAGAAACAGAGTTTACATCCAACCATCAGGTCTGACTGAAGAAATGATCTCACAGCCCTTTCCTCAGACACCTGTGGTTACTTCAAGTCCAGCAGGAACTTGTTGATGTTTCGGCCAAACTAACCATGTAACAGACAAACGTTCATAAAACAATATTTGCAGATGAAACTGAGGAGACTGGTCTTAGGTGGCTATTCCATCCTGGTCCTTGAGGACCACGCCTGCATGTTTTAGATGTTTCTCTGCTCCAACACTCCTGGTTAAACAGGTTGTCTCTGAACTGGCCGATTTGAGTCATCTCAGCTGTTAAACTACTTTTGTTTTAGATCCCAGTGCATTTATTCTAGATCATCCTACTGGGATGCATGAGTAGGAGGTTAAAGGTCACTCACATTCTTTCCCACATCATCCTTGGAGCTCATCAGGTCTTCCATTTCAGTGCGGAGCTGCTTGTTAAACCTCTCCAGCTCCTCTTTGGCCTCCAAAGCCTCCTCCAGAGCTTTAGCTAAAGACAGAGCCTTGGTCTCCTTCTCTCTGGCCTCGGCCTCGGCCCGGTCACGCTCCTCAGCATAACGAGCTGAGATGGTCTTCTCTTCAGCCAGCATCTAACAATTAATAAAACAAAGACCTTCAGATGGCTGCCCGACCTTTCCCCACCCAACACTCCCACTGGAGTTCTGCTGTACCTGATCAAACTTCTTCTGCTTCTTCTCCAGGTTGGACACAATCTGCCTCTGGTGGTCCAGCTCCACCATCTGGTCATCCAGCTCCTGCTGCAGCCTGTTCTTGGTCTTCTCCATTTTGTCCAAGGCCATGGTCTTCTCCTCCAGATGCTGGTTGGTCAGCTCTATTTCCTTCTGGAGTTTCCTCTTCGCCTCCTCCAGACTCTCGATGACCCCCACATCTTCATCCAGTCTTTTCTTGGACTCAAACAGCTGCAGAGAGGATGGAGATGAAACGGCACTGAAGGTCTTTGGTCATCTACTAACACTTTACTGATTCATCTCATGTGAACTGAATGTTTGAACATGTTGACCACGCTGCTCAGAACATCTGTTCACAGCGACCCCCAGCTGTGGACCTGTACCTGAGCCTGCAGCGTCTGCAGCTGCTTCTCCAGGCTGCGTCGCGCCTCCTCTTCCTCCTCCTGCTGCTCCAGCAGGGTGCTTTTGTCCGTCTCCAGTTGGCGAATTAGGGCACCGAGGTTGAGCTTCTGACGAGTCTCCTCCTGGAGCAGCTCCTACAACAGCAGCAGTCGTCCATGAAAGCACCTCCACGGATCAGAACTCGTACTCTAACAGCCGCGCCCTCCTCTCACCTCGGAGTCCTGCAGTCTGCTGTTCAGGTTGTCTACTTCTTTGGCCAGTTTGACTCCCTTCTTCTCTGCTTCCTCCACCAAAGCAGAAACGTTGTCCAGCTCCGTCTGGCGGACGACAAACAGCTGTCACCAAGTGTCCTCTGCGCTGAGCAGCTGCTTCAGTCTGCAGCGGGGTTTTACCTGCAGCTTGAGAGAGCGTTCGCTCAGCTCTCCCTTGGCCCTCTCCACCTCCGTGGTTCTGGCCGTGAACTCCTGCAGCTGGGCCTCCAGCTTCTTCCTCTTGTACTCAGACTCGGTCCTCGTCTGCTGCAGACTCTTTACCTCACAGACCAGCTCTTTGTTGTCACTCTCCAAGCACTGTTTGTTCTTCTCCAGGTTGGCCTTGAACTGCTCAGAGGACAAGTGATGCTTTCACAGAAGTCTATGAACAGCTGAACCTGCTGACACACCACCATGCACCCACCCTCTTAGCCTGCTCCAGCTGCTCAGACAGCTCCTCCAACACCTGAGCATGTCTCTGTCTCATGTCCTGGATCTGAGCCTCGTGGTTTTTGGACTCCTCATCTAAGGCCTTCTTCAGCTCCGCCACCTCTTGTTCTCGCTTGGACCTGGATGTGGAGAACAGCAGAAAGAAAACTGAAGATAACATCTACTCCTGTTGGATAATTAGCACACCGGTTATTTAACGCCGACGGCAACAACCTGAAACGGTTGGTCTGCTTAAAAGGGTCAGATCATTGGCATCGAGCAGAGAAAACATCTAAGGAGACTGAAGACACTAATAGAAGTGGGTTAAGAGATGTTAAAATGGAATGAAGGCGGTTTTAAAGCATCCTGAACGACCAGCGATCACTTTGTTTAACTCAAACCGCAGCAGAACTCTGGGCATTAGCAAACTAAAACATTTCCACACTCATAAGTGAACAGACTAGGACTGAACAGCTGTGCAGCCATGAGAACCTCACTAATCAGGTACCGGAGTTCCTGCTGGGCGGCTGTCGTGTCCAGCGTGTCCTCCAGCTCCGTCTTCAGAGCCTCCAGCTCCTCACTCAGATCCCTCTTTAGTTTTTCAGCTTTGCTTCGACTTATTTTCTCTGATTCCAGATCCTCCTGGAGCTCAGCCAGCTGAGCCTGCAGCTCGCGGACCTGCTTCAGGGCGTTGTTCTTCTGCGCCGCTTCCTCGTCGCTCCTGGTGGGAGACAAACGCTGCAAATCAAACCGACCTGCAGCATCAGCAAACTAAAACAATTTAAGCTTCTAATGCACCGATATCTGAACTATGCCATATTTAAAGTGACACCGGGGTGCTGCGGGGGTGTAATCTCTCCATAGGTAAGTGTACACGGTTGGGGGGAGGTGTTCTGCTTTTCCGGAGGAGCTTAGGGTCGCTGCTCCTCGGCATCAGAACAAACCAGTTGGTTTGGGAATCTGGAGACATTCCACGAGAGGTTTATCAGACATATCCCACTAGGATGAGAGCTCGTCCTCTACGGCCCGCTGATAAAACAGCAAGGAAGTGACATCATCAGCAGGCGCCAGTGAGAGCTGAAACTGTCAAGTGAAAAAAGGTAAAACAACAAATGTTGCTAGTCTGTGTATTAAGAACACAAAAACAATGGAGACACAGAAAGAACTAACAAAGACATGCTAAGCATGATGCTAAGATGTGTGTATTAGTCAGTAATCTGTTTCTTTTTCTCCTCATTGCAGTTTTGATGATGTATAAAGTTCTTCAGATAAGTAAAGCAAGCCTTGGGTGAAGATCCATGTTTAGTTTTAGTTGTCTGCTAGCTGGCTAGCTACAAATAGCTACAGGCTACATGGAAGATTCCTACTTATTCACAAATTGTGTCAAATAAACTTTCATATCTGAAACGCAAAATTTCAGATCTGTCATATTTTGACATTTTGAGGGAGAGGAGATGAAACTGAAGAGTTTGATGTATAATTTGTGTATGGTATGTATAACGTGTGCCCTTAAACGAGTAAAGAAACCGAGACCTTCCGATTTGACATTTTAATGCCAGCATCATCCGATAATATCGGACATCTCTGTTGGCAAGCTTCATGTCTGCCGGGGAAAAGGTCAGATGACAACAAATGCAGATTTCTTTTCTACAGAGTGGAATTAAGGAACTAAGAAACAAAAACAATAGAAGCAGCTTCTAGGAAATGAGTTCACAGCAGAGGAGACCGTTGGCTCCGTGTGTTTTTATTGTACTACAGTGATCCCTCGTTTATCGCGGTAGATGCGTTCCAGACCTGGCCGCGATAGGTGAAAATCCGCAAAGTAGGGACACCATATTTCCAGTACAGTACTATATTGAATTATCGTATGATCACATTCTCTTTTTGTGGGTAAAACTCAAGAAAAAAATGTTTTACTTGTTTTTTTTATAGTTTTATTACAAAAAGTACATTTTATGATGAAATTGATGAAAAAAAAACCCAGGAATTTCTTGATATTTCGCATAGAAAAATACTGCAAATCGGTGAAAAATACCACAAATCGGCGAATTTCCCTTAAATAAGGCTCCAAAGAAAAATCCGCGAAGTCGTGAATCCGCGATAAACGAACCGCGAAGTAGCGAGGGATCACTGTATTGTCTATTTTGGGTTTTGACTCAACAGTGGAGGGGATGTTGACATGGGAATGGTGTGTGTGTGTGTGTGTGTGTGTGTGTGTGTGTGTGTGTGTGTGTGTGTGTGTGTGTGTGTGTGTGTGTGTGTGTGTGTGTGTGATGCTGAGCGTACTGAAATGAGCAACACGGTGATGCTTTCGGTCCGAGTTCAGATTTGTGACGAAACCGGGTCAGAGGAGTTCGTCTTCGCGGAGGTGGCAGGGAAAGTCTAACTCAGCGTGTCTCTACAAGGACGGTCTTGGCTATCAAACACATTTTTCAGCAGAACATCTTGGTCAGACTCCATCTTGTCTGAACTCTGTAAAGGCTGACCTGATCAGAGCTGTTTGAAGCTCCTCCTCCTTTTTGGTCAGCTGCACCTTGAGCTCCTCCACCTGCGCCTGAAGCTCAGCAATCTGGTCCTGCAGGTCTGTGGTCTCGGCGTCTAGTTTACGCTTGGCCTTCTCCAGCTCCTGCCGCGTCTTCTCCTCCTTTTTCAGGCGCTCTGAAGGCAGGAACAGACATCTCGGTGACTACATGCAAATACAGCAAACAAAACACAGACACACACTTATAACATCGTTAGGTGAACGAGTACAGGCTGTGTTCGTTTCATCAACATAAACGCAGAAATCCCACCTCTACGGCGTGCGGCAGCATCGTGTGTGTTTACTTGGACTCTCTGACAATAAATGAAATCTGTAACTTACCCTCCAGATCAACCATCATCATCTCCTGCTTGTTCTTAATCTTCCCAAGATTCTTAGCTTTCTCCTCCTCCTCTGTGAGCTGAGAGGTCATCTCTGTGATTCTGTCCTCCAGCAGCTTCTTCTCCTGTTGGTTAAAAACAAACTCCTTACTGTTAAAAAAAACAAACTTCACGTCTTAAACAATAAAAATGGAGAAGGACCTGAGAGGATTTCTGAATATTAGGTTTGGTTCATGTACAGTAGAAACGTCCGTGATAACGCATCACGTTTCAGCTAGAGCAACTTCCATCTTCAGGTGTGGTCTCCTCACTAGGGTTGTCACGATACTAAAATTTCAAACTCGATTCGATACTTGGGGGGAAAACTCGATACTCGATTTCGATACTTTTTAAAATCACCAATTTATTGAACAAGTTTATTCAAAAAATAACATTCCTCAATTTATATTGCAATAATTAAATGTTAAGAATTAAGTGTGGAAAGCGCTTAAACCTTTCAAGTATCAGCATTTTTTAAAACGTGCATACAAAAACTGGTGAAAGTTAACACTTTAAATCATGAATTGTCTCACTATATATACACTATTTGCAGAGTGATGTTTTGCAGCTTAAACTCTGTTTAAGGTGCATTTTTGTCATAAGATGTAATGCCATATGTTTTGTTCTGTACTTTTGAACAACTCTGTTGGTCAATAAAGGGAGAAAACAAATTTCTCCACGGTAGGACAAAGGTACATCTACCGGTAATCTTAATAAAAACAGATCGGCGCACGGCAGTGACGTCATTAAAAGCGCCGGTTAGATTAGCCGCGGCTAGTCTGTTCACGCCTAGAAATCCCAGACCCGCTCCAAACGAACAGGGGAATCATGTTAATGATTCCTAACAAAACCTTTCGACATTTAGATGTTCTGGTGCAGATAATGTCTTATTTCGAGGCTGCACCACGGGTGCCCGCCCGCACCCGTTATATGGATATACACTGATGGCGATTCGCCGATGGATCTAAATACCCCGGGGAATCCTAGTAGCACCAAAGTTGTCAGCGTGAGTAAACAAACGTACTGCATGCTAGAAATTAAGTCCGGGTTGCAATAAACGGGAGTTTTCCTTTAAGCACATAAGCGTGAATATACAACTACGTGTCGGACTTGGTATGCTAATGAAGTTGGGCTGTTTATGTTTTTGTTTATTTATTTGGCACACAAAACTTGGATCGGAGACAACTCGCGTGGGAAATTGCAATGTAGCCATGCGGCGTCTTCTTCTGTTTGTCTGGGAGGCGGAGTCTGCTTTACGCCATCTGGCTGTCGTGCGTGTCGGTGTACTTGAAGAAGGCTGTGTATAATAGTCCATAATATCGATACCACAGGGATGGAATATCTAATTTAGATACCACTTTTAGTATCGATTTATATCTAGGTATCGATTTTTTTGACAACACTACTCCTCACCTTGAGAAACTTTGAATTCTGGTCCTCCAGGAGCAGAATGTCCTCCTCCATCTTCTTGATCTTTGCTTCAGCCGTAACTTTATCCAGCTGCAGCTTCTGCCTGGCTGCTTCCTCCTCATCCAGCTGTTCCTCCAGGTCCTGTGGGAGGAGGACATCGATTTCAGGACAAAGACTGATGACTGATCAAGGTTTAAGTTCAATTCAAACCATTTATATACAACATCAAATGCTTATATCCTAACGAATAAGAATCCTGGAGGATACAAATGTCTAAACCTTAAATGAGAATAATTCTGTTAATTTGAGTAAATATTATTTAACTCAAACAGATTTTCTATAATCAAATCCAACTATAACAAAAATAAAAGAGATGCTTGATTACATAACAATCTGAAATGATGAGACACACCTGGATGTGAGCCTGCATCTTCTTCTTCTCGTTCTGGAGGCTCTGGCTCCTTTCCTCCTCCTCCTCCACCCTGGACTCCAGGTCATGGAGGATCTCCTCTAACTCCTGCTTCCTGGAAAGGAGACGAACTCTCATCTCTTCTGCCTCAGCAAACAGCTCCGTCTCAGCGTGGAGCTGCTCAGCTAGAATGTTCTTCTCCTCAAGAAGCTTAAGAGAAAAAAATAAATAAAAATAAATAAATCAGCTGAAGATCATAAACAGAGCTCAGGTCAGTAACAGGTGGTTCATACCTGCTGGTGTTTCCTCTCCATCTCCACCAGCTCGTTCTCCACCTTCAGCTGTCTCTCCTTCACTTTCATCAGCTCCTCATCTTTGGCCTGTAGCTCCTCCTCCTGCCTGGTGACCTGCAGCAGCGGCTTCACCTGAAGGGAGGGAACGATGAAGAACATCCGTCTCTACGGCGTGAAACCTAAGCTGAAGCATCTGTCGGGGTTCTGACCTTCGTGAAGAGCCTCCACCACTGCCAGTGTCGCAGCTTCAGATAAGCGGCACAGTTCCTCTGGAGGACCTTCAGGGCGCTCAGCTGCTGCTGCTTCTTGGCAAAAGCTCTGAGGAAACAAGGACAAGTCCATTCTAAAGAGCTGAGGGACCGGACTAGGGACCCCAACAGGTTTTGAGCTTAAATGTGGCGTCAGTCCGTCACATCTCAAGACTCAACGTGGCATCAGAAAAGATGCAACTCATCATCTTAGTTGAAAACTTTGGCGTCAGAAGCAGCGTGCATTTCTTCAACGGATGAAGTTTTTCATTTTTTTTAACTCTTCACAGAGAAAAGGTGTTCAGCTAAAGTTTATGATGTAAAAAAAATCAGACAAACAGCAGCAGACTGATATGGGTTTATGCTCCACTGACTTCCATTCATTTTCGAGACTACGTCATGTCTAACCCATACCCTAAACCTAACCTTAACCAATGAGGTTCTTTTGCTAACCCTAACTTAAACTAACCTAAAAGCTAATTCACATCATACCTCTAAACCCAGTTTTAGGGTGCCCCACATTGTGTGGACCAGCCAAATGTCCACACATTACAGGTTAAAAGTTTAAATTTGTCCACTTAAACATATAAAGTATACACACACACACACACAGCCCTGTTTTTATGCCTTTCATCGACTAGTCGCTGTCACACAGTCCTCAGAAAAGACAGCAGGTGACGAGCCCCTGTGCGTTGGGAGGCGACGTGCTGTGCCAGAGCGTCGGTACCGACACCCGCCGTAAAACGGACATTTGACCGAATTGTGACCTTTACCCTCTTGCAATTTAACCTTGCCCTCACCCCCATCCTAACCTTAACCAGCTTGCGCATACAAAGCTCTGATCATTGACGCGCTCCAGACATCTGCGTCCTGAGTACGGACGGCCACAGTAACGTTATCAAATTGGGTGTCACCACCTCAAAAACTAATTTAACACGCGATCGTTCATGTCAGCTCATTTCCTTTTATGTTTTCTGTCTTTTATTTGTGCCTGATGCTGTATCGCTGCTGTGGAGCGGAGCGCATCACCTGTTTTGTCCTTTGGTGACGCACCTCACCGATGTGGCCGGCGAGCAGCGAGCACTACGCTGTTTTTGCGGTCGGTAGATCTTTTAGAACTGCAGTTCAAAGGTAACTCATGAGGTGAGTATATATGAACCAGGTAGCAGTTTTTCTTTAGGATTGAGAGGAGATGCAGGAAGATAATAAACAGACAGGACAGAAAATAGTCAAATAAAAACAAGTTAGTTTTTGTACCTGCTGGTTGCAACAAACAGACACCATTGAAGGTAATCAGAAGTGAGGAACAGAAAATGAAATAATTATTTTAATGTTTAGAGCAGCTTGGTCACCCATCGTCAGTTTTAGCCGCTTCAGGTGTATCAACGACTAATCGAAGTCGACTCGATTTTCATTACTTGACGGTCGACTTTAAAAAAATTAAGCCATGCAGCCCCACACACACACACACACACACACACACACACACACACACACACACACACACGCACACGCACACGCACACGCACACGCTTCATCCCCTCCACCAGCCTCTGATTTATTCCCTCCAAACATGACTGAGGTTTTAAATTTGGGTTTTCACTAATCTCTTATCATGAGGTCACTGACTTTAAACAGGAAATCCTGAAGCAGTGGTGTTTAAAATCCTTGCCCTGAGTATGAATCTTTGTGGTCTGAGTTTCCAAACATCTGGATGTTTTATCTCCGAGACCCAGCTGGAGGTCTGGGGTTTCTCTGACAACAGGCAGAATGCATGAAGCCAGCACAGATTCTTAAAGCAGGTGTTACTTTGGTGGGAGAGCCTGCTAGGAGGTGCGGGACATCTAGGAGCGTAGAAACAAGCAAACTAGGAACCAACTTCCTGCATAAAAGCACAAGCAAAGCACGAGACTCACTTGCGTGCCAAATATCCACGACACACGGACTGGAAGTAGATGATGATGTCAGTGATCTTCAGGTCTCTCTCCTCCTCCAGATGAGCCAGAACACCCGTCCTGAAGAAGATCTTGCTCTGACCAATCCGGTACAGGTTGGGATCCAGCTCCAGAGCCTGAATCTGAGAAGCAAAAGCTAGTTCAGATTAAGTTTTACAAGCCGAGACAACCTGAGAGGACATCGGATGGCATTACCATTCTCTCACAGGCTTGTTTCCCATCCATGAACCCTTTGGGGATGGCATTGGGCGTCAGGATCTCATATCTAAACGTGGAACGAACATTTGTGTTAACAGAGAAGAAACGCTCCATGCAGGAAACCGCAGCTAAAACCATCATCACCTCTGTCTGAACTCCTGAAAGACGATGCGGTTGGGGAAGCCCTGTCTACAGATACGGATCCCCTCCAGGACCCCGTTACACCTGAGCTGGTCCAGAACCAGGTGAGGCTCCAGCTTTCCTGCCTGTTGAAGGAAATAAACCCAACAACGACCAAAACTCAGAACTCCAAACCTCCTGAACAAAGTGAGTGAATCCATGATGGTCATTTCAAACTTGATCCAAATAAAAGGAGAGCTTTACTCTTTTTTCATGGTTGGGGATGATGCAGCGAACAAAGTTGGGGTTGGTGTTCCTCAGTGTGGCCATGAGCTTGGTGAGTGACTCTTTGTACAGCTGGCCCACTGTACGAAACATGCCCTTTTTGGTTTTGTAGGTGGCACCAAATGCTGTCTCGTTCATGCCCGCCACCTGGTCCAGGCCCACGATGCGGTCCACTGGTGAGGAGACAGAGAGGAGAAACTCATAGGGATTGAGAGACCCAAAGGGGAGGAGAGAATTGCTGCTGGAAGGATGGCAGCATCAGCAGCATGAGGTGGTCTCAGCGCAGATGGATGAAAACAGCTCGATTTACCAGCGGTCAATCACAGACAGTCTAATGGGCCATTCCCATCTGTACCGGGTCGGCCCGGGCCGGGTAGCCCCAGCCTGGCCCGGTTGATTCCACACATCCTTGCCTTAAGCCCATGTGGGCTGATTCTACCCACCAATCAGAGGCTTGCTCTAATGGAAGGTGTGAATTTGCTGTCAGCAGTGGGTGTGTTGGCCCTGGTCGGCCTGAAGCAGACCCCCTCGAGAAGAGGGCTGAGAATGAGCCTTGGTTGGCCCGGAAAAATACCAGGCCACCCAGATATGTAAACAACCTACGCTACCCGGCCCGGGCCGACCCGGTACAGATGGGAATGGCCCATAATACTACAGCTAACCTCTGTAAGAGGGGAAACATGTGACTAAATCACTCAAGAGACACATTTTGAGTCTGATTTATCTTTTATTGTCCACAAATCCAGCTAAATAACAGATTCTAGAGTTTATTTAATGAAACTGCGCTTATAAAGTTCATAACAAATAAACCAGTCTGTCGTGGTAAAGAGGCAGCCAAGTCAAAAGGCAAAGCCCTGGATTTACTAGTCTGTCTACGTTTGAACCTGTGGTCATGAGACGTGGCTCGTGGCCACAGAAAGGAGATCCACAATACAACGGGCTGAAAGCTGCTTCCTCCTGAGCTCTGTCTAAGTGAGGCTAGAAATGTCCACCATCCGGGATGAGCTGGTTTTGGGCCACAGCTCCTTCTCATCAAAAGGAGTCAGCTGAGGCATCTGAATAGGATTCCTCCTCATCACCTCCCTCTGGAGGCTTTTCTGGACACGTCCCAATGGGAAGACCCAAAGTTAGCTGTACGGATTACATGTCCTCACCGGCCTGGGGAGCTGTTAGGATCTCCCAGACCTGGAGGGAGGGTGGAGCATTGTTTATAAAGCTCTTTCCTGCTCCTAGTCAAGGAAGCCCAAGGTGCTGTACAAAATGCAGGAACATAAAACAACGTAAAAGCATCGAGAAGAATGTGGACGGTTTTATGGGTCCAGAGCTGAGGACGTATAACTGGAAAGGACACACAAGCTAAAGTGTTAGCTGGGAGCCATTCTCATCACAAGCGGCACAGATATCGTGACTCCATCATTCCTCCAACATAAGATGATCCCAGTTTAAAAGTGTGATGTGAAGGCCAGCTGCGTCGTTCATTCCCTGGAATGCTTAAATTTCTCCCCGTGACCCATTTTTCCAGGATGGTTTATGACATTGCAGCTGTTTTGTGGTTTGCCAGCATTGCTCGTTTTGGGTCCGACTGAAGATTTTGTGCCAGTGAATGTTTTCCTACTCGAGTGGAGGATGAAATAAGAGGTCTGGCGGAAGCATTCTGATAAATGGATTGTGGTGGAGGATCTGAATGGCTGCCTGAAGGAGGTAGCCGTCAGGAGCAAACGAAGACTTTAATAATTAAACCACAGAAAAATAACAAAAGAGGTAACAGAGAAGTAAAAGATCAGACAATCACAGGAAATCTGCTGGTGGTCCAGGGTGGAAACTGCTTAAGTGTGGTTGTATCCTCAGTCTGATCTCGTCTTTGGGCTCCTTGATGCCCCACATTGGTATGACTGTTACGCTTTAATTAACTGACTTGCCTTCCATAGGGTCTGATTCACAGTTGGAACCAGAGTAGTTTTGTACGAAGAATTGGTGAAATCAAAATCTTCGGCTGACTGGACCTAAAGCAGCAACAAGCTGCGAAATTAACCAAACGGACAAATGTAACATTAAAATAATGCTTTCTATAAAAGTTGTTGGTTTCATTTTACTTCCTGGTAAATTTCAAACAGTCACTGCTTACTGGATGCTTTACAGCTGGATGAATGAGATAAATGAGCTGCTGTCTTCATAATGAGCTCAGCGCTGAAGCCAAAAACAGCATCTGCTTTTAATTCAGCCACACCGATCCTACTTAGGAAAGGAAAAGGTAGGAAATCATTTTGATTTGCTTCTGGAAGTCTCCTCTACAGTAAAATGTCAAACACAGGGATAACCTAACTTTTGCCCACTAGTACTAAGGTACTAAAGCACACTGTTCAAGCTAAACCAAGCAACAGACTCTAATCTACATTTGAAGTAGTTCTGAACAAGGCACTGCTGCTTTTGGCTGAGTGGAAAGAGCCATGCAGCCTGGAAGCAAATGGGAGCCACTTCAGACACTGTATGACACACAGCACCAGCTACAGGCAGACCTGGGCCAAAACACACCACCTATTTATCCCATCTGAACCGCTCCATGCAGCCTAGTGTTGTCAAAAAAATCTATACCTAGATTTAAATCGATACTAAAAGTGGTATCTATATGAGATATTCCATCCCTGTGGTATCGATATTATGGACTATTATACACAGCCTTCTTCAAGTACACCGACACGCACGACAGCCAGATGCCGTAAAGCAGACTCCGCCTCCCAGACAAACAGAAGAAGAAGACGCCGCATGGCTACATTGCAGTTTCCCACGCGAGTTGTCTCCGATCCAAGTTTTGTCTGCCAAATAAATAAACAAAAACATAAACAGCCCAACTTAATTAGCATACCAAGTCCGACACGTAGTTGTATATTCACGCTTATGTGCTTAAAGGAAAACTCCCGTTTATTGCAACCCGGACTTAATTTCTAGCATGCAGTACGTTTGTTTACTCACACTGACAACTTTGGTGCTACTTGGATTCCCCGGGGTATTTAGATCCATCGGCGAATCGCCATCAGTGTATATCCATTTAACGGGTGCGGACGGGCACCCGTGGTGCAGCCTCGAAATAAGACATCATCTGCACCAAAACACCTTCATGTCGAAAGGTTTTGTTAGGAATCATTAACGTGATTCCCCTGTTCGTTTGGAGCGGGTCTGGGATTTCTAGGCGTGAACAGACTAGCCGCGGCTAATCTAACCGGCGCTTTTAATGACGTCACTGCCGTGCGCCGATCTGTTTTTATTTAGATTACCGGTAGATGTACCTTTGTCCTACCGTGGAGAAATTCGTTTTCTCCCTTTATTGGCCAACGGAGTTGTTCAAAAGTACAGGTAAATGGTAAAAATGGTAAATGGCCTGTATTTGATATAGCGCCTTCTAGAGTTCTTGAAAAAACCCCAAGGCGCTATACAACACAATCAGTCATTCACCCATTCACACACTGGTGGGGATGAGCTACGATGTAGCCACAGCTGCCCTGGGGCACACTGACAGAGGCGAGGCTGCCGAGCACTGGCGCCACCAGTCCCTCCGACCACCACCAGCAGGCAACGTGGGTTAAGTGTCTTGCCCAAGGACACAACGACAGCGACAGACTGAGCGGGGCTCGAACCTGCAACCTTCTGATTACGGGGCGAGCACTTAACTCCTGTGCCATATGTTACAGAACAAAACATATGGCATTACATCTTATGACAAAAATGCACCTTAAACAGAGTTTAAGCAGCAAAACATCACTCTGCAAATAGTGTATATATAGTGAGACAATTCATGATTTAAAGTGTTAACTTTTGCCAGTTTTTGTATGCACGTTTTAAAAAATGCTGATATTTGAAAGGTTTAAGAACTTTACACACTTAATTCTTAACATTTAATTTTTGCAATATAAATTGAGGAATGTTATTTTTTGAATAAACTTGTTCAATAAATTGGTGTTTGTAAAAAGTATCGAAATGGAGTATCGAGTTTTTTTTCCTTCCAATATCGAATCGAGTTTGAAATTTTAGTATCGTGACAACCCTAATGCAGCCTGAGCCGAGTGCTTTCATAGGGCAGCATTTTGAGCCCAGGTCTGCTCCAGTGCAACTCATTCACCTTCTGGCTCATCCAGACATGTGACATTGTCATAGAATGAGGCCCTTTGAGTGGTGTGAATCTCTACAACACAGAAAGAGAGGGGGGCGTTGAGTGGGTCATTCTCAGACGTTAGAAACGTGCAGATAAATAAAACAAAATGGGCAGTAGAGACAGACACGCGCAAGTGTTTATCTAAAGCTACACACATGAATCCTACAAGTGTGTTACACACGTGGAGTTGTTCTAGTTTCAACGTTTTAAAGGGTAAACAGGAAGCTAATTACCATCTTTCCACAGTTCAGCCACAAACTTATCGGTGGATTGATGCAGAAGAGTGGCCACGTTGTCATTTAGAGGGTCCATGTTCTTCATCAGCCACTCATCAGCTTTGTAGTCGACCTGGAGTCATACAGAGGCAACTAATCAGTTCATTAGCACAACATCAGTCCTTTATGTTGGCAACTCGTAACGATAACTTTGATGACTCCCTAACTAACATATCAGCAAATCCAGCCTCTTAAAACGCAAACTCCTGTTTTCTTATTCAATGAATAATTGTGTAAAATAATCATAATTTTAATAATAACCTAAAAAATTAAAGACTTTTTATTTTACTTTAATCAAGAAGCTCTTTATGTAGGAAACTTGGACGCAGGCAGTGTCATCAGTGTCGTCCCAGACAGACACGAGGGCAAAAACGCAAAAGCTGAGGCACCAGAGAACTGTGTCTCTGAGCACTCAGGGGTGCAGAAGCCCAGGAGTCCGTGGGAACAGGGGACGGGACATTAAATACAAACGTCCCTCTAATTCTGACCCATTTATTAAGTATGTTTCTCCAAATATACTGCAGATGTAATAATCATTTATCCATAAAGGAGTATTTGTGTAGAACCACATTAACAACATTTAGAAGATTTAGCTCCAGAGTTGCAGCACATTTTCCTCTACAGCTAATGGTCTCAAAGCCAAAGTCTTTATGAAAACAGATTAGAGGAAAAATGGCAGAATCTGCATGATTATTAACAGATGTGTCCGTCTGCAGGAAAGACCCTGTGTTCTCCTGAATAACACCACTGACCTCTACTAAATCCACTCTTACAAGCACAAATAAGTCAAATCAGATCCGAGTATTTCCCAGAAGTCCCAGCGGTCCCCAAAGGGAGACATTATTTTTTCTCCGATTACACATTTAACTCTTTAATGCAGAATCCTACACAGAACGGCTTTATAATAATGAAAACAGCAACCAGTTAAAGGTGCATGAAGTAAGACTGACACCCTGTGGTCAGATTTAGGTACTGCGACCCATGTTTCAGAACACACGAGTGACTCTCAGCCATCTGGTGACTTTCCTGGCTGTTGGCAGTTACAGATCAGCCCCAGATGATTCTAGATGATGAGCAAAGATGAGTCGTACACAGTAAGTTGATAAGTAAATAAATACTTTTCAGTGTAATATCAAGTTACTGGTAATTAATGTAGCTTGAGATATTTTTAGAGCAGACTATTTGTTTCAAATTCGCTGTTAGCATTGTTAGCTCAATGTTAGCTTGTAGTCTTCTTTACCTGATATTAGAGTAAAACAAAAAGATGTCATGGTTTCTTGGGAGTACAAGAAATAACTACTGGGTTGCTCTTGTTACTGTCCAGTACTCTGGTGTTTTTTGCTAGCTGGAGTCAAAGTACAAATGGCACCACACCGGCGCTAGTTTGCTCAGACTCAGCAACCCCGCAGGCTCACAGCTTGTACACATAATACGTCCATCTTTAGCTTTTTGGAAAGGACAAAAACTTAAAACCCTACAGCCAGATGAGAAGGGAATTTGTTTTAATGTAACATAAAATAGTTTTGTAATCATTTCACAGTACAATTGTTACGTATTGTACCTTTATGTGTAAGAAGAAATATAAAATGTCTGAAGGAGTACCCTGCCGGCGTAGTGGATGATGCAGAAGTCAGCCTTATCTTTGAGCTGGCGTGGCCTCTGAAACTTGGTGTGAGTGCCCTGCTCCTGGATCAGCTTGTCTACAAAGGTCTTATCTGTGGCTTTAGGGAACCAGCACTCCTCGTCCAGCAGAGCCAACACTCCTGGAGGGTTAGCCTGAAGAACAAAAGACAAAAAACGGCCTCATCTGCACCAACACGCAAAACTGTTTTCCTTTTTACTCCATTTGTAAAACAGTAATTTCCACAAAGAATCTGATCGTTTTAGACTTTTCCCTTCAAATGGGCGTTTATCCTTACTGACCGGCCTCTCGATAAGGTCGATGCAGGGCTGCAGGTCGAGGCCAAAGTCGATGAAGCTCCACTCGATGCCCTCCCTCTGGTACTCCTCCTGCTCCAGGACAAACATGGTGTGGTTGAAGAGCTGCTGCAGCTTCTCGTTGGTGTAGTTGATGCAAAGCTGCTCAAAGGAGTTCAGCTGCCAGAGGAAAAAGCAAACAGTTTATTTTTAAAGACAGGCACGCTTTAATCCAAAAAAATAAATAAAAGCACTAAAAACACTCATATACCGACCTGAAAAATCTCAAAACCAGCAATGTCCAAAATGCCAATGAAGGAGGCTCCCTGGCGTTTGGTTCTGTCTAGAGCTTTATTAATGCGATGGACGAGCCAGCGAAACAGACGCTCATATGTTGCTTTAGCCAAGGCCTCGACAGCAAAGTCTGCCTGATTGGGGTGGGATAACGAGTGAAAAAAGAAAGAAGGAGACAAAACAGTGAGATGACAGACTGAGAGAAGCTAAACTGATTGTACAGGTGGTTAAAAAGCTCAAACAGACACAATAACTCTTCACATCAGTATCTTCCACACAGGCTGCCCTGATCACTGCAGCAAATCTACAGATTAAAGGAATTTGTTTATAAAACCATAGATAGTTCATGTTAAAATGAAAAACTATTTTATTCTAATCTGTGTTTGTCACTCAGATCCTTCAGGGACTTTATGACACGGATTAGGGCAGATGTTGCTTTCAATAATATGTTACATCTGGGCTGCATGGTGGCGCAGTGGTTAGCACTGTAGCCTCGCAGCACGAAGGTTGCAGGTTCGAAACTGGGCTGCAGCCTTTCTGCGTGGAGTTGCGTGTTCTCCCCATGCATGCATGGGTTTCCTCCGGGTACTCCGGTTTCCCCCACAGATCACAACATGCCCTATAGGTTATAAATTGTAAGTCGCTTTGGATGAAAGCGTCTGCTAAATAAATAAACATAAACATAAACATCCCTTCTGATTTCACAAAGTCTAAAGTGATCAGTTAGTATGAAAGACTCTCAGCCACTAATCAAATCAAATCACTTTTATTGTCACGTCACATGTGCAGGTACACTGGTACAGTACATGCGAGTGAAATTCTTGTGTGCGAGCTTCACAGCAACAGAGTTGTGCAAAAATACAATAACGTAAAAACAAGCAAAATATAAAAATGGCTAATCTAAGTAATAATATATATATATAGTATGTAAGGTATATACATTACTAAATGTGTGTGCTAGGTATTTTAATTTTTATTGTTCTACGTGTGTGCGTGTGAGTGTGTGTATAGTGTGTATATACGTGTTTTACAAATGAATAAAGTAAACAATAAAATAAGAGATATAAAATGTACAGAGGTTGGTATGTGCAAAACAGTGGCATTAATGTACAGTATGGAGTGTGTAATGTTGGAGTTTCAGTAGTGAGGGTGAGGTGTCTGTGAAGTGTTCAGCAGTCTGATGGCCTGATGGAAAAAGCTGTCTCTCAGTCTGCTGGTTCTGGACCGGATGCTGCAGAACCTCCTTCCTGATAGAAGTAGTCTGAACAGTTTATGGCTGGGGTGACTTGAGTCCTTGATGATCCTCCCCGCTTTCCTCAGGCACCGCTTCCTGTAGATGTCTTGGAGGGAGGGAAGCTCACCTCCAATAATCCTTTCTGCACACCGCACTACTCTCTGGAGAGCTTTGTGGTTGTAAGCGGTGCTGTTTCCATACCAGGTGGTGATGCATCCAGTGAGGATGCTCTCAATGGCACAGCGATAGAAGGTCCAGAGGATGCGGCGGCTCATGCCAAATCTTTCAGTTTCCTGAGAAAGAAGAGGCGCTGCTGTGCCTTCTTCACTTCTATTGTATCCCATTATCTGCAAACTGACTTGAGTTTGGGTCATTGTGACATTTGCTTTTGTTAGCTGTAAGAGCTGCGCGGTGGCACTGTTTGGATCAGATCAGAAGATGTCCTGCAACAAAGTGACCGCGATTTGGGTCGGAGGGACCGGTGGCACCAGTGCTCAGCAGCCTCGCCTCTGTCAGTGCACCCCAGGGCAGCTGTGGCTACATCGTAGCTCATCCCCGCCAGGGTGTGAATGGGTGAATGACTGATTGTGTTGTAAAGCGCCTTGGGGTGTTTCAGGACTCTAGAAGGCGCTATATCAAATACAGGCCAGTTACCATTTAATGAAGAATAAATGTAGGCGTACCTGCTCCTTGGTCTGTGCTTTCTGGACATAATCTCTTCCCACTTTGATTCTGGGAGTCAGGATAGCTCTGGTGAACTCCATCACATTCATACCCAGCAGATGACACAGCTTCTGAGCAGCTGTGAAATAAGTACGGAGAGAGTACAGGTAGATTTAAATAACTTTTGATCATTAAAGAGCAAGTCACCCCCAAATAAACTTTTTTTTGCTGATAAACTAAATAAACGAGTGTCTAATCGTGCTGCAGACACGTGTCGTCAATAATTTGGCACTTCAGTGCATCGTAGTTAAAATTTAAATATTCTGCCTAAAACTGGCAGTGTTGTATGTTGTCAGGTAAAAACTCTGCACTGTATTTTAATTTAAATCTGCCACCGCTATTAGCTAAGAGGTATGCTATGATGTAAACTGGTACATTATGATGTCACAATGCTGTCATGCGCCTGTGTGTGTGTGTATTTGTTAGCGGCTCCGCCTTTTCGGTCTGCCAGGCAACAGCATGTGTTGCATTTTTCAAACATGAAGTGGGAGTGGAGTAATACTCTGGTAGGGGGTGACTTGCTCTTTAAGTAAATACAAAAATTCAAGTCAAAATAAAAACAGATGTTTGAGGTTTCCTGTGAGAGCGAGCCATTGTGGGACACCTACCTGTGTTATCAGGCATGGAGGCTTGGTCCGTGTTCCTCTCCTTCTTGAAGATGATGTTACCAAACTGAAGCACAGATGACACCACCCTCAACATGGCTGCAAACATCAGAGAACATCAGATCAGATCACGTTTTGAGCTGGATTCTTGATACACAGATGTACAAACAGGTCAAAACACCTCATCACCAAACAGGTAGTTCTATAAATAAACAATCAGCAAATACCCAGAATCTCCTCGTGGGCAAAGCTCATGATGTGCATGGCTTCCATGGTCTCATGGAAGTTGTCCTTGTCCTGTTGGCCTGGAATTGGGATGTTGCCGTTTGACAAGAAACGGTAGCTATTGAAGCCTTCTAAAAGCAGATCCGCTGTAGAGAGAAAGTGGGAGAGCTTAAAAAACATTTAAAATCATTTTATGCTTTTTCAGAATCAGATTTTCACATCTCTTAAATTTTAAGCATCTTTGACATCTAAGTCCAAACATGTATTGTTTTTAAAAGTTACACGATGTAAGAATGAAGTAAGAATGACATCCTGTGTCAAATCTGAGTACTGCAGCCCATTTTCAAAACAACCCAGAGCAGGGTTACCAAATATTAGCCAGATTTTATAAATTTAAACCACATGAGGGTCAACAGTAGCTCAGGAGGCAGAGCAGTTAGCCCAGTGATCGAAGGATTTAGGGACCGCTTCCAGCTCCACCCAGAAGTAATCTCCTGCTGTGCCCTTGGGCAAGACACTTCACCCAAATTGACTGTGTTAGTGATGGTTGGAGGGGCTGATGGCACTAGTGACAGCCTTGTCTCTGTCTGACCACCCCAGGGAAGCTGTGGCTATGTAACTTACACATTCACACACAGCCAGTGATGGACCTTAGGGATGGGTACCGAATTCTGTACTTTTAAAGGTACTGACCAAATTCCATAGTACCGACCGAGCACCGATTCACGTCATTTGAGACGGTGCCTCGTTTCGGTACCCGTCCTTCATAACGAGAACTTGCCTAGATAGCTGCGCATGCGCAAGAGCGTTATGTCATCGGTCGCTGCGAGCGAGTTGTAAACAGAGCAGCATGGTAGAAAGAACGCTGGGTCCACTTCACTAAATGTGATGGGTAACTGGGTGATGATGAAACCAGCGACAACGATCTAAGTGAGACATCCTCATCTTAATCTGCTCCGGTAGGTAAATAAAATGTTTAAGACAACGTTAGCTTGATATGTTAGCTTCCGTTTCGCTAATGGTGCGTTCGCTTTCTCATCGGAACTCCGATTTTACGACTAGAAGAACATGAACATGCTCTAAAGTTTGGCTTCACTTTACTAAATGTGACGGGTGATTGGGTGAAGATGAAACCAGCGACAACAATCTAAGTGTGAGGCATCATCGTTTAAATCTGCTCCAGCAGCTAAACAAACTGTTTAAGATAACGTTAGCTTGATATGTTAGCTTCCATTGCCACCGTTGTTATCATCTAATGGTGCGTTCGCTTTCTCCTCGGAAATTCTAACTTCCCAGTAGGAAAAATCTAATGAAAAAGGACGGCAAAAGGAATGAAGATACACAATAAATTTAGTTCACAGTAAAGATGTTTGCTTCAGTTTAATTATCAGCTTATAAAACTACAAGGACGATGTTAAAATACAAACAGTTGAATGTTATTTATTGTGATATTTATCAAATATTGTTATAAATTGAGAAAAATATATATTTAATTATAAAAGAGAATTAAAACAATAAACACTCAAAAGTATCTAAAATTGGTACCGTTAAGTACCGGTATCGATTCAAATGTCAAAGGTACCCATCCCTAGGATGGTACGTATGTGAATAATGGAAAGAGCTTTGGGTGCCTAGAAAAGCACTTTATAAACCTAATTATTATTATTATTATTATTATTATTATTATTATTATTATTATTATTATTATACAGGAGGCAAACTAACCAGCATTTCAAAATACATTTTAGGGTTTCTCTTAAATACATTTTAGGGTTTTATTCCACTGGAATATCAGAACCTCAAGTGCTGACTCTGCAGGATTTTAAGGTCTACCCTCCCTTTGTGGAGTTGCCTCCAGAAGGCAGTTGTGGTTCTGAGTTTTGATGGAAAGAAGAACCCGGACATTTTAATGATCGTTCAGTCCTTTGTCTACTCACATTTCAGGTGCTCTCCAGCTCCCGCCAGCAGCTGGTAAAAAACGTGGAAGGTGCGCTCATCTTTGGCTTGACGAATAGCTCTGGATTTCTCCAACAAGTCTGACATAGAACAGTCAGGGAAAACCAACCAAACTGTTTAGATTTATACTGAAATTGGCCAGAAAGTGCTGATGACGAAAACTAACCCAAACCACAATAAATAAATAAATAAATAAGTTTAGGACTGCACTTTTATTACTTAGAAATCAGTTATATTGTAAACTCAGGTTCTTCACTTCAAATGGAACTCCAAGAAAATTATGTTTCATTTAGTTTATTATTTATATCGTCTTTTTTTCCACAAATGTTTGTTCAACAGGGACAGGAATAGTTCTGAAACAGGATACAGGTTTCAATGTTCGCCCCAACGATGTATCCGGTGACATCAAAGTTGATCCGGATGAATTTTCCCTGTAGACAGGAACACCAGTAGGTGGAACATCAGCAAAAGAGAGACAGCCATTAATCTATAAGGTACAGACACTGAGCTGTTTATGTTTTTGGTTACAGATCGTTTAGTCTGAGGTACGAATCAGAGTATTTATAAATAAGAGCTAAACAATCTTTTTACAATTATTTCCATCAGCAGTAACAAGATTTTCCAGATCCAGGTCTGACACCTAAATTATACTTCTCCGTCAGCTCCTCGATGGAGGTACACACAGGCATCGACAGAGACATGCTGTTGACACATTTACAGGAAGCAGCGTCCTGACCAATCACAAGCTTGCGGTCTCAGTCTCTTTCGATGGATAGTTAAAAATTGGGGCATGTCTCAGTCACCCTCTGCGAACACGTTGGAGAGCTCTTGCGCCGACGCATAACGGTGTTGTGTGCCTCCGCACAGACGCAGAAGTATAAATCAGGCTTGAGTTTTAACCTTCATGTCTGTATTAAAGCTGCTTTCAGTCAAACATGACTGACTGGCACCAGCAGTTTTCAGTACATCTGTCTCTTAAAGGTGTAGTTCACTCGTTTAAACATTAGCAATTGTCTCTAGTAGGAATGAATGCCTTGTAGGTCGTACTCTAGGGAAACAAAGCTCTAGTGCACCTGTTTAAAGAACTACAAGTGAGCCACAACAGATTTGGAGTCTTATTTCCTGATATTTGGACATCTTGCCTCTGATTGGATAACACTGGCTGTTTGCTCTGCAACATCGATTTTTTTAAAATCTCCACAAATAACACAAGTCTGGAAGAGTTCTGCTGTGTGGTGAAGTTGCTAATGCTAACAGCCGTCCCCGTCGTGAGTCGACATGGGTGAGTCTATAAATGTTAAGTGACAGTGTGACCTAGATCTGTCAGGCTTTTCTAATTCTTTCACCGTCTATTTTCTATCAGAAGCTAATGCAGGAGATAGGTGTAGGACACTATTTTCATGTTGAGCCTGCATGAAAACCTCAGAGCGACCAATTATAATCAGAGATAAATAAATGAAAATGTTTTTTTCAGTGTTCCACACCTGTAAGGTAACAGATCTGACTAGCTGCAGAATTATATAATAACTCTCAGGCCCTGTCCACACGTAGCCGGGGATCTGCCAAAACGTAGATATTTTTCTACGTTTTGGCCCGTCATCCACACGAAAACTGATCTTTTTAAAAACTCCGACCAAAGTGAAGATCTGCGTTTTCTCCGTTTTGGGTGTCTGCGTGTGGACAGACAAAACCGGAGTTTTAAGGTCCGCAGCGTCACTTTCCGCGACAAAAAAATGCTGACATCACGTGTGCGACCTGTGTTTACACTAGCCGACAGCATGGATGCCCTCAGAGCTGAGCTCGCTTTATCAATTGTCCAAGCGCTTTTTGCTTGTTTGTTTTTGCAAGCGGAATTACTGCTCCTTGCGGAAGACCACAGACGAAGGACGAGGTTAAGAACGGGGGAAGTACTGCCGCCTACAGGTCTGGCATGTCCTTAACAACGTATTTATCCGGGTACGTGTGGACAGTTTTTTTTTAAACGAGGTGGTGTGGATGCAAGTTTTTGGAGGGGCGGATATTCGTTTTAAAAAAAAACCCGGCTACGTGTGGACTAGGCCTCAATCAGCTCTACTCACAAAACGTGACGAGTTGTCATTTTTCACAGTCTTTGCATTCCCAAAGGACTCCAGGATGGGGTTGGCTTGTAAAAGCTGGCGTTCCAGTTCACCCTTTGGAAGCAAAAAACATCAAAAACAAATACAGGAAAAGCACACAAGCAGAGGGGAGGTCACCACGTGGCGAGTGAGATTCAGCAACAGAAGAACAAACATGCAGGCAGCAGACGTCACACATGATCTCATGTAGACGGTGTGAGTAAAGACAGAACGAGCTGTTGTGAACGTAAAAGGAGGGAATAGTAACTACTGGTAGCTAATGATGGATAAAATCAGCTTTAAATAAAAGGTATGAGATTCATGAATAAAAATAAAGATAAAAATAAAAATGTTAACCCCCCTAGACCAGAATATAATCATGTGGCAGCAATAATTTAAAATGTAGATATCTTGTCTCAAGCACTATCATATAAAGTCGTGTTAAGCTGTCAGAAGACATCCAGAAATAAACCAGTTCATTATTTTATCGTCTGAGATTGAATGTGTACAGTTAAGGTGCTGGCAGAGACACGTTAGCTGTTTTATAAATGACCGCGTCGCCGATTTAAAAAAGCTGAATAAATAAAAACTAAACTTATGAAGATATTTTTACAGGCGCTGCCATTTCGTTTTCCTCTCAACCTTATAGTGGGCTTCGTCATGACCGGAGAATCCAGACTGGCTCAAGGAAAAACACTTTTGCTTTTATTTCTCCTCTTGTGGCTCAGATATATTCTCCCGTTACGACAGGAATAGTGTTCCACTGCGAACGCTCGAGTGAGCCTTTTCACCAAAGAGAACTCAGGAATCAGCATTTCGCTCTGGATTTGAGACATTTAACTTGGCTGATGAGCACAGCGAGCTGCTTTTGGAGGACTTTTTAAGCAGCCGGACTGAATCGGAGCAGCTGTGTGGCCGGCAGAAAGCAGCCACACACACACACACACACACCACAGGAGCTTCAGTAGCAGCTTTAGGAGAAGACACACATTTCATTTGAATGTTACAACGGCTCCACTTAAGATTGGCAGACTTAGTTCCTGTGTAAAGAAACTCTCACACACCATGATAACTGAAACTCCAGAAACGCCTCCTCCTAGTCATCGCCCTTAAAAGGTGTCTCCTCTTACAAAGCTGCTACAGGTTGGTCTCGTTTCCATCAGAGAGGAATGTGACCTCAGGTTTTGTGGAGCCAGTCACAACTGTCCCAGTAAATCTTCTGCGGTCCGACCCAAGTATGTTTGTGTTTGCAAGACTCAACATCTGCTTCAGAGGTCCCAGGGCCAGACAAATACTCCAAGTCGTGTTGTTTTTTTTTTTTTTTTTACAAAACAAAAAACAAATAAGAACCCTGAGCAGGAATCCAGCTATGTGGAAACCTCATCTGGTCCAGACTTTTGGACAGGTTCAGGAGGGACCAAGTCTTTAATATGAATGATGTGAAAATCAGTGAACTGTTTCAGTTTAATCACCAGCAGGTTTTTCTTTGTTCTAAAAGGATTAAATATAAAATTCTATTTTACAAAAATCACTGAAGGAGTTCACTTTACCTTCTCAGTATCGGATAACTGGGAGCTGCCTGGTAAAACCACAGAAAAAGCTGGTTTCATTCTCTGATTAATATTAGCTGGTTATGTTTGGACAGTGTTCAGGCAGTAGCAAGTACTAGCGGGTGGGGGTGTGATTGAAATGCGAGGTGGGGGTTGGTTGGCTACGAGTTTTGGACCAGATGTGTTTAGCCTTTTTTTTTTTTTTTTCCTTTTAGTGGTGGGATTATGGCCCAGATTATTTATGACTATGATCACTGTGCACTGATGTTGATCAACAAACAAATTAAACTTGGTGGTAATTCAAGGCTGGCTCACGGTCAAACTAATATGGACTACCAGGTCTTTCAAAGGGTCTCTGCACGGTTATATCGGTTTGCACCCAAATGAGGTGATTGTGTTCATACCAACCACACCAAGATGGTAAAAACACTCAAGTCTGTAGTAATATTTCTATATGTAAAGCGTCACTGTACCCTAAAAAGTAAAAAATATCAAAAGTTTAAACTCTAAAAGACCCATTTATGTGAAATCTTTAAAAAGAAATGGTCAAAAATAAAAGAAAACCTTCATTAGTATCTATCATCTAGGAGAGGACATCTGAGCACATATATTAAATTAGAGGGAACAGTTAGTGCAGATCATGCAATGGAAAAGCAGGTAGGTGAAGGTATGGTAGTCGGTAAGCTCCCAGATGTTAGGAAACATGTCAGAGTAAACGGTGAGTCACTTAATCTAGCAGGTGACAGCAGAATGAGACAAGAGCCTCTTTTATCGTGTAAGATAGCTGTCAAAAAGGTGTGTGTGTAGGATTCTAAAATTTGTATTTGTATGTTTGTCTTCCAATAAGTGTTGAACATTAAATTCTGCTGCCATATTTGTGAGTGTGAAAATTGTGAAGATTATGATTTTTTAAATGTGAGTACGAATCTAAAAACTGTGAGTGAAAATACTTGTGAATACAAATGACATTTCTGTGACTGACATTTTTCTGGCTGTGGATACGAATTCAATTTGTGGGTACAAAAATAAACATACTTGTGAAGGTTAGAAATTTTTTAAACGTGAGTACGAATCTAAAAGTTGTGAGTGAAAATTCTTGTGAATGAAACTCAAATTTCTGTGACTTTGACATTTTTCTGCCTGTGGATACGAATTCAATTTGTGGGTACAAAAAAACCACACTGAAATGACGTCACGAGGATGAGTAATCGAACACCGATTTCACCAAACATCACGCTCCAAATCAAAGATGGCTGACGACAAAAGACCGGGTGGAGCTGCCGGCTCAGGTGAAGCTTCTCAGGTAAAATATAAATCCTGTATTGATTTGTTTAAAAGTACTTAATCAAATAGTTATTAGATGTACTAAATTACAGCAATACCTCTCATGCTTATGACATGCCGGTGATGCTACGTTAGTGCTAGCGCTGTTAGCATTAGAAGTTGGTTTGTGCTAAGTAATTAGCACTGACTGCAAGAAAAGAAACACTTAATACTTTAAGACATATTATTGACCAAATTACGATTTTTATCGATGTGTAAATTGCGTCATTTATTTATTTATTAATAACGAAGCCAGTGAGAATGCATTTAGTAGAGCTAATAAGTTATGATGTGCACATTATGTAGTCTTGAGCGGAAGGAATACGAGCCTCCATTTTCCCCTCTAGCAAGTTATAATCCATTTATTCAAAAATCCCTATTTCTCTGAATCTGGTTAATTATAAGGTACAAATAAACCACTAGGCAAATATAAAATAATTATAATAATAATAATAATAATACATTTTATTTAAAAGCGCCTTTCAGGACACCCAAGGTCACTTTACAGAAAACACGTGATAAAATACAATAAAACAATAATAAAACCCAAACAAGAAAAAACAAAGAGAGAAACAATTCAATAAAATCAGAGGTTGTAGGCAGATTTAAACATATGTGTTTTGAGTTTTGATTGGAAAAGGGTAAAACTGTCGATGTTCCTGATGTCTGGGGGGAGTGAGTTCCAGAGACGAGGAGCAGAGCGGCTGAAAGCTCTGCTCCCCATGGTAGCGAGACGGGCAGAAGGAACCGCAAGATGGATGGAAGAAGAAGATCTGAGTGAACGGGATGGGGTGTGAATACTTATAAGGTCTGAGACATATGGAGGAGAGAGGTTGTGGATAGCTTTGAAGGTATGGAGGAGAATTTTGAAGATGGACCTGAATTTAACTGGGAGCCAGTGAAGCTGCTGGAGAACCGGGGTGATGTGGTGAAAGGAAGGGGTTCTGGTGATAATACGGGCTGCTGAATTCTGGACCAGTTGCAGTTTATGAAGGAGTTTGTTGGGGAGACCATAGAATTAAACATTCTCCTTCATTGCTTCTCCCTTCTACGTTTCTGATCAGAGTGGAAATAATGTTTTATTTATGTAAAAAAAAAAAAAAAAAAAAACTATAGAATGCAGCAGCTGATAGCATTTAATATTGCTGTGGAATAATTACTAGTTACTGTGTGCTTTGTAGAAGAAGGTGCTTTACAAATACACCCGCTTTATAAATACCGGCCATTTACCATTTGACACACAAGCTAATGTTTTTGATATCAGTTTGCACAATACACTGTTTTACAAAAAATATTATTTCTGTCTAGCCAGCTTAACGCTGCAATATTTGCAGTTGATATGAGTTAACATAATTTCTGGACTATAGAGGACACCTCAATATAAGCCGCACCAACAACAAAAAAGGTTTTCTACACACACACGCCGCACTCAAATACAAGCCGCGGCGCAGCAGCCACGTGCAGGTCTCCGGCGCACTGTGCATGTACGGCCATAACATAAGATAATTAGACAGAAAGACGCAATGCGGAGGTTTTTCGTTGTTGTTTTAATTCAACAAAACAAATTTTAAACACGGGTGAACGTGCCTGCAAGTTTAGAAAAGAAAACAGCACAATGTCATTTGTATCCACAAGAATTTTCACTCACAGCTTTTAGATTCGTACTCACATTTAAAAAATCATAATCTTCACAATTTTCGGACCCACAAATATGGCAGCAGAATTTAATGTTCAACACTTATTGGAAGACAAACATACAAATACAAATTTTAGAATCCTACACACACACACCTTTTTGGCAGCTATCTTACACGATACTCTTTTAGATCTTAGAGGTGGTTCAGAAACTACATTCTACTCACATAAAACAGGGGTCCGCTCTGTAGGAGATGAGGAGATTCAGTCATTAAATAACTAACACGAAAAGAAGATTAAACTAGAAATGCTGTGGGGAGCTCTTGGCTGGTTAACGACAGCTGTGTGAGCAGGTTCACTTAAGGAAATGTGTCTTCCTGACTCTTAAGGCCATAGCCCAGATTGTATGAAGTGGATTCTTAAGGAAATTTGTGAGTGATATTTTACCTGCTACAGCCAGTGCTTCAGTTTGAAGAAACTCAAGCATCTGACACACAAGCTAACAGCTAACAGAGTGAGGCCACATCATCCTAAAACACCACCCAACCACTCATCCACTGTACAGTCGCTAATTCGTGTTTCTGGTCTTTGGGAGGAGACCGGAGTTCCTGGACAAAGCTACAGTCAGGGTATCTGCAGGTTTATGGGTGCCGAATTTAAGACTTTTTAAGACCTTTTTTAAGGCCACTTTGACCAAATGTAAGCTATTTTCAAAAATAAATTTAAGCTATAATTTCCAGCTATTGCCTGGAACCGGTTCTAACCACGTCGTAAACGTGGATTAGCCATCCAGTTACCATTAAACTTTCACTTCCCCATGGCGCAAGCTCCCACTAGCTTAATCAGCTAATGTGCTCATCTAAAAATAGTCCCCTTTCACAACCAACTGAATGTGTACGGTTCCGCTTACGCCAACATCGTACACAAAAAAATGCTGAACACTAACTACAAATTCACGAAATTTTATAGAAATAAAAGAATCTTGTTTATTGGGTCTTTGGTAATTTAAGACCTTTGGAAACTGGATTTAAGGATTATTTGTCATTTTAAAGGATTTTTAAGGCCTTAAATTTGGAAAAGCTAATTTAAGACTTTTTAAGGATCTGCGGATACCCTGTACAGTGCAGCCCTTAAAACCACTCTAATCTTCTACGCTGTCATGCAAACACTACTTTACAACATTTACAAGGCTGTTAATTGTGCATTACACTGGTATTCCATCAGAAAGATGAAATTCTGACAACTCTCTCCTTAAATCTGAACTCAGTATCTCTTTAGACAACAAACTAAATAAACCTCAACTACATGATGGTGGATTTGTGACCAACAGTCCAGAACACGTGTGATACACACGTGTGTGTTCAGGTGTGGCCGTATCTAAATCCTTAACATTAAAAAGGTTTGGAGCAGCAAGATGAGGGCCAACACCGACCACATGGACACAAGAATACACGGCATGTACGTGATTGAGTTTCACTCAAAACAAAAAAAAAATCAGAAAGCTAAATATTTTAAGCACATCTGAACAAACCATGAGCTAATCACGCCACGCTAACGTTTACTTACAACTGCATTTTGTACCTGACAGAAGGAAACAGAACAGATTCTAATCAGGTGTTGAGATCTTGGATCCATCTGAAGGAATTATGATCCACCACAGTAAAAACAATGAGTTTTGGAGAGACTGATTCAATCTGAGATGAAGGTGTAGTGAGCATGCTAACATGGTGTGTAAGAAGGCATGGACACTTGCCTGTAGTTTGGCTGGTTTGGGTGATTCTGGCTGTTGGTTACAGGAAAACAGATGCAAACCGTTAAAATTCAACAGTTTTATACTTTCACCATTTCCAAATATAAGCAGCACATTACAATCCCATCTTCGGGAAAGCGTTCTGACGTCACACTGTAATCACATGTAGGGCTGTCGCGGTAACCGCAAGAAGAAAATATCGCGATATTAAGAAACCCACCACGCTGCAGGACGTGCCACCGCCATTACCGCACTTCAAGGGCGTCAGTTTGTTTTCAGAATTGCTGGGGACAATAACCATACACTTGAGTGGGGTTTAAAAATTGCTGGGGACAATACAGTAGGCTAGCACAGGGGTCGGCGGCTCCGGAGCCGCATGCGGCTCTTCCATCCATCTGATGCGGCTCTCTGGGCTTGTAAAATAATGAATGGATATTTAAATGAAAAGCTTTATATTTTACTGCATTAATTTTACATCTGTATGCCAATTCTAAATGTAAAGATTGTCTGCGTAAACCTGAACAGGTCCAACCCGGTCCTACTCTGAGACCGGGTTGACACGTCACGCTTGTGCGTAATCATATGCGCTTCCTGAGCTGGAGGATGTCAGATTCTGGGCTTCTCCTCGGAGAGGTTCCTGGATGCGTCGTCACATTGGAGACAGGAACAAGCACTATTCAGCCAAAGTTTCATAATCAGGTGTGGCAGTGTGAGGGTCCTGTCACAGTGTCCCGATAGATAATGCGCCCTGGCTACTTGGCCAAGGGGTTGTCCCTTTGGCTGACTGGTTAGAGCGTATGACACTCACCCGGGAGTCTAGCGATCGAATCCCGCCCGGGCCTTCGTTTCTCCACCTTTCCACATATTGACGGATAAACTCAAGGATGCTGGTTGTTTTGAAAGAATTGCCCCGACGCGCATGGATGAGCTGACATTTTAATCGTTGCGCACATCGCAGAGGTAACTTGATTCCCATCAGAACATCAGAGCTTTATACTGGACACTGTGTTCAGCGCGGCTCGGAGTGCCCACGGTGGACAGTGGGCTGAAGATCTGAGGGGTTCGCAGCGCAGTACAGAACCACGGTGCGTGCAATAAGATTTCCTCCCACTGAAGCGTTCTGGAAACCCGGTCTCTCTGAGGGATGTGTTACTTGGAAAAATGTTCTTTTTATGAAATGATGAAACTTTGGCTGAACAGCGCTTGTTCCCGTCTCTAATATGGAGACGCATTACGCATCCAGTCTGAGGCAGAATCACCTCTTCAGCTCATAAAGCACCTGTAGAGACATTTGATTACGCACAAAGTTTATGTGGAGCAGAAGCGGTCGGGCCACGGCAGGTGAAATGTTCCTAGCCTACATGAAGTGTAACATTAATATGTTACTGGACACGCTGGTCTGGTTGGTTAGACCAGTGTTTGAAGTGGAAAACACACACACACACACCAATTAAAATAATGCTGATAGCGTGGACTAGAAGCCAGGTGATGGTTTACGTATTTAAATGATGATCAGGCTGCTGTAAAATGTAATCTCCATCCACATCCAGACAGAATTATCCTCTATTCTTTCTCTAGTTGCTCTGCTCTTGTCTGGGCTGACGAAGCTGACGGAGCGTGTGGCGCGCCTAACTAGCGGCTGATGCACATTTTACGCATTTGGAGAGGTGGGCTGGAAGCTTTGCTTTTACTGGAAGATGGTCCACTTAACGCACAGGTGTAGACTACATATTAATGACAAATGAATGAAAATTAAATTGTGAGTTTTTACTTCATATTTTAGAAATTAAAATGACGGGGGAAACATTTATGACATCTTTTTAAACGAAATTTTCTAGTGCGACCTGCCTGCTTCACTTAAGTCACTGCTTATTAAGGTCCGTCCAAAATTACCGTGGCCCACCCAAAAATGAAAACCTGGCGCTGCGCCTGTTACTCTGCAAATTGTTGTTCTTCACTTGATCAAACTCAGACTTTGTACAGCTAATGTCATGATGTAAAATTATGAATTCAGTCGAGCTCTTCCGTCCCTCCATCTCCTGCTCTCCTTGAACCCGACATCGGCTGTCAGAAGAGGGAGGTGAAGAAGGAGATGAGGCAAACAGAGTGAGTGCGACATAGAGAAACCAGACTGGTGTGGAGGTGAGCAAAACAGCTGGAAAAGTGTGGGTGTTGAATCCCCCACGGATGCGACGCCCATGCGAGCGACCGGTACTGGCTGCTGTCACCTGTTGTGGGCAGCTCTCTGCTGTCTGAGGGTAGGCCCCGCCCACAACGCTGCGGCTGCTGTGGCTCCCAGTGTTTTCTTTACTGTGGGAAACGGGTAATAATGGCTCTTTGATGGGAACAGGTTGCCGACCCCTGGTATAAGATCTGAGCTGGTAAAACAAAAATCCTCGTCAGCAGGCTTTTTTTAAAGGGGGGGGGGGGGGGGGGGGACGACACACAGCTGCCAATCACAAATTTTGCCGGGGACATGTCCCCGGCGTCCCCGGTTAAAATGACGCCTATGCCGCACTTGATTAAATCTCGCGACAGCGCATGCTGAGAGGTAAAGTCCGCGCTGATCGAGGAGGTAGTACACATGGAAGATGGAGGGAGCGGTGTCAGTGCGTCAGCTGCAGCCCAGCCAGAGACCTTGGAGCAGGCAGAGCTGCCACCAGCGGCAAAGAAAAAAAACGCTTGGAGACGTGCTGAAGTCACAGACAAGCACGTCTTCTGTAAGCATCCCGAAGAGAGTTAGAGCCGAGCTGGAGCTCACTCGCTACCTGCAGGAGGAACTCATTGACCTTAATGAAAACCCTCTGACATGGTGGCGCAACAAACATGGGAGATTTCCATTGCTCTCCAAAGTCGCACGTAAGTACATGTGTATTTGCGCAACAAGCGCACCATCCGAGAGGGTTTTTAGTGTCGCTGGAAATGTTGTCACCCCTCTCAGATCCTCTCTCAAACCGCATAAAGTTAACATGCTGGTTTTCCTTGCGCGTAACAAGGACACGACCGTTATAAGGTATTCTTGTGTGTGAAAGTGAAATGACAGTGCCTAGGACATCTCATTTTGTATACTTTATTTTAAACTACAAAACAAAATGGGCACTTTTTTTATTTCTGTTATATGTTGCAGCCAAATTTGCATTTCAAAATTAAACCTCCTGAATGTTGTTTTTAAGTTCAGTCAGAAAATGCCGTAACTGCCCTTCGATCTGCATTCAACAAAGTGTTAAAAATGGCCATGTATTTTTTCTAACATTTTTTAAATATGTAAGCACAATGTTTCAAAGGAAATATTGCCATGAGTTTAGTAATCAACAAACAAATTTGCTAAGTACATAAATAAAAACGGGGTGCAATAATATCGCATACCGCAATATTGAGCTGCCCTGACTCACCGCAGGGGGAATTCCTCAACCGCGACAGCCCTAATCACATGATCAGTGTTTCTATGCACATCAGATCTGTTAGCCCAGTTTAAGGTAAAGAGAGTACATCACAGATGGAGGAGAGTGATGTTTGACTGTATACTCACAGGAATGTTGTTATCTCTCCTCCCTTTGTGTGAGGAAGCAACATGGGCCAGGTACTGGATGACTTTTTTAGTGTTTTCCGTTTTACCTGCTCCTGACTCGCCTCTGCAGTGAGAAAGAAAACCACTGACACAAAAACAGGCACCCCAGAGGAAGCCAGGCACTAAAGTCCTCACATCAACAGCTCGGCCACCAGTGGATCATAAAACACCAGATGACTAAATCATTGCAGGTTTGCACATTTCCAGCTGCAGAGCAGCAACTTCATGGTTAATTACTGTGAACGTATTTCCTTCTTTTCCATCTAGAGGTTAAAAAATAAGCAGCACTCACTGGTCCCATATTCAGTCATTTATGGTTGGCTTGATTTGTCTAAGTGCAGTGCAGGTTTGCAGCCATAGTTCCTGGTCTCCTTCTCACCACGCTCTCCTAGTTACTACAGCCTGTTTTAATGGAAGTCCTGTGAAATGTAGCGCCAGGAGTTCAGTGCATAGCTGAGGTTTTGCACCAAGTGTGACTGCTCTGGTGAGATGTGGCTGAGTACAGAGATGGGGGTGAAGGTGGTTTAAGTCTTGTTAGCTGTAGTAAACTGAGTGTAATCATTTACGGACACTGGCTGCTTCACTCCTAGGGCCTCCTTTCTGAAGCCAAAACAACAAAAAAGTACAAGATGCATCAGCGGGTTTATGTAGTTTGCTTCAGGGGGAGATTGCTGGTAATGGTCTATAATTTGAAGGCATCACCACCAACCCCTCTATATCATATGCTAAAAATAACATTCGAGCAGGAATGTGGAGCCACTTGTTTCTGTAGAAGTTGAATTGTGGCATAAAAGTCTGAAAGATTAATCTGCATTAAGGAATCGTAAATAAATCCCAGTCAGCCTTCTCAACCCACACAAACCAGTAAAAGAAAAGAAAAACATGTCATTGTGGGTTTTATTTACAAGTTAGAATTGAATCCAAACTTTAGTTCCACTTTATTTCCTTATTAGATTTTGTTTCAACCAGGCAGAGTTCATTTGAATTTCAACAAACCAACACAAACACCTAGAGGTTCCAGCTGAAACAAGGTCAGCTGCATGTTTCATTTCTCTCTGAGGCTACATTCCCGTCATCTGTGGACTCTAGTGGAGTAACACCTCAGGAATGTCCAACAGACCCTCCACTTCAAGAGGTGATGGTCTGGTCACTGTTACCCTCTTAAAGGAGCTGCCAAGAACCCCAGCACACACTCATTGCCATTAAAGGGGTGTTCTCATTAATAATTAATATCTTAGCCATTTTGAATGACCAATTGAATGGCCTCTGTTGAGAAAAAAAACAAAAACAGGGCAGATGTGCTAACAGCTGGTTCCAGCATGACCCAAAGTGGAGTCGCTGCCGCACAATTAAACCAGCAATAGCCTAAAGTGGTGGATTCATGAATGTCTTAAAGAGACAATGTGTAGTTTTTACCATTAATCTCTGTAAATATCCATCAAGATGTTGTAAAAAAATGAATTAAATGATGTCCAGTTGTTAAAAAATATTGGTGGCTTCGTAACATAACCAAAAAAATCAGGTCTAAAATACATGGGAGCAGGTCTAAGTCTCTGGGCTACGCCATGTTAGATGCCATGTTTCCTTCTACGGGAGCCCTTGAGGACAAAATGCATTTACTGATTTGTAACAGTTACAAAATTTCACCATTCAAAAACCTTGTTTTACACATTTATCCCTTCACTCATTGCCTGTGATGAAAGGGAGTCTGATGTGCTTGTCATTTTGCTGAAGTTTGCACACCTCAGGGCATTTTTATCCTAAGGTCTTACTCTAACACAAAAATACAGCTTGCTTGCAACAATTTAAGTATCTACTGCCCCCTGTCGCCAGGAAAAATACACACGGTCACTTCCAAGTTTGTGCAAAAAGCAGCGTAACGTGCAACTCACAGCGTTGAAAATTTCATGAAATAATGCTGCATGGACTGCTGTAAAATGTTGTTTACTCACGTGCAAAGAATGGATTGGTCCTCTCGATCTGTGGAAGACAAGAGGGAGAAATTAGCCTCTGTGTGTGTGTGTGTGTGTGCGTGCGCGTGCGTGTGTGTGTGTGTGCACATAAACAAGGTTGGAGGCCTGTATTTAATATAGCATCTTCTAAGTTTCTACAACCCCCCAATGAGCTTTACAACACAACCAGTCCCAGTCCGTCCAGCAGGCATGGAAGGTGAAGGACATAATGACTGACACGGGCAGATCTCCCTAATTATGTGTCACATGATCAGAGGCCTACTATTTAGGTTCACCTGGTTATTCTTTTTGCTTAAGCCCTGAAGAAGGTCGCATGTGACCAAAATTCGTCGGCTTTTCTCTGTTTTCTTGCTCTTAATAAAAATATTTTTCAGAGTGCCTCGGGTTACCTATTTTTCTTCCCCATCCACATCCCAGCTTTATTAGATCCTGAAGAGCACCTGAAAAATATATTTAAAATACTTTAGGCAAACCCCACTGACGTGGTCACTTCCACCTGTTTTTGAACGAATAAAGCTGGTCGGACTGCTCACAGCTCAGGTTGGCTCAATAGACAAGTCAAGAGTGTTAGTGATCTGTGTCGTAAACATGCTAAATCATTCTGAACATAACATGGTTCTGGAAGAGCTGCTGATTGTGTTTCTTTGGGATAAACTGAGGGATAATTATTGTGCAGCTAGATGGCTCATAAAGAATAGCAAGGGACTTCCTCATTTTGAACAGCAGCAAGACTGTCTGACATACCAACATCAACATTAATGTTTATGCCAGCACCATCCACTTGTAACAACTAGAGTATTTTGACCAACATCAGGATCACCCATTTTTACTCATTCTTTATGAAAACATCTCCCATTTATTACCCATTGAAATCCAACAAGTTTAAGCCTGAAAGTTCAGTCTAATGTGACTTTGGTAGAAAGAACAACTTCACTGAGAAACAATTTTTCGCTTATCATTGACTCAGAGTTTAACATGAAGGCTGAGCATGAAATTTGTGTCCTACATCTATCTCCTGCATTAGCTTCTGACAGAAAATAGACGGGAAAATGCTCAATTCAGAAAATCCTGACAGATCTATGTCATACTGTCACTGTCATGAACGCACCCATCTTGAATAATCAAGAGGAAGGCTGTTTTTGGTTTAGCGTCCAGGAAAATGCAGAGAACGTCTCAACTAGAAGCTAACTGTTAGCATTAGCAACTCCACCACACAGCTGAACTCCTCCAGGCTTGTGTTATTTGTGGAGATGAAACACCAACTTTACAAAGCAAACAGAGTCAGTGGTAGAGTTGCGTTGCTGTTAGCCAATCAGAGGAGAGATGCCCAAATATCAGGAAATAAGATTCAAAATCTTGCCTTCTGCTGTAGGGCTGCAACAACAAATTGATAATCGATTAAAAACAAAAGAAGAAATCGTTGGCAATGCATTTTGTCATCGATTTGTTGTGTTGTGCAACTTTTTTTTCGTGTTGAGCAACCTTTATGCAACAATTGATACGCGCAGCTCACAGCAGTAGGGCAGACCGAGGCAGATCAGAACGAGAGACATATATGTTGCACGTGCGATGAAAAAAACTCTGTGTGCAATAAACTAATTTTAGACGTAGCACTCGTGCAACATCTTTTCAAGTTACATCTTCCCCCAGAACTCTATTGAGCAAAGGTAAGTTGCTTTTTATTGTGTGAGGAAGATGCTTTTTACTGACGCACAATGTGCTAATCTAGGTGCTGTGGAGGAAAACAGAGAAACCAGCAAATGCACAAAGGCAGAAACGGTACAAAGTTTGGGATCAAAAGTGCAACTACGAGCAGATTAGCTAATGATAGCTGGTAGCGGGCTCACGATCAGGAGGGGTTCAGATAAAACACGGTGGATGTGAAACTAAGAATATATAAACTCTACAAGCAGAAGAAAAGTGTTTATTCTTAGCCGACTGCACCGCTATGGAGCAGAACCGCTGCAGTCAGGTTGCTGCTTTGAGTCGGCTCAGCTCAACACTGCTGCATGAACATAATTTTTATTGGATTATTGCTAACCCATACATAATAGTTACGTCACCAATACATTTTAGCAGTAGAAATGAGATGTTATGCATTTCCAGTAGCTTACACCTGAACATGTTAATGAAATACATGAAATTGTATTCATCATAGTTTAACTATGGATATATTTAGGCATGTTGTCTGGCGCACTATTGAATCAGTGTTTCCCTTACATAGGTGTAGCCATGGCGTCCCGCCACCGCTGAAATCCCACCGCCACGCCTACAAGATCCCAAGTTTTATTGATTTTTTTTTTGCGCCGTTTCCTGAAGAAGCAGCGGGAACTACTGTGTTGTTGCTTGTGATCACAGCCGGCAGGCAGCAAGGAGGAGGAGGAGACAGCGCAGGGTGGTTACAGCTAGGGATGAGCCGGATACTCATTTCAGACGAGTATCCGGTACGGATAAAGCATTTTTGACGAATACGAGCATGAAACGAGTGTAAAACTCGTAAATATCTGTAATCTTGCTGAAGGAAAATCCTCATTGGGTAACGGACTGTCTTCACGCTCTGTGATTGGCCAGTCACTAATGGGCCATTCCCATCTGTACCGGGTCGGCCCGGGCCGGGTAGCGTAGGTTGTTTACATATCTGGGTGGCCTGGTATTTTTCCGGGCCAACCAAGGCTCATTCTCAGCCCTCTTCTCGAGGGGGTCTGCTTCAGGCCGACCAGGGCCAACACACCCACTGCTGACTGCAAATTCACACCTTCCATTAGAGCAAGCCTCTGATTGGTGGGTAGAACCAGCCCATATGGGCTAAAGGCAAGGATGTGTGGAATCAACCGGGCCAGGCTGGGGCCGACTGGGGCTACCCGGCCCGGGCCGACCCGGTACAGATGGGAATGGCCCAATAGAGCGCCCGCCCCTCCCTACACACAAAACTCTGCAGCCGGGAGCTCAGTCAGCTCGGCCCAGGCATCCACGCACACACACAGACATGTTCACTGTAATGCATCTTGATGTTCTTAACAAATAAATTAAATCAAAGATATTGGTCAATAATGCCAAATATGTAAATTTGTGTTTCAGTCATTTTATACTGGCTTAAAAATACTTCATTAAGTCTACTAAGCAGGGGTGTAGAACGTGTTTAATAGGGCCAGCCCAGTAATGATCTTGGACCAGAATAAAGGGGGCAGAAAGTCCAATAAAGAGGGGCAAAAAGAGATGTTTTTCCAGACGCCCAAAAAAATTAAATGCCAAATCCCCCTGCAAAGTGTGTCACTGAGAGTTTAAAACAGAAATTATTCTTGTGCAAATATTGGTGTATTCACCTTTAATACTAGTTATTAAAATGCAGCAGTTGCTGGATTGGTGCAGTTCAAAGTGGAGTGCATCAAATAAAACAATATTAACATAAAAGTGAGACGTGTCGTAATTTCACCCCCACAGCTGGAAAAATTCCTAGGGGGAACACTGAACCATTTTCTAACCACGTTCTGTTGTTTAAGTAATAGAAGGTGAGAAACATGTTTCCTTAGCAGTTTTTAAATTTTCCCATTTAATCAGATTTAATCGAGTTGAGACCCGATCCGATTCAAAATGGTTTGTTGCACTCTGCTGCCAATTTCTTCTCAGGTTAATTTCTACGTCCTCAAACTGGAGCATCTGACCTTTTTCTTACTAGAGGCTACTGCAAATGTATTAGAATATGAGTGAGCTTTATTAATACAAATGGCACACAATGATAACCTTACCTTTGACATCGCTTAGACAAAATGTCTGTGGTCTAAAACATGTAAATCAATGTGGAATATAACATTCAATCAGGCGTAGCACACATATGCTGCCATGTTAGTTTGCTGTCCTCACATTCACATCTCCATCCGCATCAGAAACAAAGGCAACAGCCACTCTACCCAGAAAGCTGCGGTCTTCTTTATCAGACCAGCTGCAGAAGGACAGATATGGTTCAGCCCCTGTTCACGTCTATTCACCTTGTGAGACTGCACAGGGCTGATTACCGGCTGCTTGTGGATATAAAACCCGACGAGCCGCTGATGGTTCTAAAACATGACTTCATGGTTCTGTGGGTAGTTTCACATGGCTGGCAGTGCTATTTCCAGCGTCACATGACGATGACGTTTGAGGACAGAGAAGATTTGCTCATTACTATAACTTTTACCAAAGTGGGTAAAGAAACTTGACATTTAAATAAAGGAGGAGTTTTCGATGACTAATGTATTCATAATGTTTAAAATGTTCTGTATTAACATATTTATAAACTGGTGTAGTGTCTGTAGTATTTCCCCTTGAAGGAGGAGGTCAGAGCTCCTAACTCATGACAGTCAGCTAATTGTGAAGCTGAGTTCCTGAGCCAGAGTCTGCCACTGCAGGCTGACCCCGGCTTTCCACAGGAGCCGTCAGCAGCACGTTACTGCAGCAGCACGTCTTGCTCGCGTAAACTGCTGCTTGGCCCTTCCCACGAGAGGCGAAGCAGCAGGGGAGCAGCTGTCACCGACCGAGCACGAAGTCACACGAGTGACTTCGTCAGTAAACACAACAACAAGCAGGAGAAAATTACAACATGGCTCCAAAAGGTTTGTGTTTTTATGTTCTGTCCGTTTTATAATCGCCAATACGGACCTGAAAAACAAAGGAGACCGCTAGCTAGGTGATAACTTCTCACGGGGACGCACAGTTAGTAACCTTTTTTAAAAGTAAAGCAACCGAAAGGCAGTACGTTCTTTATTCTGAAAATCTCAGGAGCTTCTCTCCATTTCCGCGTCCGATTTCCTGTCTTTCCTTCCCCAAAAATGTCGAACTTGACCCGTTTCAGAGGCGTCGCGCGTAGAAAATAGAACCGGCGCGTAAGGGCCGCGACATGCTGCTCCTGAGACGCGGCCGACTCGCGCTGCTGACAGCTCCAGTGGAAAAGGTTCTGTTGACCACAGCGGGTCCTATCAGCAGCTATGACGTGCTGCTGCAGTAACGTGCTGCTGACGGCTCCTGTGGAAA